CAACAGCAATATCAACAGCAATATCAACAGCAATATCAACAGCAATATCAACAGCAATATCAACAGCAATATCAACAGCAATATCAAGTGTAGAGATAATCCAACAGTTTTCGTCGACTTCTGAGGATCCAACACTGACCTCAAACATATGAAGCCCTCGTTGCTACCATCATGGCCTGGGCAAGGTGTATGTGCAGGCTTCGTCGATGCATTCCTCAGATTCGCAGAATGTGGAAGTATTTTATGCCAAATCACGACTGCGATCGGGAGGATCTTGAAGAAGTCTTCATATTGTATAAGGAGCCAGGACTTCTGGGGAGTTAAACGGCACCAATGGAATAACATGACCCGTCTGAAAGAATAATCGGTCGGTGCAGGGGGCAAAGCACGGCGAAGTGAAGTTTCTCGTCATCGAAATGACTCTCAGCGGCATACATTCATCTATTTGAGCGATTGAATTAGGTAGTCAGTCTTCAATGGCCATGGTAGTGTGTGAAGAAATGCCGGGTTGGCCCCTTAAATGCTGTGCATGCATAGAGCCGAATTGAAGCCTGTCAGTCTCCAAGTGATTCATCAAGCCAGAGGTGAAACATCTCAATTGACTCTTGGAGTCCCAATTCTGGGAATAGTTGTTTGAATAGTACGTGTGGAGTACATACTACATAGCATCGAGTAATATCGACATCATCCACCTCAGTAATTCCTCACGGGATGTAGATGTGGAGAGCGGATGAATTATGCCGTGCCAAGGCATCGGATTAACGTTTCGTCGGGCCGCAATCGATCGACGATTTAATCACACGAGCCGTTACCACGACGGTGCATTTCCACACGACCTGGTCCAAGCCGAATCGTGACTGCAAACTCAAGACCCTGCTATCATGGCCCCGAGAGAAGAATTGTCAGGCGATGAGTCTGATGACTCTCAACTTGAATGGGAATTGGAACAAGGGATCCCTCAAGTGGACGACCCTTTCATCCAAAAGTACATGGCGGGGCGGGATGCCCTGATAGAACAAGAGAAAAAGCAACGACATGATCGAGCCTTCAAACAGAACATGTCTCCCATGGCCAAGCAGGCGGCGAAGATCATGGCATCTATTCGACGGCGAGAGTTGCAGAGTGTCTGGACCTCCGAGTTCGAGGACAGCCTTGCTGATAAGAATGGCGGCAACCTGTATCCAGGCATGATGTTCACTCTGGCACGGGATCGCATGGAGACGACTGAATTATGGAAAATCGTCGAGAAGATGCCCAAAGGCGCTCTCCTTCATGCCCACTTGGACGCCATGATTGATATTGACTGGCTGGTTGACCAGGCTCTCGCGGAGAAGGGATTCTGCATGATTGCACCTGAAGGCCTGAGTGACAAGGATAAGCGAACTTCAGGGGCATTGCAATTCAGGTACTATCCCGATGAGGTGGTCAAGAAGCAGAAGAATCCCGGGAGCATTTGGACTGCAGCGTACACGCCAAACACGCCGGTCACGATCAGAGAAGCGCAGCGGACATTCCCGGACGATGATCAAACCTTTAAGAAATGGCTGATTAGCAGATGTACCATTACGGGCGAGGAGTCTTTGTGTCACCACCACGGACTGAACGCCATCTGGAAGAAGTTTCAGAGCACATTCTTAGTCATCACTTGGATGTTTACATATGAACCTATTTTCCGCCGTGCCATTCAGCGACTCATCGGGCAGTTGGCAAAGGATGGCATTACCTACGTTGACTTCAGAATTGCCTTCAAATTCGAATTTCGAAGGCAAGGACAGACTACCGGCCAAGTCGGCAAATTTGACGACTTTTTCGCGGTCATGGGTGAAGAGATTGAGAAGTTTAAACGGTCGCCCGCCGGTAAGACGTTCAAAGGCGCACGCATGATATGGACAGTCATCCGTAAAATGGATAATCGAGCACTTGCCGATTCCATGAAGGAGTGCATTCGTATGAAGAAGAAGTTCCCCCACATGATTTGCGGCTTTGACTTCGTGGCTCAAGAAGACCAGGGAAGGACACTGAAGGATCTCACGCCACTCATATTCTGGTTCAAGAAGAAGTGTGCAGAGGGGGGTGTCGATCTGCCTTTCTTTTTCCACGCGGGCGAGTGCCTTGGTGACGGCGACAGCACGGACAACAATTTGTTCGATGCACTTTTGCTGGGAACTCGACGCATCGGGCATGGGTACTCTTTGTACAAGCATCCCTTGCTGATTGACATGGTCAAGGAGAAGAAGATTCTGATCGAGAGCTGCCCGATCTCGAATGAGATCCTGCGGCTCTCAAGCTCTATTCTTTCGCACTCTCTCCCGGCACTCCTCTCACGAGGGGTGGCCGTGTCACTGAACAACGACGACCCTGCAATTCTGGGCCACGGGAAGAACGGCTTGAGTCATGATTTCTGGCAAGCGTACATGGCATTTGAGAACCTCGGGCTGGAAGGCCTTGCGACAATGGCTGAGAACTCGCTGAAATGGTGCGCCATCGAGGATCAAAAACCGGGTGAGTGGACCAGAGATATCACCGAGGGTTATTTGGGTAAAGGCACAAAGGCGAAGTTGTTGAGAGAATGGAGGAGCGAGTTTGAAAAGTGGTGTCAGTGGATCTTGATGGAGTATCCCCTAGAGGCTGAGGAAGAGGATGGAGAGGAGGAAGACGAAGATGAGTCCGAGGAAGATGAGGAGGAGGAAGAAGACGAGGACGATGAAGACGATGAAGAGTAGATTGCTGGTCGCGGGCATGTTGCTGTTGCTGTTGCTGTTGCTGTTGCTGTTGCTGTTGCTGTTGCTGCTGCTGCGGTCATTAGAGGCAACACGTCAACCTTGCCATATCTCACCTGAGCACCTGTGTGTCGATGGGGAACAAGATGCTAGGGCGTTCTGTCCGGTCTTCAACAACGGCAATAAGAAGGTTCTTCGTCAGATGTGTTCAATTTGACAGATAAAGGACGATGATGACACCGGGTAGACTGTGCTGACCGTGGCGAGGCTGAGCAGTCAAGGCACACCAGGCTGTGACCTTTGGGGCTGTTAAGTATCGCCGACCGACCCCTGTTTGGTTTTGTTGTCGGCGGTCTTGGGTTCGGTTCGTTGTCGTTTGTGCTTGCTCTGCTTTGGACACTGTCATGGGGTGTTTGGAGCATCGAAAAGCGCCTCGTGTGACCACTGAAGGAACGGTCCCCACAGCGCCGCCGAGGCGCCCTATTCCACTGGTTCACAAAGCCCAACGCTAGCTACCTAAGCACTTGGGGGGCACTTGGGGGCACTTGGGGGTGCCCTTGTTTGCCCCTCGTTGGCTGCTAGGTGCATTATCCCGCCACCACGCCGGCACTTATCATGGGTGGAGTAACTGTAACAAGTAGGCTTGCTAGATGCTCTCAGTGTCAGTCGGAGGCGTGCAGCGTGGAGCTTCTTCGAGATCTGCCTGTTTTCTCCGACTCCACGCCATCCATTCCCAACCGTGCCTTGCCTGCGCCTACGTTTGACCAAGCGAACGACACGTATCCGACCATCTCCTCCCATGGAGGACAGCTGATATCAATGTGTTTCCTCTGACCTGGACGACGCAAAAGACGTTTATTTGGGTCTGATTGGGGCAGCCAGGCCCGGGTCCGACGCCGAGGGAAAAAAAGCATCTGTCCGTCGCTCCTCAACCTCATCTTCTTTGTGCTGATCTCTGATCTTCCCTGTTCCTCATGTTGACATCCATGTCCTTGTCGAACACCTGGGCTTTATTCCTCCGCTGCCAGACGTTTGTGACGTTCTCTTATCCTCCCTGATCCAAGCACGATGCAACCGTTGCTCGCATAGCCAACGTACCTCAGAGCCGGACGGCTCATCGTAAACCGACCATGTCGTACTTTCTTCCTTCTTACTTTCAGAAGCGGCTGCTTCGATACGCCCTTCTCCGTCTCGACTTCATCGACTCAGACGAATTCGACCTTGACAACCTGGGGCTGAAATGGGGCCAGCGGACTGTGGTCGAGCTCAAGAACGTCGGAATCAAAGTCAAGAGAATCATCGACATCCTTCAACTTCCTGCCTCCTTCGCCCTTACCCATGCCTCCGCTAAGCTTTTGCGCCTTACTCTTCCAGCGGATCTTCACATCAGTGGCATCGAAATCGAAGTGGAAGGAGTGGAAATAATAGTGGCTGTTCGACCAGACATCACCACTGCTGTGGCCCCGGCCGGAACATCACGCTCAAAAGCAGGATTTGCTCCCAGCAAGACGGACCGTGCAAACCTACCTAGGTTAGCCTCTCCACCTGTTCATGATCCTGGTGGGAGGCATGGAGAAGCGGGAGGGCCACTGGAGTTGTCTCAGGTCATTCCCACATCAGAAGATCTGGCCGCGTCGTTCCTGGAGGCTGAGTCGCCTGGAGAAAGAGATGAACTACAAGCTGCACTCGAGTCACAGTCTCAGATGCACATGCAAGAATCGGTGACATCTTCTGCTTCGAGCGAGGATGTAGGCCTCGGCATGCCTGGAGGGCTATCCTTACCCACCTTTGTCGCGAATTTTCTTAAAGGTGTGGCAGACCGGTTATCCGTCAACATCAAGGACGTTAACGTCGTCTTGGAAATGGATCTCTCGGCGGGGAGCGCTGGCCCTGCAGAGAATACAAAGTTCATGCTTTCGGTTGGGAACATCGCCGTGGATGCTATAGAGAAGGCAGAAACCCTAGAGTCCGAGCCAGATACAAGACGGTCAATATCCATCGACGAAGTCCAGCTGTTTGTTCTGTCCGAGTCCGAGACTTTCTCAGAGTTTTCTGGCTTGAGTTCGCCGAAGCTAGCCAAGTCCCGTCCTCCAAATCCTGCTAGTGCACGCAGTGACCACAGTGATCTCATTCGATCAAGCACCACCAGCCTCAGTCAGCACTCCGATCATCCAAGGCTCTCGCCAGCGTCGTCGAGTAACTCTGGGCTTGGTATTGGGCTGGAAGATGTAGCGCTCTCAGAGTCTACCATCTTTGGCAGGCGATCCAGAACCATCCCAGTCCAACCCGATTCCGTGGCTGGATCTGAATCTATCGACAACAGAGCCCATGCAGAAGAAATTCAACACTCCGTCCGCCGAGGCAGCGATGAAGCGTTTAGGTTCCTCGATTCTCAGTCGGAGGACTTGGCAGAATCGAGGACTTTCACGCACGATGAGGCCGAGAGTATGTATATGAGCGCGATGAGTGGTCCGCTTAATATGCCGGGCGGACTCGCGTGGTCACGACCTAACCCAATGCCCGAACCAGAACAGCATAAGTACGCCGGAGAAAATGAGGATTTATCAGCTCGTCTGACCCACGAACCCGAGCCACTGAGCGGGATTCCTGAAGCCTCAATCGGCGGACCATCACGGTCTATCAATGAAACCGAAGGATCGAGCGGCGAGAGCGTCCTTGATAGTAGCCTGGCTTCATGCTTTCGCTCTCGAATTCTTCGCGTGAATGCTGCGTATTTCAAAGTTCCCCAACCGCACCATGAAGAAGCTCTGTCAGAAGCTGAGCAACCAATCCCATCACAACGTTCCAACTATGCTTTCCAGATCCGCCAAATGCATACAGCAGGGAGAAGCTCCCCAAGCACGTTCCTCAACGAGTCTCGACTCCAGTCTTTCCATGCCATGGGTCAGAGCCGAATTGTGGACCGACCAAAAGACAAACTGAGCATCGACGTCGGGGAGATTTCGGTGGACCTCGATATTGTGCTCTGTAGGGTTCTTGTGAGAGCGACACAGACCATCTCTGACGCAATTCCAATCAAGACTCAGAAGCCGAAGGCCTCCACATCAACCTCTCAAGAGAATGTCATTCCCGATGTCAACATCGAGAGCGTAAACCTCAACTTCTGCGAATCGGTACCCAGAAAGCCACCTAGCAAAGTTGGTGTCCAGACTGTAGAGTCAATGCTCTCCGATGAGCAAGCTCTTTTGAAGGTGTCGTTCACTTCAATAAGCTACGCGTCAGTCTCAGTCCCAGAGAAGAGCCAGCGACTATCGATCTCCAAGATTGTCGTGAACAATGGCCCTAGGGAAGTGCTGGCGTTTGTCGACTCCATTAACGTTCGAGACTCGATCGCAACCAGCTCTATGCTCAGGCCTCATGATGTCCTGGTTAATGTCTCGGGAAATCGATATGAAGTCCAGGTCAAACCCGTCTACATTGTCCTAGATTTGTTGGTTATCGATGATGTGCTCAGCAGAAGCGGTGGCTTGAGCTCTCTATTAGACCTCGGAAACTCTATCATGTCAACACACACTGTAAAAGGTCCAACTCCTGCACCGGCCCCGGAAGGTTCAAAACTACGTACTGTGAGGTTTAATGACCCTCAGAGAAGACCTAGGGCCGACAGTGATCCCTCATCGCCTTTGCCAAAGGTTGATATTCGAGTATCGGGAGCGGTTGTCGATTTGATTGGGTCCGAGTCTTCCATGCAGATCAGGTCCTCTGCCATCAAAACAGTCTACCGGGACAACAATGTGAAGGTGGTGATTGATGGTGCTGCGGTCGAGGGTCCATTGCTCGCCAGTTCCAGGGCTCGTGGGGACATCTACACAAAAATTCGCCACATCGAGGTGCACTATTCGAACGCTCCGGACGACGACGACCTGGATAGACTTTTGTCCCTAATCACGCCTTCCAGTGACAAATACGAGGAAGATGACGATATCATGGTTGATACCTTGTTGAGACAACGCCGTAAAGGCGGCGTCCTTCGTGTGACTGTTGGAGAACTTCAGGCCGGTGCTGCGGGTCTGCGTTGGGTGCCGCATCTAACAAAAGTCACTGACGAGATCTCGAAACTTTCGTCAGTCGCCAAATATCTGCCCGAAGATGATCGTCCGGGTATCCTGACCTTCGGGCTTCTGAAAAAGCTTGATTTCCGCTTTGACGTGGACGAGAAGTTTGGTCCTGTCACACTTCAGGCCGACCTGATAGAGGGAGCTCATATCAATGTGCCTTCCCTAGCTGCTGCTCAGATTGCAACTTGGTCAGTGTCGAGGAGCGATGAAGATGTGTTGATTGGGGATGTATCATCTCAGAGCAAGACTGTCTTAGGCCCTCCTATGTTCATGTGTCGATTCATCGCGGACGAGATGGAACCGACTGTTCGAATGAAACTCTCAAACACCTGCATCGAGTACAAGGTACCAACAATCGTTGCCCTCACCTCGCTCTTCGAGCGTCTGAAAGTCGATTACGCAGCCGCCGACAGACAGAGTGCTTCTTCACAACCCTCGAGCCCGTCATTGTCCCATGCTGGAGATGCAGCCAGTTTGGCGCGAAAGATCAGACTGTCCGTAACCTTCAGGGACTCAGCGATCGCACTTAACCCCGACAAGAGCGCAGCCAAGGGTCTCTTCGTGTTGACAGACGCTGTCATACGCCATGAGAATCAGAAGAGGGGGTCGACGGACATCTTAGACATCAAGAAAGCTTCCCTCCTTATTATTAACGATGCTTCTACGGTAGGACTGGAATCAGGAAATGTAGACCACAAGCTCTATTTCGAGGAAAATGACCAAGTTCAGCAACTCACAAAGGCCGGGTTCGTTCCGGTAGGGTCGATGTCTGCTGCGTCTGCCATCATCAAAGTGGTGGAGGATAAAGTCACGTCAGAAACACGAGTAGACGTGGAGTTCCGCAACAACCTTCTCTTTATCGAGACTTGCGCTGATTCCACCCAGACCATGATACAGATTTTGAGCGGCCTTGCACCTCCGTCACCACCTTCGAAGGTCGCTCAGTACCGGACCGAGGTTGTCCCGATTCAGGATATGTTGGCGTCATTTACTGGCAATGCTTTTGTCTCCGAGCCTGGACCAATGCTCGGCCTTCAGGCTTCAGGCAGAGCCTCGACTGCCGAGACCTCAAAAGAAAAAGCCGGGTATGACGTAGAGGAGGAAGACGAGAACGAGCTCATGACTGGCATGTATGGTGATGCCGATGATGCTGACGACGAGCTTACTGCAAGCCATGTGGAGTCAGATCTGGGCCGCTCTACCATGTCCGAAAGCGTGCACATAGCTCCGGTCGGTGCCACTGGTTCCGATATTGGCGACGCTGGCGCGAGCGTGATGATGCACAGTCTGTTAGACTTTAGAGCAGACCATTTCGTTCCCGAGTCATCAGTTGGTGGGACTGCACATCGCTGGAATTCAGTTCACAACACCTATGGTCTAGCGAGCGATTCGATCTTTGAGAGGTCTCCATTGAAGCTCCGTGTTAGAGATGTCCACATCATTTGGAATCTGTTTGATGGATACGACTGGCAAGCCACCAGGGATACCATCTCGCATGCGGTCAAGGAGATTGAGAACAAAGCGATGGCAAGACGCCCGCGGAGCAGCAGTCGGACGCCTGGTGCAGAAGATGAGGATGAGTCTGTTATAGGGGACTTTTTGTTCAATTCGATCTACATCGGCATTCCGGCGAACAAGGATCCCCGAGATTTGGCGAATGCCATCAATCACGATATCGACGATCTGGTGAGTGAAACAGGGAGCTATGCAACTGGAACAACGGTTACGGCAACTACGTCGCGACGCACATCAGGCACGGCCCCTAGACAAAAGAAGCTCAGGCTCAACCGCAGCAAACATCACAAGATGACATTCGAACTGGAAGGCGTCTCGGCCGATTTTCTGGCATTCCCTCCCAGCAGCGGCGAGGTCCAAAGTTCAATTGACGTTCGCATCAAGAAGATCGAGGTCTTCGATCACGTGCCCACATCGACATGGAAGAAATTCGCCACGTACATGCAAGACGCTGGTGAGCGTGAGCACGGGGCCAGCATGGTGCATCTCGAAGTTCTCAACGTGAAACCGGTCGCAGAACTATCAGCCTCAGAAATTGTGCTCAAAGTCAGTGTTTTGCCACTGAGACTGCATGTTGATCAGGATGCATTGGATTTCTTGACTCGGTTCTTCGAGTTCCGCGACGACAGTGCCCCTGCGTCGAGTGGTCCCTCTAGCCCGCCGTTCTTGCAGCGTGTGGAAGTGAATGCCGTGCAGCTCAAACTCGACTACAAACCAAAGAAGGTGGACTACGCAGGCCTGCGATCTGGACGGACGACCGAGTTCATGAATTTCTTCGTCCTGGACCGAGCAGACATGGTCCTGCGCCGAGTCATTCTGTACGGAGTGTCTGGATTCGACCGACTGGGTATCATGTTGAACAACATCTGGACGCCGGACGTCAGGCGAAATCAACTTCCCGGAGTTCTTGCTGGGTTGGCGCCTGTCCGACCTCTGGTTGATGTTACGAGCGGAGTGCGAGACCTCATCGCCGTGCCGATTCGCGAATATCGCAAGGATGGAAGGCTTGTGCGAAGCATTCAGAAAGGTGCATTGGCATTCGCAAAGACGACGGCGACTGAACTGGTCAATCTCGGAGCCAAGATGGCGATTGGCACGCAGCAGATTCTTCAGAATACGGAAGATCTGCTCGTGACTCGCGAACAGCAGGGGGAAATCGACGACGAGGATGAGACGCGGAAGCAGATTTCTCTGTATGCCGACCAGCCAATTGGCATCAAGCAAGGGCTGAGGACGGCATATGCAAACCTGGAACGAGATCTATTGATCGCTCGAGACGCAATCGTGGCAGTCCCCGGAGAGGTCATGGCTAGTTCTTCAGCCAAGGGCGCGGCCAAGGCGATTCTCAAGCAGAGTCCGACGATTATTCTGCGACCAGCGATTGGAGCCACGAAAGCGGTTGGGCAGACATTGATGGGTGCCGGCAATATGCTGGACAAACAGAATTTAAGGAGGATTGATGAGGTAAGTGCTGTCCTTCGTAGTGTGATGTTACGTTTGCGAGTCAATCCTAACGACGCGCTTAGAAATACAAGCGGCATTAATGTTGCTGCGGTTTCTTGTCGAGTCGAGATTGGTCTACAAACTATTCGGTTCCGCGCTGCCATACATACAAGCTGGGCGCTGGGCGACAAATGCATTTGCTATGGGCGAATTCCAGCGTACGACATGGGTTTGGAGTTGCATAGCCGGAGTGTGAAAGAGGCATTGTTTTCTGTCCCGTGTTTTCCTTGCATGATTGTCCGCGAACGACTAACCGGTGAATGAAACGGCGCCACGAATGAAACGAGACCACACTTGCCTATCTGAAAAAATGATACGAACATAAATTGGAATGGAGAACAGAATGTGCTTATCACGAGGGTACAGAACCTGCAAGGAGTTGGTGGCTTGGATGTCAGTGGATTGGATTGGGTGTGCATCTGAGATGGCTACGAGTACCTAGTCCACAGGCTGTAAACTGCACATGAATCTATATTTTCTGCACCTTTGCCTTCCCGTTGCTTATACGATCAGGTGGCTGTCGTAACATGTGCACTGGGTCAAAAGGGAGTGAGTGCATAATGGAAGCACGCGGGAACTGCGCAGATGGTGGATGCATCTGACCACCGTTCCAGCCATGCGGCCTTCCTTGACGTGATTCCTCTTCTTGTAAGGCCCTCTCGTGAGGATCGAGTAATGGAAGTCGAACGAGTCTGCCTTGAGGATCACCTTCCAATGCGAATATACTTTGTACCGCCTCTTACCCCAGGCTTGCCCAGGGGGACACAAACGTCTCATTAACCCCCCCTTTCCTATTCGCGCCCTCTGGAGAGGATAACGCCATGTTGTTTGAGAAACACAGCGTGCCCAATGGATGTGCCTGCTGTTGGGTGCTAGAAAGGTTTGCAAGGGGTCTAGGCGGATACAATAGCGGTTGTTTTGTCGCATGTTAAATCTCCGAGCCAGCCGCCGAGGCGGAATCAGGCAGGAGGCAAATCGAGCTGGCAATAACAAGCGCGTGTTCTTGGAGGGGGAGGATTCTGGATTACTCGGGGTCGAGAGTCACCGAGAGTGGGTGGACAGTGGGTGGAAAAGTGGGATTGCCTGCTGCGCCTCGTTAGCCAGCCTCATTGGGTCTCGGAGGGTTCTTGAGTTGCTAGCGAAGTGGGGGGTGGTAAGGCTGTGCACACGGGGATCATTCCTCACTAATAAATGAAGCTCTCTTGTGTATCAAGAGTTCACGTTACAGCCCTCCTGAGCCCTCGAGATGCAGCCTGGGCGGAATCCAGAGGCGCGGGGGGAGTATGTGGATGCATGATGAGGGCTTGTTGTTTGCCCAGAGGGAAGAAGAAGAATGAGAAGTATATCTTCGCTGCGGTGCCCACGAGGAAAAGAAACGATCAAGTCAAACAAGCCAAACAAGAAGACCAAGAATAAGACCAAGAACAACAACAACAACAACAACAACAACAACAAAGAACAAGCAGGCCAACCCTGAGTCTGCTCTCACTTTCACTTGACTACAGGAGCTCCACGTGGCAAATCGATCCGTGTCACTGCGTCACTTGAGTCACGAGGGAAAAATACAAAAGACAACAACAAACGACACCATGGAGGCTCCCATCCTCATCTCACCCAACTCTTTCCACTCCCGTCTGCCCAAGATGGATAATCTCTTTCGCCGGCTGAGTTCCAGGAAGTCGTTCAAGAGTAGTCATGGCTCGTTGCCAGCTGCACCCTTGACAGCGTCCCAACGACCATCTCAACCTCAATCCCCCATCGCTTGGGCCAGACACAACAACCAGGATGCCAGCAACCCTTTTGCTACCACAACGCCAACTCGTCGTCCAGCAGCAGCTGGACCCCCGCCGCCTTACTCTCCACGCTCGGCAGCGTCGAACAATAACAATGTCCCCTATTCGCCCGCCGACCTGTCCAACGCCATGCAAGTCGCCGATGACTCGCCATATGCCTTCCTGCGCACCTTCGACACCATTTTCCTCATTGACGATTCTGGCTCCATGGCTGGCCGCTCCTGGAGAGAGACCTCTGCCGCCCTTGCTGCCATTGCTCCCATCTGTACTGCCCACGATCCCGACGGAATCGACGTCTACTTCTTGAACCATCGGAACCCGCACACCAACCAGGGTGGCTACACAAACATCACAACCACGGCCGCGGTGCAGAGTCTCTTCCAAAACGTGCGACCTTTGGGCGGCACACCCACGGGGACACGTCTCAACCAGATCCTGAAACCGTACCTTTCCGAACTGGCCGATTCCCTCGAACGCCAGGCCCACGGCTACGAGGCAATCGTGAAACCGCTCAACATCATCGCCATCACGGACGGGGTTCCCTCCGACGACGTCGAGAGCGTCATTGTCAGCGCCGCCAGGAAACTCGACGGCATGTCCGCCGAGGCGTGGCAGGTCGGTATCCAATTCTTCCAGGTTGGACGGGAACCCGAGGCTAGGGACATGCTCAGGGAACTGGACGATGCGCTGAGCGGCGAGTACCACATCCGAGACATGGTCGACACGGTGCCCTGGAACGGTGAAGAAGGCGATGAAGGCCTCACGGCGCAGGGGTTGTTGAAGGTATGCTTGGGCAGTGTTGTCCGACGGTGGGATCGGAGGAGTGTATGATTACGGTGATGGTCTCGGTCAGGTTATACCTAACAAGTGCATTCGTGGCGTTTCACAACAAACCGGAAACAAAAGAAAACAGGCATTCATTGATAATCCAGGGAGGAGAAATTGTTAACAGCATGCAGTGGTCTCACCAGTATCCGAGGGGGAGAAGATCTCTAGTCTCCTTCACGGACCGGAGTATTCTCGCTTCATCACACAAACAGGGAAGGGATGGAAGACGGTGGAAGACGGCTTTGTCGAGGGAGGCTTGAAACCGTTCAAACTTTTGTGTATTACTACAGACTAGCCAGCGAGCGAGCGCGCAGAGCTACTTGGCTGCCCAGATGATGAGAATGGGCTCACGCTTTGTACCGGGTCGAGTCGATGGGGGAAAGAAGCAAAGATCGGTAGACCGAACCTCGAGAGCACTGAGGAATCTCGTTGCTATACAATGTGAATCCTTCCGTCCATCTTCCTGTCGGTACATCAGTATATCCTTCCATCCACCTCTCCACTCACACCGTCGTTTCTCACTTACTCACTCGACTCGGTCGCGGTGGCTACTTTCTCGTATCCTATCGCATCGCATCGCATCGCCTCGCCTCGCCTAGATGCCCCTGCCCTAGTAGACCCTGCCGTCGTAGACCCTGGCCCAGTCCAGCGCGGCATCGCCGCTCGTTTTGTTCGCCTTCTCGCCGCTCGTCAAAAGGACGGAAAGTACGAGGACGGCGGCGACGGCGAGGCTGGCCCCCTCGCAGGCGCGTGTGGTTTGCCGCCACTAGGCTGTGTGCTGGCGAGCTGCGGCGGCGGTTTTCGTCCACTAGGCTGCTGTACTACACGTGCAACAAATACCGAGTACTTGGTAGGCTTTTCTTCGGGCGCGGATTTTGGCGCCAAACGCCTTCGGCTGACTATTCGCTAGATTATGCCTCATGGAAGGGGGAATCCTATTGGCACGCATCATACCTGTACACCTTATACACCGAGGACGGCAAACCCCCAAGTACACAAGTCAGTGAGGCTGAGACGCATCAGGAGCCCCGTTATAGAGAGAGAGGGAGAGAGATTGTGATGTTACTTCGTCACCCCTCGGGTGTTCCCCCCTCCCCGGTAATACAGGAGAAGATGCAAATCGCGCAGCTAGAACTCCTCAAGGCATCATACGAGGTAACCTTTTAAAGTTTACACAGATAGACAGACTGCCAGATGGAGCTCGGCCAGACTTGTCACTCCCATGCAGATGCCTAATTGAATGCACACAGTACATATTAACGCCCGCTCAAAACTAAACTCGCCTTTTGCGCCTCCCATCATCATCCCTTGGCCCAGTATCATGTTATGCCCTTGATGCTCACCGCTGCGTTCCTGACCGTCGGAGAAAGAAGGATAAGATTAATAATAATGTGTTGTTGTCGTCGTTGTCGTCGTTGTCGTCCTGTACTGTGAGCTCTCCAGAGCGGATCCGATATGGTGCGTCCAGTTGAGCAAAACACCAGAGCTTTGCGCAGACCATCCTTCCACGACAAAGGTCGACTGCTCTAGCCCAGCAAACCAAGGCTTTCATACTGTCTCTGCACAGAGAAACAGTGTCCTCATCTTGGTTCTTGCGTTCTCTGCCCTTCCTGTTCTCCCCAAGAGGCCAAAGGAGTTTCGCCCAAACACCTTGGCTGTCTTCAACTCTCCATCCTCATCGGCTGACCTCTCAGTAAGTCACCAAACTAACGTGCCCGTCTCCTAACGCTGCACACGCCAGCAACATGCGATGTGGATGGTATGCCGTTGCCACTATTGGAGCCTGGTGCCCCCTGCCTGCAAGACTGCCACCGACGACATGCGCCATTCGACTACTCGAAGGTTCAAAGATACCCAATGTGTCCCCGTTTGTGTTGAACGATCTCACTTCGTGTTTGTCGGTACCCACGGCGAAGACTGGAGCGTGCTCATGTACGGAGAGGCTGCGGAGGAGTGTCGTCGAGCCTCCCGCCATGGATGCTGTGGAGCTGGTAGTGCCAGCCGTACTCGTCCCATCTTTGCCATATTCGGGCTTTAAAGGCGATGGGCTTGATGAAGTAGCGTTCAACGTCAGAACGGCCTTATCATTCCGCAGATCCCACAATTTCACCTCCCCGTTTCTGCTTCCAGAGATGAGTTCCCTCACACCACCACGCTGCATGTGAATATTTGTTATCCACTGTCTATGCTCGCGCCAGAGCTTGACCATCGCTGTCCGAGGGTTGAGTCGCTGGTCAAACACGCGAATCACGCCGTCTCCAAAACCCGCAATGAAGATCTGCCCTGCCACCTGATCACTAGTCAGGCTGGTCACACAGCTAGAACTGCGTGCCGGAATGTCCCCAACGCAAAGCTCCGTCGCCGCATTCCACACTTTGATGACTTTAACGTCCCCGGCCACGAGGGCTTTGCCTTGCCCTTGCTGCCAGTCAAAGACTAGTCCAGCGTTCTTGTTGCTAGGGATCAGCTCCGTCAACGCCCGGAATGCAGTTATCACCTTGACGTCCGCTGAATTATGGTAGTTGCGGTATACCTTGAGAACACCGTCGGAACTACCCACCATCAAAAGAGGTTGATCATCCTCATTCAAGAATTTGGCATCATTGATTCTGCTCCCCGTGGGATTCCCGTTGCTGAACCGACTCAATTGTTCATTGTTCTTAAAATCCCAGACAGTGACAGTGTCCTTGTCGTCGGTGACGGCAAGGTGGTTGTCAAATTGATGGAACGTCAGCTTCATGGGCTGGCTCTGGTTGTTGAGGAAGCCTTCATAGCGAGTCCATTTGGAGCTTCCTGCTATGCCTTTTAGTGGTTGATTGTCGGCAATGATCTTTTCGTTGCGGTTGCGGCGCCATAGTCTGGAATTGTAGTCAGCCGAGCCGGGCTCGTCGGGATCATTGGGTCTCATTTGCGGTTCACGGAAATATTCGGTTGACCAGTCTAGCAAAGTACTCTGCAGTGGGAAGACCGGTCGCTTTTTTGGGTCGAGAGAAACGAAGCCCGCCGAAGTGGGCAGAACGGCGGAGTGATACGATCCTGGGGTGCTCCTCGTATCAGTCGTTTCCGGTGGACGGCTCCATTCAGGCGGAAGACGACTTCGAGGAGTATTGACAGGTTGAACGAGTTCCCTGGTTTTAGTGGGAGATGTTTGAGGACTGTTTTCCCTTGAAGAAGCTGAAGGGTTTGAAGAACCAGCACCAAAGGCGAGGTTGCGGAGCGAGCTGCCTGCTCTCTTCAGGCTTAGCGACAGATAGCTCTGCTGTTTGGGCAATGTGGGAGGAGGAGTGCCCGGTTGTTTCTCGATCGTCCGGAGCGAATCCCGGGACGAAACCTGCTTGAGCTGGGACTCCTCCCTCTTCGAGAATCGCAACAGGTCGTCAATAACGGCCATCGCCATGTGACTCATGGGAGAGTTGATCAATGTATCGTGCACATGGTCGACAATGATCGAAGCATTCCGCGCAATTTCTGGGTGGGGATCGACAGACAGCATCAAAATTTGAACCCAGATCGAACCATAAATTGTGTTTGCCGAGATTGGCATCCACTTGAGAGAATCACCAGCTTCGAAGCCGCTCGATTCGGACTGCTTGAATGGGTGTCTGTCCCTTTCTTCCACGAGCTGCTCGTACGCAACGACGATAAATTTGTTCTCGTACCGCTTCACAAAGTGGGAAAGGAAGACGACCAGCTCTTTCCTCACCAATGTGCTGCCATCAGAGGTCATAAAAAGGACAGAAGAGGCAATTCCTTCTTCAATCTGAGACACCTGATCAGTTAGGTCCGGAATGCCGAGGAAGTTGGTAAGTGCATGGAGCATGGCGGCTCGAACTTCTGGAACGGGATCAAGTGACAGTTCGCAGAGTCTGGCATGAGCCATGCAGCGAATGCCCATCCATTTCGCATCAGCATAGTCGCACCAGAGCATGCTGAGGCACAAACAAGACCACTGTCGCAGCAAGGGATTTTCAGGCTCCGCCATATTGAGTAAACAGGCACTGAAGAGTTCAGGCAACAGGCAGACTGTCTGGCCTGGAGGATATCTCTTGCAGAATGTGGCCACAATAAAGGCACACATGGCTCGATGTTCGCTGGCGTTGCCGACGGGAATATCTGAACGTGGGTTCATGATGGAAATGAAATAATGGATGCCGTTATCCTTGAGTAAATCATTCTGCACCGTATAGTCAACCGCCATGATTCTAGCCCAGATGAAGACCATCACCGGCTTGAGCTCTAAAGAGGCTGCTTGGAGAAGCTTCACTACATAAGGGAAGATTCCAATACTCAAAGCCAGGTGAACGGCCCACGGTCCGAGGTCCAGGAATTTGCTGAGCAGAATCAGAGCACGAAGTCGATGCACTTGGCTGAGGAGGACTTGGAGAACGATCGGCAACTGGTCGGGGGCACGATCTTTGGTTGGACCAGAGCTGAGATACACCTCGAAAGCTGTAAGCTGTTCCGAAAAGAACGTCGAGTGTTGATATTCGTAGACCCGTTTCCCCTCTTCAGCTTCACGAAGCATAGGTAGCTGTGCCAACACCATTTCCATGGCAAGATCCCAACTCTGCCAAAGAGGATGTCGATGTGTTTCTGGCAAGGCTGGTGACGATATAGGGTGACAATGATTTGCCCTCATGATACGCTCACTCAACAGGAAATTGCGGAACAGTGCTGCGACCATAAGATCTTGACGGAAAAGCTTCTTGAACAAATGTCGCGGCAGGATGTTCCAAGCGATAGTGTCAGTGATGGCTGTGAAAATCCAGTTGAGCTCTCCCAAAGGACTCCGTCTGTCCTGCAAACGGCCTGGAACGGGTATCTTCCCATCTTCGATGGCAGGTCCGTTGGGAAGCGGATTTTGTAACACAAAATATCTCAGGGCTATGTCTATCGGCGTCGTCAGGCAACATGTGAAAAGATCGGCGGGGAGTTCTGGATTTGTAGGCAACATCTCGGTTCTCCCGCAAGCCGCCAGCTGAATGCAGTCCCCGTAGTTCTGAACAGGTGCATTGGGATCTCGTTTCTTGAGCTCCTCATTCTCCTTTTCGTGCTTGGCGAGGAATGTGTCGAAGTTGTAGACAATATTGCCAGCGTGGGACACGTCGTAGACAAACAGACTGGGCCCTCCGAGCCACAACTGCAGGTCGTAAAGTCCCACCGGTATATACTGTGTGTAATTTTTATTGAAGACCCAGATCTCCCCAGACGGGGTGGGCAGAGGCACTCCATGGCCATTGTAGTGGAAAAGCACCCTCTCATCCTTCGCGTTACGACGCAATGAGATGCAAAACCGTTTCGTTTCGTCGATTGACGGATCGAGATACTGCTTGTATCTTGTCCGCAGACTCAATGACTCGTATTGCTCCTGCAGGCGTTTACCAATTTGTTCCATCGTCTTCGTCGTACCCCCACTGCTTCCCGTCGGGTCAACCCACGCTTCGAGCTTCGCAGTGGGGTTCGTCTTGATCACATCGGGAGGGTCCACACCGATGTTGAGACAGATGGCCAATGCCGCAGACACAGTCTTCATCCGGTCTTTCATGCGCCAGTCCACGCTGGGAAACTGTTTAGATTCCTCAGACAACGAGCCGTTGCTTTCATGCCGCTTTTCCGTGTAGTACATGTAAAATGTCGAGTGCAATAGTGACAGGTATTCGTTCGACGTGTACTCATCGTCCCAGCCATGTCGAATGTGCGCCAGCTTGTCCTCTGCCGCAACTTTTTGAAGTCCCTCCTTGCGTCGGGGCCCGAGATCGCTCTTCGTGCGTTGCAATAAAGCAACTGGCCTCGCCGTCAAATAGTCTTCCGCATCTTGAGGTATTATTCTTGGGGTGGACGGCCCATTTTGTTGCACTCGACCGGGGCCACTGAGCAGGGAGGGTTGTTTGAGGGCGGAGCTTGATGGGAAGCGACCTCCATCTTCGAGCATGTCTTGAGCCGTAGATTGTTCGCCCTCTTGAGTTGCAGGCCGGCGGCGGTTCACGTCAAGCGGCCCCAACCCGGCACTCGTCGGACCATTGTGAGAGGCCATGGTCTTCGTCGCGGGTGTAGCTAGATCAGGTTCGCGCATGTCCAACGAACCACAGCACTTCAGCCGGCATGCCACTGCAAGAACTTCTTAGAGTCTTAACATCGGTAGGCGCGGTCGGTTCGCAAAATGGGCGGTGACTTGAGGCAGATGTGAGATCAGGGAAGAAAATGCAATGGGCAGTCAAGGTCGGTCAAGGTCGTACCGAGGCAGCCCCCAGCCTATCTAATAACGTCAGCAATCATGTGTTTGAATAAGAGGGGGTATTACTACTGGAATTGATGTGAACTGGGAGGGCCCAAATGGTAGTCGGCCGCCTGTGACACGGATCCTGGAGACGAAGGCATTACGGCCGACGCTTGACCAAAAAACCTGCCTGCTGCAAAATGCGGGGAGCCGCACGAGCCAGCCTTGCAGAGCGAACAATATTCGACAAGGTCACGTGCAACAACGCAAGCCTCCCCAGATCGTTGGCCTCGACAGGTCCCCTTTCTCTTCATTGTTAAAGTCCACTCTTCAAAACAGCATCGCCATTCACGAGATTGTAAAGCCTGTGGCTGATGGTCGCATGTATTTGTTCGACATCCATTCATCTAATTTGGGACACATCCTACCAAACCCACCCAACCACATCCCAATTCCGTCCCATATTTAACAGTTCTGCGCTCAATGTTCTGCAATTAAAACTACATTGAGCTCCTAGCCAGTAGACAGCTCCATGAAACTTGTTTCGTCACTGTCATCCGCATATTGAGCTCCCAGAAGGCACAATAACTCCAATAAGAATATAAAAAACAAACAAACGAGAGGTCGAGTTTCTTTACACAGACACCCAACTCTTTTTGCTGTGTCACATTTCCTCATGCGACAGTCGACGTTTCTCTTGTTCCATTTTCTTCTTCTTCAAGCCGCCGCCTCCAGTTGGCGAGATTATCACTCAGCTCTGTCCCATGACTCTCTGTGGTAGGTGTCCTCTCCGAGTCAAAAGTCGTGCTAAGTCGATAGTTATTCCTGCTCGTGCTCTCCCATTGTGATCGGAGCGTCTCCAGCTCGGAAGCCAAGTTATCCAATGCAATAGATCCTCGTTCGTCTCGAGATAAAGCCTCTTCGTTGACCGAGACATCTGTTAGCGTCGAGGTACTTTCCTCTCGGTCGTGGCCAACACCGTTGATGCCATGGGGCAGAGGTTGTAACTGTGACTGACGGCGATAGTTTCCTACTGACTGGCCCACTTGATCCAGGAGCATTGTCACTCGACTTTCGGCCTCTTCCGCCTGCTTTTCGAGCATCGAGTTTTCCGACTTGAGTTGCTCCAGTTCTTTGCCCAGTCTTTGCGCGGTTTGTGTGAGCTCCTCATGACTAGCTTTTTGCTGATCTCTCTCTGCCTGTATAGTTGAAAGCTCCGACTTCAGTGAGGCAATGTTCGACTCTAACAGATCAATTTGTCTGCTCGTCTGCGTCTTCATCTCTTCAATTGAAGATTGAAGTTGCTTCCGTTCGTCGTCCCAGGCCGAGGTGTCGGCTGCCGTCCCAGAAGCCGCACTGGTACTTCGAGCGGTCTCCAATTCGCCCGTTAGCTGCGCGTTTTGGGATTTGTATTTGGTGAGCTCTTCCTTCATCTTCTTCAGCATCTTCTCGGTGCCCTTGACGTAATGTACAGCTGACTGATAATCGTTCTCGAGCTGCTCCAACTTCTCCTTGTAGGTGCTGTCGGCTTCCTGCATACGAGCCTCGAATTGACTCTTAGTCTCGTCATGAGCTTTGAGACTGGCTTGCAATTGTTGATCGAGTTCACGGAGACGCGCTTGCTCCGGTGTGCCAAAACGAGAACTTGGAGAGTGTTCGAATATGGGCGACCGTCGGACATCGGAGACATTCATGCCGCGCTCGCCTAATAGGTCTTTGAGCGCACTGTGTTGAACTGCAAGTGCGCTAGCATCTCGCTGATGCATCTCGAGGTTTGATCGCAATTCGCGGATCTCTGCCTGGTAGTTTTGCGTATCCCGCAAAGCAGTCTGTAACTGTCGCCGGATCTGGAGAGCTTCGCGGCTGGATTGTTCCTGATACGCTTCCAGTCCGGCAATTCGTTCTTCTGCATTGCGTAGCTTCTGTGCTGCTTTATCCGCAGCTTCCTGGTTGCGTTTGGCCAAACTTGAGGCTTCCTCGGCTGATTCACGAAGAGCTGCGATTTTCTGCTCAGCCACCGCGTCTTGCTTAGAGGCTGTGTCGGAAGATGACAGCTTGGCTAGCCCGGCGAGAAGAGCCTCGCGATGAGTCGCAGCTTCCCTGGCGTGGGTTTCGGCCAACTCTTCGGCATCACGCAGGCGTTTCGAGACGGTTTCCAATTCTGTAGTTCTATCTTCATGCTCGGCTCTTAATTGAGATAGTTTCCTCTCCGCAACTTCTCTTTGTCCGCGCTCTTCTTCAATTTGCCGTTCATAAAGGCTGGCTTTGCTCGTTGACGCTGCAACGGCAGCTTCCAAAGCAGCCATCGACGCCGTATGACCCGCTAGCCGCGATGATGTATCCTCGTGCATCTTGATCAAACTGTCGTGATCAACTCGCAGTGTGCGCAACTGCTCTTCAACTTCGGCTCTACGGCCTGCCTCTGCTCGCGCCAGACTCTGAGCTTCGTGAAGTTCAGCACGGAGACCCTCGAGTTCTGCCGGATTTCGATTCTTGCTTAGCTCATCATACCGGAGCTGCAGAGCGTCTATAGACTCTTCTGCCAGTTCTCGAGCTTTTCTTTCGGAAGCAAGATCGTTGTTCAAGGAATCAAGCTTAGCTTTGTGCTCAGACTGTGCAGCGAGAGCCAAAGCGAGCCGGCGTGAAAGGTCAGTGAAACGTTCTTGCTCGTCAGGTTCGCGCCCAGCGTCGGGTTGAGGTGTGCTGCGCTGGCTACCACCATGGGCAGCAAGCTTGGCTCGTGCGTATGCAGCTTCTGTAACGGCGGCATCGCGCTGATGTTCCACCTCGGCAATCCGTCTTGCCATCAACGTGGCTTGCGATTCCATGGCTTCTTGCATCTTGATAATTTCTGTTCTCATGGTCATAAAGGCTTCCATTAGTGGTCGATCGTCATCTGCAACTTGGCTGAAGGTACGCTCGTCGAACGTAGGGCTAGAGGAAGCGCCGGTATGGTAACCTTGCTTCCGAGCAAGAGCCAATTCTGAAGCATACCACGCGTTTGTCTTTTTCACAGTTTCTAGCTCCTTGAGGAGCGCCTCTTGATGAGCATTCATCTTGGGAGATTTGGGCTCATCGCCGGGTATGCTTCGTAAGCTTCGATTATCAGCTTGTGATTCTCCGTGATGTCTGCCCGAGGATGAGCGTCCCAAAAGCCCGTCTTCTGTGCTATCGATTGAACTTTGAGCTCGCTGGGACCTGAGAGACCGTTGTCTGGCCACACCGCTACTCATGAGAGGAGCTGCTTCACCTGCTTCCATAGCTTTTGCCTTTGACTCGGTTCGTTGTGTTGGAGTCCTACGCCCAAAAGTGCTCGGGCTTCCTTCGCGGCTAGGCCTGATGTTCTCTTTCTGTACATCTCTCACCGCTGGAGGCTGTATTATCCCATCTGGAGGAGCAGTTCGTACGCCATCCGTGCTGGCTGCGGCACCTCTTGTGTCGAGCGGCGGACCATTGTACCTGGCTTTTGGACCATTGGGGGCATTTGGAGGAGACTGGACTCCATTCGCACGTGGCGTGGGCGCTTGTCCCTGGGGCGGAGGTCCAGAAGGCGCCTGCCCCATAGATGCTCGTGGCAGTCGCGACTGTACGTTGTTTTGCGCAGCGTCTGGCCTTTGGACCGGACCACCCGAGAACTGTTCCCGAGATGCATTCTGACTTCTTGCCCCTTCTCGCGATGTTGAACGGAGAGGCATAACAGATCTTGCTTCTGTGCTTGGTCTTCGGGTCGGGCTGCTGGGCTGCCTCGAATCTGCAGGTTGGCCAGAAGCTGGTGCATCATTTGGGTACCTTATTTTTGCAGTGTCCAGTACGTAAACCATACTGAGCTCTGCAGGATCCCGCGGGGCTGAACTAGGCTCCCCAGCGAGAACGATGATTTTGTCGCGGTACGCTGTCATACTGTGACCAGATCTGGGTGACGGCGACGGGCCCATGTTCTGAAAAGTATACCATCGCTTTGATGAGATGCGAAAGGCCGCCAGATCACCAAGGTCTGTTCCTTCTTCAGTTCTGCCACCGAAGATATACATGACGTCGTTGACCAAGGCGGCAGAGTGGCCCTCACGAGGAGCAGGAATATATCCTATGCAGTCTTGCTGCGTCCAAACGTTGGTGATGGGACTGTACGTCCAGACATCGTTGAACCATTGAGTGCCATTGGTGCCTCCGAATCTACCGAAGAAGAATTGATTAGACAAGTTCCGGTAGCCTATCGTGCTTCACTTACAGAAATAGCTGGTCATTATAGCTGACGATCGTGTGATTCGTCCTCGCAGCAGGCACTTTTGCATTCGGGCCAACGGTGTCGTCTCCCGTGTTCTGCAGCAAAAACTCCCACTGATTTAGCGGGTTCTGCAAGGCGTTCAGGTCGAAAGCTATTAAATCATTGAAGAAATAGCCCTCAACCTGACCTCCAAAGATGTATATCTTGGAGCCCAGAATATTGAGGGTATGGCCATATCGTCCAGAGGGTCGTGGACCCGGAGGCGCTGCCCTCGACCACTGCCGAGAAGCTTCAGGATGGTGAGCAAAAATCTACTTGAAAAGGGAAACTCGAGACCTGATCCACTTACAAGTGTTAAGCAGGTACAAAGTGTCATCGAGCACGTCATTATCGTCCATCTTGGTATCACCGCCGAACACGATGAAAGCATTGCCAACGAGCAAACTTGCGTGTCCAACGCGGGGCCCAGGTCCTTCGGAAACTGTGGCGATGGGATAGCAAGAGAGATTTCCGCCTCCGGACTCGACCATCCACAAGTCGCCCCGGACCATTGAACCGTTGATCAGCCCACCCATGATATAAATGTCACCATCTTTTGAGGCAATCGCGTTCACCGCCGCGCCGTAACGAGGGAAGGGATTAGACTGCGGTGTAGGGAAATTCAAGCGCCGCTGCGACCAGGGATATAGAGCGGCATTAGGGACTTGAGTCGCCTGCGAAGTCGAAGGCCGAGCCTGCAGAAAACCATTGTCAGCTTTCCATTCGACATCCACCCACACAGAAGTTGACGTACCCCGGATTCTGATTCGGATCTCTCGCGGCGTGCATATGGGGCTCCACTGGCCAATGTCGAGTTCATTGAACTCATGGAGCCATTTGGATTTGAATTGGGATTAGGATTAGGAGGCGGCGACTGGGTAGATCTCTCCCCTGTGCTGTCTATTGAACCATTCGGGCCTGACGAAGAGGGTGTGGGAGTGCCGTCAGAGGTATGGATATTTCGACTCGCAGGGGGCAAGCCCGAGGCGGGCGGCGCGTTCTTCCTACTTTTAAAAAGGAAGGCCATCGTTCGTGACTTCGCAACGTGGTGGTGACTCGGGAGGTACGGCCAAATGAGACACGGTGTACCAGATGCGCAGAGCTGGCGCAGAGCGAACCATACACCTCATTCAAGCACAATCCATCGTCTCGAGATACACCAGGGGGGAACCCGAAATAACAGCAATTATGTTCCAGGACCGCGGCCGTGATCAGTCGATGAGTTTTCCGAAGTGGTCGATGCTCGCTCGCAATGCAATTCAGGTCTGGCTGCCAAGGGAAGGCTTATGCAGGCACCGGATGCCCCCCAATTAATTCCAACGCGATCAAAGCTGTGAACGCGCCCGTGCACCTGCAGGAGTCGGGGCGGTAAAAAGAAAAATTGTCAATTTCAATTCGAGGCAAGGTCCAACACAACGCCAAAAATGACGAGTGGAAACAGAGGCGACAGGAATAAAATGGAGATGGACGGGTGATGATGATGGCGACGAGGAGGAATATGGGAAACCCTACTCAGTATGGGATCAGGAGAATTATTTCTGTCAACCCAGAGAAGTGTCTGTCGCCCGCGGGCGCAGCCTGGCACGAACTGGATGGAGAATTAGAGAGATGAGGGCCGGGATGCTCCAGCTTCCCAGTCCCGGGCTCCAAGCATGTTTCAGGCGGCTGATTCGAGCCTAGCCCCAACTTGCCCCCCCGGCTAAGCGTCTCTACCGTCTCCTCTCTCATGCGTCTCTGGCGCCCATGGTGCTAAACAAGCAGCAGGAATAAAAAAAATAACTGGGTAATAGACGGAGTGCTCGTTGTTGCTCCCCCTTATCTGTAGTTTGGCCTCCTGCTCTCTACTCCATCTTTCAGCGGTTAGGCTCGAGGTATGTAGACGTCCTGCAAGGAGAGACAAACGCCATCACGACTCGCTGGTCCTCCACCTTCCATCATGATGCCATCTCAGCCGCAAAACTGCAGCTCTCTGCTCCCTGCCTTCTGCCCTGGTTGAAGAAACCTTGGAAGTTCTATTCCGGTAACGATTCCGGGGCTGACGATTCCCGCACGTGACTGTCCATCGGCCTTATCAAGGATGATTGGGCGACTCGATTACCACCTTGCAACACCTTGACGACATCCAGGACCACCTTGGGACATCCATAGCCATGCACAAGCCTCCCCCAAACGACACACGTCTGACCATAGACAAATCACAAAGACGGACAAACTTTTGCTCGCACCACTAGCCAACATTCTGGGCATCCTTCTGCGAAACTTCCTGAACCTAACTGGACTCCTTGCTGGTCACCTGCACCCTTATCAATCAGGTGCTGAGGTCATTGAATGCGCAGTGCCACCATTGGTCTCTAAGGGTAAACCGATGCTCGATACCACATCGAGGCAGAAAAGGTTCCCGTGAGTCTAACAAACCTACCTGGTTATCTGCCTTGCCGAAGTCACGGTGACTCTGACTGTAAACGTGACAGTATGAGACTGTGCGCCAAATATCCTTGACGAGCAGAGAGATTCCCGTGGCGATCGCACGAACGATATTGACAACGTCGACAACGTTGACAACTTTCAGCCCTCCGGTCCACCTAAGGCGAAAAGCCTTTGAAGCACCAAGACCCAAGACTCTGGCTTCCCGGAGTCCGAGGTTCCCCTGGAGAAGAGGGTGATTGTACCACAGCCCTACCTATCGGCCCATTCAGCCTCGCGATACCACCACGCGCGGCACTACGAGTGGGAGGAATTGGGATTGGGAACAGGGACCGGCTCTCTCTTGACAGGGATCCAGAATTTATGCACCATTCATCATGGCCTCAGACTCCCCAACTGATCAACCTCAACCTCTTCCCGAAGTCGACCTCAAAACTTTCATTGCGCAAATGCCCAAGGCGGAACTCCATGTCCACCTCGAGGGCTGCCTCACGCCCGTTCTGGCCCGCTCGCTCGCGTCGCGGAACAACCTGCCCCCACCATCATCGCTTTCCCACCTAGAACCCTCTCACCCAGAGGCAGGCTACGCGTTCAACGACCTCACGTCGTTCCTGCAGATCTACTACCCGAACCTCGCCGTGTTGGTGACGGCAGAGGACTTCTCCGACCTGGCGCTGAGCTACCTGCGCACTGCGCACGCCCAGAACGTGAAGCACGTCGAACTTTTTTTCGACCCGCAAGCGCACACGTCGCGCGGCATCCCCTTTCCGACCGTGGTGAGGGGCTACCGGCACGGGGTCATCACGGCGCAGCGCACGCTAGGCATCTCCGCGAGCCTGATCATGTGTTTCCTGCGTGACCACAGCGCCGAGTACGCCATGTCGACGCTGATGGAGTCGCTGCCGTTCAAAGACAGCATCATCGGTGTGGGCCTGGACAGCGACGAGCGCGACAACCCGCCCAGCAAGTTCGCGTCCGTCTTCCAGCGCGCCGCCCGCGAGGGATACCTGCTCACCATGCACTGCGACATCGATCAGCCCAACATCCTGACGCACATCGGACAAGCGATCAACGAGATCCAGGTCGACAGGATAGACCACGGCACAAACATCATTGAGTCGCCCGAGCTGGTCGACACCATCAAGACGCGTGGCATCGGTCTCACGTGCTGTCCAATCTCCAACTCGGTCGTCACCGCGGACTTCAAGGGCCGGGAAATCGTCAGCCTCTTACGACAAGGCGTCAAGGTGACCATCAACAGCGACGACCCAGCCTATTTCCGCGGCTATGTGAATGAAAATTTGTTGAAGCTGGCCGAGGGAACAGATGTGACAAAGAAGGAACTGATCCAATTACAAAGAAATGCGTTTATGATCAGTTGGATCTCAAGTTGGCGGAGGAGTCATTTCTTGCACATGTTGGATGAGTATGAGCAAAAGGCGTTAAGCCTTGTAGAAGAGAGAAGACCTCTAGCAAACGGGATTTGACGATTGATGAACTACGCCGTAATAACCCGAGAACAGCATCCGATGCCGTGGAAAGGGTATCTTTACACTAATAAATGTAGAGTCCAAGACCTCAACCTACAGAGCATTCTGCCCGGGTCTTTTTCACAGCCACTAATCCGAGACTTTTGTGGTAAAGTCAACCTCGCCAAAGAACGTCGCCCGCAACTGCACAACTGCTGCAATCTCGAGAATAAACTCCTGAAGAATAATGGCGTTGGTCAATATATGACTGAGACTGACTTGGTTCCTCTGGCTCGACGAGCAGTCATCTTGACCGCTTGGAGTTACAGTTCCGGAATCACCACTTGTATGCAACATGGGATGTCGGACACCAGTAGGGCTGGAAGTTTGTTTGCGACCAGCGTGTACGGGTAAGGATTCAGAAGCCTCTTCCGGTGCCCTGAAATTAGATAGCGGAACTTGCGTTTTGAGAAGCACGGTTGGTGGTGGTGGCAGCAACGATGCCGGTTGCTGATCTGAATCGTCGTTCTCTTCAGGTTCTGCCGGTACTGATTGCCGTAGGGGTGAATGACCGAGAGTGCGCTCGGTCAGACTGCTCCGATGCGCTCCAGACCTAGACAAGGCACTGTCGATAGATCCGAACTCCCTAGTTGTTATCTTTCGCCCTCTCGGAGTTGCTGGCCGTGATTGAGACTTCCCAATGGAAGGCGAGACGCTTCTTAGACTTGAATCAGTTTCTTTCGCCTGCCACGACAAAGTCCTTGAGTTTTGAGGGCTGGTGAGCGGGTCATCATCCGACAGTTCCAGTCTTCTTCGGAAGATAAGTTCATCCCATTCGGGAAACTGTGAGCGCCATTGACGAACTTGCTCGATGAGTTCGCCAATGATGAAAGTAATGTTGAATGCAGAGCTGTCTTCACTATTTGTCTCCTTCCCTGGGCACAAAAGCCACCCCTGCAGATCCATGTGTTCACAGGCAGCCAACGCCATGATGGCCTCAGTCAGATAAAGATTCGTGACGGTGTCATTTGCGAAAAAGCTTCGTAGCAGTGTGAGGAGAGCTTCAAAGAGCTTGCAGTCCTGGGCAATAGACATGTCTCGTTCGTCCATTTCGTCTGTGTCCGCTTGATTCATTCTGAGGCAGCTGTGCTGCTCCAGTAGGATCTGCTCGTCCAACAATGCCGCCCGGTATGAGTCGTCCATTTCGGAGTTTTTGGCTATAACTGCAGCATAATCGAACAATTTGAGCAAGGAGCTATTCAAACGTTCGACTCCGCGTTGGCCAGGAGACACAGTAGTCGGTTCGAGCCTGAAAAGACTTGTCAGAACATGGCAGTGGTGATTCTCGATAGTGACTGATAAGAGCTTGAGACAAGCATTGACGGTTTCCGGGTGACGAGATCTGAGGCTCATTACCATCAAGTCGAGGAGATTGAAAAGGTTCGGGGAAGGGCTATCGGCGATTTCTGAAAGGGCTCTCAAGTGATCAATTGACTTCCGCCTGCTGACAGACATTCTCTGTCTTCGATGGCTCTTTTCTCGCGGTCCGCGAGGCATGTTTGGAGACGCTAAAAGGTAGCGCAAGATACGATCCACGAGTTGACGGTGATCAAGCGCAAGTAGAATCCGGGAAAGGTGCGTTATAACCGCGGCGGTAGAGCCACCCTCGACATCTGATGACTCCAAGAGCGAAGGGTAAAGGAGCTGTTGGACAAAGAGCACCTGAAAATGATCAAGCAAGGTGTCGCTGACCTCTGCTGACTTGCAATGGTTCAGGGTGTCCTGCCAGAATGCCAGATAAGTGAAGAAGGCCTTGATGTCTTGCTGAAGGACATGCGACACCGCCGTGAGCGGGGCCAGCGTTTCCGAGCGGTCTGATAGGCAGACAATGGGAGGTGCGGCAGCCTGCCCGCTAAGAGGAGTCGATTGTCTGCTGAGCCGGCTGTATAGGGCACCAAGACCACTAGCCATCTGAGGCGCCAGGTCACTCTCAATCATCCATGTTTCCAAGGGTTTGAATCTGGAGGCGGTTTCCGTCAGGTACAACAGCGCCGTGCGGGCAAAGTCGCCCACCGGCCCATCATGGTGGACATACTGGACCAGAACATGGAACAGCGGGAATTGACTTCTCCTAGAGTCATCAGCAACATTGCGGCCTCGTGTTGCTTCTCGATCCGGATAGAACCAAGCTGGAAGGATGTCTGGGTCCAGCCTGATCTTGGTAGCAATCTCAAATAGTAGTTCCACCAGGTCTGTTTCTAGACGTTCTTCGACGATAATTCTTCCACCTATTGTAGCAAAGCACACCAGATCTAATAAAGACCTCGTGAACAGTTTGCTGTCCAGCAACCCTTCGGCCTCGCCATTGATGAGGATATGGAAGAACTGTGCAGAGGATTTGATAATTTCAGTGTTGGCAGAGGAAACGGCGAGCTTGGTGATTATGATGTACGTTTGACTCGAGGCGACATAGCGTAGGCAGGAGTGTGGTGCAGCTCTGCGCGACTCGTCGTGAAGAATGCCTTCAAGGCGTTGTAGGAGTTTGACCGTGTAGGTCACGGCGGCTTCATCGTCGCGCTCGACGCTGCCGCTGCGCCAGGTGTGCTTCACAGCGTCAGTGTGACTACCCTCGCAGAAGGAGTGGGGCTCCCTCACCGTCAAGGCATTGCAGATGCTCTTGCAAGACGCAAGGCGCTCTGCAGGTGTATTTGTCCTTGGTTTTGTCTGGTACGAGCCAGTACCAGCAATCAGGCGAGTGAGCTGGCCAGCCGTCTTCACGTTAGACTGCGCAACTCTCGGATGGCCGCATATTGGGTAAGCAACTCACGATATCCATGCCCTTTGCCTCATTTTGGAACGATCATTGCCAATGGATAACAGGTATGATTTGCTGGCTATGCCGAAGGTAGAATCCAAGAGTTATGGATGAAGAAAGAGCTTGAATCTGCGATGGTCAGAGGTGTTATTAGCTGAGACAAAACTAACCCGCTTGTTCGGTCGTGACTTCCTTGTGGAGGCCAGCAGCTGCCTCTCTGGCGGACACTTGATAGATACAAAAAATACGCCCTCCCCTTGTTCTTACTTTCTCCTTCTCCATTCCAGCAGCCCTGAATCACTAAGTAATGCCTTTTGCTGCTGTCAGGTTGGGTGGAAGTGGAACCAGCAGCTTCTGCCCTGAGGTATATCCCAACTGGGACATTTCTACCCGATGGAGGCCGCCTCATGTCCAAGTGCGGCAAACGTGACCTTCAAGTCCTCTACAACACCTGAACCTCGAGCACATGAGCGGGAATCTAGCAAAGATGGAGGACTGGATGGTATATACACCCTGCCAGGATCCTTCCACGCCGCCAGTGCCCTTAAACCAACCAAAACGCGTACTGGATTCTACTCTGAGCACGGCCACTCTCTGTCTCACATCCGACCCATCACCAAACATCCTGGTTCATCGGTCACAACGTTCTTCAATGGGGTATTCAGAACCATCATCGGCATAGCGACACTAGGCGCGAGCATCACCTTCTCCTACGTCTTGTCCAACAACACCTCCACCCCTCGGGCGAGAAAGCCAGTCTTCAACGTGGACCAGATCCAAGAATTCCTAGCCATCAGCTGGCTCCTGTTCCTTCTTGCGTTGGCGATTGCCTCACTCGGCTCGACTATCTTGACCTTCTTCAAAGACCACTGGATTGCGGACTGGGATGGGCTGAATGGGAAGACTTCGCAACGGAGTGTTCAGAGGTATGCTATCTTCGCTGCGGGCCTGATGGCCGCTCTTATCGTCGGAGCTTTCGTGCTGCTCTGCCTGGTGGTGGTTGCATATACCGCTGTGGTTGGGTGGGTTGCTTTGGGGTTTACTAGTCTTTTTGGAATTATCATCCTTCTGGCACTGATAAATCAAGCCCCATGGCCCTGGAGGGATAATACGCCGTCTCCGAGCCCAACACATCGCATCGCTGGAGATCATGGCGGAGGCGATGGCGAGGAAGCAGGGTGATGGGCCATCAAGAAGGATATTTTGTGCGATGGAATTGCGGGAGATTGTTCGAGAGGTCCACGTGTTTGTCGTGGTCTTTTGCCGAGGACTTCCCGCGTCAGATCGCTGCAGCCCATTCCTTTTGCAACTGCAGATGCAGCATAATACACAGCTTGTTGATATCGTCTTCATAATCATACAAATTTCTTCATAGCTCGTCGAGCGAGGAGGTTTCACATCAGTCACTTTCATCGTCAGTTCCCGCTTTCCGCTTCTTGCCTCCTTTCCCCTTCCCTTTGGGCTTGATGTCTTCTTCGCTATCTTCACTCTTGGCCTCCGACTTGGCCCCTCCTTTCTTGGAGCCTTCATCAGGAATGGCCTGGCAGATGTCGTTCAAAAAGTCGAACTGACCGTCTTTCATCAATGCGGCCTTGAGATGCTGTGCTGTGACTCTTTTCGAGCCGTTTGCCCTTGCTTCGGTCGCGCCCTTGGAGACTAAGGTGATCATGAAAAGCTCCAGTGCTTTGGCTGTGTAAATGTCAGAAGAATGGCCAGGGGCCACGGAAATAGGACGAAGAACTCACAAACTGCTGTGGGTGTGGCTTGGGCTACCTTGCCTACATCCTCGTCTGCTTGCATGATGCGCTTGATGCGGGCAACAGGGAACTTGGTCTTCACGTCGATCCCAAAGGAAGGGTCTGCCGTGGCGATGGGCATGACTGGTTGTACAGGCTGAACTTGCTCTACCTTGGGCTGGATGGCGTTTCTTGAAGGCACGTTGAGACCGTAATCCTGAGCCTGACCCAGTGCCTCGGCGGCTTTTTGTTGCCGCGTTCGAGGCATGTCTCCGTAGGGTGGAAAGGGAACAGAAGACTGTTCTGGATGAATTGGGTACGGTCGATGAGAGTAGTGGTGGGATGGCGGTGGGCTACTATATGGCTGACCTGAAGGTCGAAACTGATTTAGTGGAGACTGTTGAGTCGAGGTCTGACCGGGCAGGCTCGGAGTGCGGAAAGCGTGCGAAGAATGGTTCACCTGAGAGCTTTGGGTTGGAGGGCGCGAGCCAAAGTACGACGTCGAAGGGGTGGTGGATGTCGCCGTCGAAGGTGAGAAGAAAGGCGAGGCGTCGTAGCTGCCTCGCGGACTGAATGAATAACCCGAAGGGAAATTGGAGTCTGGTGCGTGGTAGCTTGGGATTCGGGTTAGTCTGGGCAGTGGGGCGTTGGCATTGATGAAGCCTGATAAATCTGGACTGGAAGGCCGGTATGATGACTCGGAGTGGGAGTTGGCGTTGTCGTGTTCTTCATTCATTGCTCGGCGAATGAAGGGTGCAGCTGGGTGATGGTGCCAATGGTGCAGGGAAGCCGGGGTAATATTTGTTCAGGACTAGTATCGATGATGGTGCGGCGGCGGAGTGTGAGTGGGCGACAAGTCATTTTGGATGGACAAAGGAGCGTCTCTGGTGCATGTTGTTGTCACTTGTCGCTGATGGTAGTCACAATATACAGACGTGTGAAGAAGGAAGGACTGGTCGCGACGTGAAAGGTCGAGTCCGTGGATGGCAGTGGTGATGTGATGGTAACGGTGGTACGTGGTATGTACCGAGTATTGGGGGATTCAATACCACGACGACAAGCACCAACGGCAGTTAGTGGCAGTAGCTTGTGCAAGTAGCTGTTAGTGGGAACGTGTCCGGAGAAGGAGGAATGTAAATCCGAAGAAGTGTGAGTACCAAGTCACTACGAGTAGTGGGATTGAGCATCTGAGATTCCGGAAGGGCGAGTCATGCAGTTCAAAGACTTGCAGCTGAGGGGTCAGAGGGGCCTTATAAAAGCCCGCGTCACCATTGCGGCATCCGCTGATCAGATCAACAGGCCCTGGGCTTGTTAGGCCCTGCAGGCCCAGGCCACTAGGCTGGTGAGGCGTCGGAAACACGCTAAATTTGTGACCCAATCATGCGAGCCACCTGTAACAGTGCCTGGCAGTGCCCAAGAGGCCATTTTTTCCGAATCCACAACTGTCAATCCCACACCTGCGCAAACTCTGCCGTCTTCCTCTTCCATCTTCCTTCATCGAAAACCCGATTGGCGGATCTGGTCCAGCACACTTTGCCATCTCCCTTTTTCGACGCCAGTCGAATAATGAACCGCGGTCATGGCGACGACGATAGGAAGGCCAAGGCTATCATAGCGACAATCCACTTTTCTACATCACTGCGCGTCGATGAAGACGCGTGCTCTTCGACAGGGACAAAATGAGCCACCGAATGACCTGAGAGTCTGCGGAAGATACTTGGAATGCCTACACCTTCTTGAATCATCGCTTGCCAAATGATGACAGAGCAAACTGGAGGTAGCCGTTGGAGACAAGATCGCAAAGCAACAACCCAGTCAGCGCGGCCGTGTGTCGTTGCTTCGCACGTCCAGCTGTTGTCGATGAAAGACCTTTCCAAACTTGATCTAATCTGATGGCATGCTTCGATGAAGACAAGAGGCAGGGGAATGCACAATTACACTATAACCTTGATGCCAGGCTTGAGGACAGAATGAAGTCGGTCATGATATCGAGGCCCTGCAGGCGTTCGCCTCGAGTCGCACCGAGGAACAAATTCACCACAGGCCAGGCATGAATGCCTGCTTCTTGCTCATAGACCTTGACCATGGCGCCGTTTTTCTTCATGTGGTCCACCATCTCTTGGATCCCAGGACCAAACACCTCTTCAGTCCCGTATATGATCCGAAACCCGTTCAGCGGCGACGCTTGTTTCCAGCGCCCAGTGCAGAGTCCGGGTGAAATGACCCCATCCGTCCTGGTTGCCTCTCCTGCATATTGCCTTGCGTACAGATGCAGGCTGTTTCGATCCAGATAGCAACTGGGCGTATTCTGGTTCAAATCCGATACAAGATGTGTCCAAGGCGAAAGCAGTATCGCCAGACCTGGTCGATGTAGCGACTGGTATTGAGGATCTTGTTCGAGATGACCAGGCTGGAGCAGCATGCTCAGGACCAGTGTTGCTCCTGCCGAGTCACCGCTCACACAGATCTTGGCTGCTGAGCCATCCCCGAACGTCTCTCGAAGAAAAGTATACCCTGCCCGGGTCTCATTAAATTGGACGGGCCACTGCGCATCCGGGACGAGAGTATATTCCAAAGCATACACGGCTGGGTTCTTGAAGCCACTTTCTTTTAATCGAGTCGCCCAGGCCATCAGGAACTCGATATAGAAATATGCTGAACCCATGGAGAACCCGCCACCTGCGAGAGAATATCAGCTGACCTTGGAACTATGAAAAAGACGTCCCCCTTAACTGACCATGAGCATAGTAAATAATGATGTCCGGGTCGCGGTCTGGATCATCCACGATCCAAAGACCTCTGGCACCATGTCTGATGACTTCCTGATAAAACATCGGGCAATGCAGGTATCCGTGTCGCAACAGACGAAACCGAAAGAATGGATATGTGACCCATTTGCAAAAGAAGACTCTCCCTACGCGAGCAGGGATTTTTGCAAAGGCGTATCGCACACAGCGAATGACCACGTCCTGGAAGAGCGTGGCATGTTGGGTGAAAGGTGATCGAAGGCTACTTTTGTTGTAATATCGTTCATGTGTAAGTTGGTATGGGAGTTGGAAAACTGTGGCCGGTGATCAGTATACTTTTGCGACTTTCGCAGAGTGGTGTTTTCCGCACTCAAAAAAGGTATTACTCTGAGAATCACACCAAGAAGCTCGCCGAGGTCTACCTGGTAAAGCAGTTGTGGAATTAAAAATATGACAAAAGCGACACAATCAATTCCGTTGATTGGTCCCAGGATCATCCTGGCCTATTTGGAATTTTGTAATTGGCGACTGGTGGGATGTTGGACGGTTTTATATATATGTTCTTCGTATCCCGTCTCACAGAATAGATCAAACTAGGCAAATGAGATGATTTAAGAGCCCGCGGAGAATCTATTAGTAGAGTGTATTCTAAGGAGCAGTGTAAGAGAGGGAGGGTCTAACCGTGTAAACACTGGTCGTTGATTGAAAGCGAAAAGCGAACTCACCCAATATTTTTGGCGGCGATGCAGCCGAGAGATTTGAGATTTGGGGTCACATGACGCTAGCCTCATTGGCTCTAGCGTAAGCTGGGGAGGCCAAAGAGACTCGTTGCGGCCGCGGCCGTCCTTTTTTCGCCTTTTTGGAGGCTTCGTCCAGGCTCTGGTGGCTCAGTGGCTCGCAGGCTGCTTCCCGGCTGCGCAAAAACATCACCGAAAACTTCCTCCCCATCACCATCACCACCAGCCGTCCTTGATATGTCTTAAGCCTTTACTTCGATATACTTGTGAATTTATGTCATTTAGAGTCCAGTGATTGTGTCACACAGTACCGGCGACACCCCTGCCTGTTGTCATCTAATGGCGTTTGATCTTTCCATTCCTTCGTCCAACCTACAGGCTTGGTGCACTCCTACACGGTCAACAACAGCCACTCCGTCGCCGCGCCGGATTCCAACATGGCCGCTGTTGCATTAGACATGACTTTGACCAATGTCCTCAAGTATGTTTAGAGATTTCAGGTATTTGACCTTCCACGCTGACTGTCTTAGTTCTTTGGACTTGGACAAAGTGCCCGAGAAACTAAAATGCACGCGCTGCCACAACTTCAACCTAAATCCCTACAAAACCTCTTGCTGCGACGTCGGCATCTGCGAATCATGTGAGTGGCACCGTGGTATCTCCCTCTTGGCATTTGGCTCATACCAGACAGGCTTCAGCACTACCCGCGGCTCCAGTTGTCCCAAATGCGAACATAGACCCTTTACGGACGACATCTGCAAGCCCAGTAAGGCCATGCAAAAGACCATCAAAGTGTATCTCAAGACACAAGAGAAGACGAAAGTGGATGAGCGGACCAAATCAGATGTACAGGACGAAGCGGTCCTCTCACCAGATGCGGGCAAACCGATCTTGAATGGCGGCAGCCAAACAGACGGGGCCGCGGCAGGAGTGCCGGAGGAGCAGCAATCAGCAGATGCGGCAGAAAGTGAAGAGATGCCTGCTCTAGACATCCAACCGTCAATTGAGGTAAACTCCAGATCTACCATCCTTCGGTGAATGCGTTTTCTGATCTTCGCCTTAGGAACCCGACCCCGAAACAGCCGATAACGACGACGATATTGAGATTCAGGTGGAAGCAGAGGACGAGAGTCAGCAACCGATTCCCCACCGAGTAAAGAGTGCAGAAGACACTCCTCAATCCCAACCCGCCAGTTCGTTCGAGAACCAACGGAACTCACAAGACGTGAGCAAAATCAACACAGAAGGTTTCGGTGGTATGGACTTTTCAAACACGATGAATGGATTCGGCAATATGGATTACAATCAAATGATGCAAATGATGGCGGCAAATGGAATGAGCTTCAATCCAATGATGGGTGAGTTGACCATGATCACCAAGCATGACCACCTTTTCTGACTGCGCTGTACAGGAATGCCTATGGGAATGAGTCCAATGTCAGCTGGCATGTTTGGCGGATTTGGCGGTCCAAACGGAGGCATGAACATGAATGGGATGAGTGGCATGAACATGGCAATGAACTACAATGCCAACCAAGCGATGTATGGCTGGGATGGCCAGAACAACAATATGTGGCAGAATAATAATGCAAATGCATTCTCGAATGGCATGGGCAATGACTTCGGTTCCACCTATGGTTTCAATATGGGCCCGTCTGGCAACTTTCAACAGCCCTATGCGTCTGGTGACTTTCAAAACGGTTACTACGGCCGCGGCTATGGCAGAGGTCGTGGTCGTGGTCGTGGCGGCTTTGCGAGGGGCCGTGGTAACTTCAATCAATACTCGCAGTATCACCAACAGGGTCATCAGAGCTGGTCTGGCCAAAAACAATTCGATAACCGCAGTGTGCAGTCTCACATGTTGCAGACTAGCTCCACTGAAGCAGTCGCCGACGAAGAGCGCACCGACTACAACGATCTTGTCGATGAGAGTCATGACGATGATGAATTCGCTCCCGGTGGTCAAGAAGAGGTTCAAGAGGCGCTTGGAGAAGACTACCAGAAGCCCGCTGCCGTCGAGAAGACTCCTACTGCCTCTACTCCTGAAGCTTCTGCTGTTGCCGATGATGAGGTTAAGAAAGAGGCAGAATCTGCACCAAAGGATGATTCCTCGGGTGTTGATAAGGAGACTGTCACTGCTGGGCAGCATCAACCGGACACTGCCGAACAACGGGGTTCTGAGCCTGTGACAGCGGCTGCAGCACAAGAAAAGCCAATACCAGAGGCATACAACGAGGATCTTCAAGGGCCGATGCCACCACCATCGGCGCCGCTTGGCCCCTCGGCTCATTATGGTGATCATCCCTTCCGTGGTCGAGGACATGGTAGATTCTCCTCGCGCGGCCGTGGGTCGATGTCGATGCCAAATGGACATATTTCTTCACCAGTAAAGCCCTTTCCGCAAGCCGGTTCACCCCTGGAGCCAAAGGGAGTGGGGGTTGTGGGTGCGCCGACGGGTCCTAGAGCGATGCGGGAACCACCTGTTCCTGGGAGACCAGCTTCACGTCCTGCAGCATCCGGGTTCCAAATCATGGGAAGAGCATCTATGGCAGCCTCCCATCAGCGATCAGAGTCTCGAGATATCGAGCGCAGTCGTAGCAAGACCCCTGATAAAGACAGGGACAGATCCAGACGGCAGTCCATACAGGACAAGTACGTCAATGCAAAATATGAAGGTTACGAGCAAGAGGAATCGGATTATCGTGGTTCCGACAAGCCTTCTAGAAAATCATCTCGGCATGGCACTTACGATGACTATGACCGGAACGAGCGAGAAGCTTCCTATGCGGAATCGGATTCTGGGGATTACAAGTCATCTTCGCGGCGCAGTCGGGGAGATAAGGAGAGAGCATCAAAGCAGCAGCCAACCCGCTCTTCACGGCGATATCACGATGAAGAGGTGAACGGGGACCACGAGATGGACGACTACGATGATTCGACAAGGTCATCGAATCGAGACGGCTACGAGGGAGAAAGCAGGAGCAGGCACCGAAGTAGCAAGCCATCTAGATACGACGACCGAGATCGGGACCGCGATCGAGATCGAGACCGTGACCGAGACCGTGACCGTGACCGAGACCGAGATAGAGATCGTGAGAAGACCCGGACTAAGGACCGAGATCGTGAGCATCGAGACGACAAGCATAGAGATCGAGACCGAGAACGAGACCGCGACCGCAAGCGCTCTCGACATGACCGCCACCGCGAAGACAACGACAAGCAGCAAGAGTATGACTACGATTACGACCACGACCATGACCATGACCACGATCAGCAACAGGATGAGACGGCTGAGGAGCCCGAATCGCGCCATCGCTCACGGCGCCACAAGAAAGACCACCGCCGCGATGTCGAGGATGCTAATGGCATGGACAGTTTAGTCGTCAATGAACACTCACAATCTCACCGCTCTAGTGCCACGGGAACGCCAGCACCAGCACAGTCGACGCCGACGTCAGCTCAAGCAGAAGAAAAAGACCCCCACACGCTCGAACGTGAAGCAAGGAACCGCGAGCGCATGCTCAAAGAACAACAGCGGCGGGAGAAGGCGGCCAAACAGGCCTCATCGTCGTCTGGTGGCGGGAACACGGGTGGCAGGAGAGTCACGTACAAATACGAGGAGGATCTCGAGAGGGGGCTTGTTGAGGGCGAGAGGGAGAGCCATGGGAGACGGTGGAGGTAGTACCGCTGGTGCCACAGCATTGACTGTGCCTCGGGAAGGCTTGGACCATTGCATGCTGACCGATCTGAGACGAGATCAGAATGTGGTTGCTGACAGCCTTCCTTTTCCCTAGTTTTTGATCTTCTATGTATTGTGCTGGCTATTCGTGCTGGATTGATTCGGAAACCCATGTCTTACTTTGCTAGATGGGTGAATGGACGGCTGGGCAAAAGATTTCGGGGAAAAGAAAAAGAAAAAGGATACGAAATGGGGAGGGCGGCATAGGAATTGGGAGTCCGAGGCCAGGGACACCGCCTCTCTCAAAGACTCAGGCATGGGATGCAGGGTGCAAGGGGGGAGCGGTTGCTCAATGCTACATGTTTATTGCTCAGTGCGAATTCTACGACCCAGGGATAGTGAGGGGGCTTATAGTACTATGCTATGTAGTCGAGGGCAAAGTGCCACCATATCAATGTCTACTTCTCTCAACGTTCCGTCCCGTTCCGTTCGTCGCTCACTATCTCGAGAATGAGTATTTAGTGAGCTGTATATATATATCCCGGTTCACGAACTCGATGGCCCTCGTTCTCTCGCTCTCGGAGGTCTGTTTTGGCTAGGCGGTGACGGACTATTGGATGCGCAATACCTAGGTATGTAGGTACATATGCTCGGTCGAGGGGCTTGGATTTTGACCTTTCTTTCTATGAGTTATTTCGCAAAGGTGTCGAATCATGTCGAGGCATATTGTGATCATGAGTAGCATAGAGGTGAGGAAATATTGCCCCGAGATACTTCCGGTTGTCTCCCAAGAAGGGTCGCGGGCAAAAGATTCCATTATGAACTAACAGTCCGTCTTGAGAATACGTGATAGTGATACCTTCGTGAACCTTCGCACTTCTGATGGAAAACTCATCCAGTCGCCTCCCTCATCTTGCCTTGTCATCGCCTTCGAGACTTCGTCCACATAGCGATAAATTCGATTTTCTCCTTGACTCCCAGTCCCACTCTCTTGACACGTCCTAACCTCGCCAGTGACTCGGCAACCTTGTCCAAGAACGCTCTTTCCTCCTTGGTGATGGACATTTCATGGTCTTCCAGGCCGCTGCCAACAAGTGTATCTGCATCGCTGCTGGCTCCGCCATCTGACGAAACCAACGTGTCGAAGTAGTTTGCAGTGTACGAAGATGATACCTTTGCTGCGGCAGTCCAATCTGCATCGGAGGACTTTCTGCTATTATAAACAGCCTCGGCAATGCGGATTCGGAGACAATGGGACGGTCTGCTGCAGAGATTCCAGAGAAAGGTCAAGAAAGCGTGCGGGATGGGTGTCGTCACGTCTGCGGGGCTGTACCGGAGAGAGACGGGGAACACTTTCGTCTGTGGAGGAGTTGCCAGCAGACTTGGACTCATGGGCAGGATGCCTCTGCCATTGGTTGTGGTGCATTCGGGAAACACCACCACAACACGGCCTGGATTTTGTTTCAGCATTGCTTCAATGTCCATAAGTCTTGCCCCAGGTGTCGGCGCCAGCTTTGGATGAGAGAAACTCCGACGGATGGCTGTAAACAAGGATATAGGTTCCACCAGCCTCGTGTAGGGGTAGGTAGCTGCGAAGACCGGGTCAAATATGGCGGCCAGATACAAGGGGTCAATGGGTGAAGCGCTCGAAGAAGCAATGACCGATCCTTCTTGAGGAATCCTCGTCTTGTTCTGCGCAAGGGACCTGCGCGACATCAGCACGTGCTTCAGCGACACTCTTGTGGCCATACCCTTTCTTCACCCCGTCGATTTGCAGATCAATCCACCATATACCGGGTATACCCAGTATGCACCATAAAGAAGCTTTTCTGCCCAGGACCCCGATAGGCATCCATTGTAGAACGAGAAAGTATGAGAGCGCAAAGACCAGAAGTAGCGGCACACGACAGATCAAGAGGAAGATGTGCAATGGTAGAGCGAATCCAGCAGGCTCGGCTGGGATGGGAAGGAATGGAGCGATACCAGACCCTAGGAACTCAAATCAGCACATGCATCCATTTGTTTTCTGGTTACTGAAAGATAATACCTTTGTCACGAAACTGCGAGAACTTTTCCATCTTTTTTTTGGGGGTGTTTTGCACAGTGGCACAGAGTCCGTAGAAGAGATCGCAAAAGCGCCGCAAGAGTGTCAAAGGCCAGAAACACGACAAGAGCACAGGGACAACATAGCAATGCAGAGCTGAGTGAGAAATAATTGGGAGGTCATCTGTTCATGTTGTGCGAGTGGAATGGCTGAACCAACACCAGGCGACTCAGGTGAGGTAGCGGTACCTGTGCCGTCAAGGTTTGGTAAATGAGTCGAGATGCTAGCAGGCGACAGAGAGACCAAAGAGCAAGACTTCCTAGGCCCCGGCTGCGAATGGCATTTGTGTGGATACAGGAAGCCTCTGATGCTTTGGGCGATATGGTGATTAAGTTATTAGGTGGTAGGAAGAAAACGCAGCACATGCACATGCCACTGCAGCCCAAACCATGACATCGGCAAAATGCGGTCGCTTGCGGCCACTGTGGTGGTGGTCCAGGGGGGGGGGGGGGGCTACTAGGCTTGGCATCTGTCTCCCCTTCAACCTCCTCAATGGGCAAGCAGGGCAGCAGGGTACCTTCTTCGCACACGTACCGTTCCTGGCTCTCTCTGGGTCTTGTTCAGTGGGAGGGATTCTTGATGTACTGGTAGGGGAAGAGACCATGTGAGTGAATGGCATGTGAAGTGCTCCCAACACATTCTGTTGATTCGGCCTGCCAAACCACCGCGTCCACTCTCAACCGTCAGCTGTCAACCGTCATCCGCCTACCGAGTACTTGGGTCCCATTCGGCAGGCGCCTTGTTCCCCTTGCCATGGCATGTGGTATGGCGGACATCATATCCAGACTTTCCATCGACCCACCTGCCGCTTTGCGTGGGCGAGCCTTGCATGATAGAGGGCCAGCCTGATCCAGACGTCGCGGTTCTCTTCGAGACGAGAGTCACACGGTGATGCTCTTGACCAGCGCTCGTTATGAGGATTGTCACAATAGACCTGTACCTTCCTCAAGGTTAGGTACTGATGAATGAAGAGATTGCAATGTCGGAAGGTCCTATTCATGATCGACGCAGGAACGAGGAACCCCCCTTGGGCAAGAAGACATGACTCGAACGGCGCGCCAAAGCGCTCTATTTGTCGCGCTGTTAACTATGCTGCCACTGGTTTCTTCACTTTCTCAGACACTGCCCGCGCCTTGTCCAAGCCCATCTGATCCGGGAAACAAACCAAATATTACCTTGTTACAAAGCGTGAGATCGTGCGAATGTGACAACGCCGCTTCGAAGGGGATAGCATACTCGGAGAGACTTAACCAGATATCGATTGGCGATCACTCAGCACCACAACTCGGCCTTGTGAACATGGCTCCTTTGAAAGAAAGCCAAAACCCTGTCACTGGCCAATCCAGCAACCTCCAGTTGGCTCAGTCAGATACCACTCACCAACCACCACCAAGTGTCAAAAACGAAACCGACGACAACGATCCACCCGCGCCTGACATCCTTCAGTTTCTCTCCAACAAAGAATTCACTGCCTGGAGCGAATATCTGGGCAAGGAGAAACACGAGGATTACATCCAGTGGAAGAAGAGTATGATCGGCGAGGGTCACCTGCAGACGATAAATGAGAATGCAGGGATCGAGAACAAACAGGGGAACGACGAGAGACCCGGGATCGAAGAAGCGCCGGTCTCTGGCCTCGACGGCACGAATCAGAAGAAAATGCCTGAGAGGGAGCAGGAGCAGGATTTGACATTTGGGACGAAGGAGAAACACATTGTCTCAACAGAAACAAAGGAGAACTAATGGCTGATGGCATTAAGGAACGACCAGTGGCAGTTGTCAAACCGGTACCGATGTGATGTCCATAAAGGAGGCAGATGCGCGCACGGTATCTCGACGTCAGCATCTCAGCTTAACCTTCTCCGTCTTCCCTTCTAGCATGCTCCTCCTCATCACGTCTTGTCGGCTCCCTTGCGGTCACCTGCCAGCCTTGCACCGTGCTATTTGCGGCGAGGGGGAGCATTTCGCCGAGGAGAGAGCGGCCGTAACCATTGAGGTCCATGATCGCCTGTGATCGAACGGCTTTGTTGCAAAGCATGTCATGGTGAACGGAAGCTAGTTCATCAGCGAACCAACACGCTTACCAAATCACTTTTTAGTGTGCAGCCCTTTTCGAAGCCGTCGCGTGCTGGCCCGCTGTTTCAAGCCATCTATTCGCACTGCGTAATTTTTTTCAACGGACATACTACTTCGAGACAGACACGACCAAAGATCAATGGCTCTCCAATGCCTCCACATGCGGAGTTCAGCGACCTTCCTCTTCAGGTCCAGTAACTAAGTAGTAACTCTTCCACTCCGCATACCACAATGACTCTCAAAGGCCACACAGGTTTTTTTCTTTTCGCGGTAAGTGCCCCATATTCGGATCTCATCCTGTAGGCAGTGACACGGCAGGCAAAATAACAGCAAGAGAGATACGCGCTCTTGGAATCCATCGTCCTGGTTCAAATCTCCGCCACCACCACCATGGCAGCAACATCATTCGACGTGGCGGCCATTAGGCGCCAATTCCCGGCACTCGCCCAGGATCAGGTCTTCATGGACAATGCTGGCGGCGCTCAGGTCCTGCAGTCCGTCATCACGTCCATTTCGGACTACTTGTCCAGGCACAACGTGCAGCTGGGCGCTTCGTACCCGGTGTCACAGATATCCACGACAAAGTTCAACGAGGGCCACATCGCGGGCGCAAAGTACATCAACGCGTCGCCCAAGGAGGTGGTGTTTGGCCCCTCGACGACGCAGCTGTTCCGCAATCTCTCCGTGGCCTTGAAGGTCAAGCCGGGCTCCGAGATTGTGCTGTCAAGTCTCGACCACGAAGCCAACCTGGCACCCTGGGTGCAATTGGCCGAGTGGAAAGGGTTGACGGTCAAGTGGTGGATTCCGACAAAGAACACGGATTCAAACCCCAAGCTGGAAGCCGAGGACTTGAAGAAGTTGCTGACGGACAAGACCCGGCTGGTCTGCTGCACGCACACGTCAAATATTCTAGGCACCATTACCGACGTCGCCGCGCTGTCAAAGGTCATCCATGAAACAAACCCCAACACCTTGTTCTGTGTCGATGCTGTGGCGTATGCCCCGCATGCACCGATCGACGTCAAGGCCTTCGGGGTGGACTTCTATTCCTTCTCGTGGTACAAGGTGTACGGCCCGCACGTCTCGATGTTATATGTTAACGAGAAGGCGCAGCAACAGATCCAGAGCCTGGGCCATTATTTCAAGCCCGGTGACACGCTGGAGGAGATGCTGGGCCTGGCTGCCGGAAATTATGAATGTATCCAGTCAATCCCCCACGTCACCAAGTATATCGAAACAGTCGGCTGGGATGCAATTGCCGCACAGGAAGAGAAGATCCAGGAGATTCTGCTGTCATATTTACGCTCCAAACCGGACCAGATCAAGATATACGGCGAGCCTTCCTCGGACAGAAAGCTGCGGGTGCCGGTCATCAGTTTCAGGGTCAAGGGCCAGAGCTCGTTGGGCATCATCGACGCCATCGAAGCGAGGTCGAACTTTGGCTGCCGCAATGGACACTTCTACAGCAAGCGGCTCTGCGACAACGTCCTTGGCATTCCAGATAGTGATGACGGCGTGGTCCGGTGCTCGTTGCTTCATTATAACACTGTCGAGGAAGTCGAGGGCCTGGTCAAAATACTGGACGAAGTTATCAAGGAAGGAGCCGGGAAGCATGTCGAGGACCCTGAGAGGAAGAATATCGCGAACTGGTGAATTACATGTCCAGTAGAAAGATGGGCTTAAAAAAAAAACGACTTTAGTGTTGGATATCCGATGAAAATAAATCTGATCAATGCTAGATTTTACCACGCACACCTACTTTTCTCCTCCCATTTTTTGGAAGGTCAAGGTTTGGCTCGAGAACCGTTCATGTCGTAAGAAACTAGTGCTTGCGCAGATTGCATTTTTGGCAGAGCTGCTCAGGTCCAGATAACTTGCATTATTTGGTAACTTCTTCAAGCTGGCGTTGGTGGCCCGATGTCGGTTGCTCTCTAGATCCAATTCTTTCTTGAAAACAACGCATCGAACCCAGAGATCTTGCGCAAAGTGATCGCCCTCATAGCATCCAGGGACCTTACCTTATGCCTCGACCAGGCCCGCACAGAGTTCAATCAGCTTGCTCAAGAGAGCGCGTGGCTGGACACAACCACACCCCCAAATTGGTATCATGCCTCAATGTTCAGCTGCTCGCTGTTCGACCCAACAACTGCCCCTCCAGTTCCAAGAAGAGGCGCGAACTTTGAAGTGTTCTCATGTGCATTGGAGGATGCCGTGGCAAGGAGAGGATGACAGTTTTTGTCGTGAGGCGGTTGGCGTGAGTTCTCATGCTTTTGAATATCCTTTGAGCGGATACTGCATCCGCTGGTTCATGTCGCCACCGCATTGAGATCCTCTGGTAGAGTCGCAAACTTTGAACCTGGAATGATCAGAGACGTTCTGAGCGGAGCTTTGCGACTGATCAATTGAAACTCTTTTTCTATAAGTAAACAGCTGAGCACCCCCAGATTCCCTCGACACAGCTCGATTCTCTGTGAAGTCACATTGTTGTGCTTTTGATGTGAAGAAGTTCCGTGACCACTATCGGAAGGCTTACCGAAATCAGACCCACTTCGTCACGTGGAGTGTACACTAAACCCAAAACAAATAATTGTTTACAATGGCCTCATCCTCTCGATCCTTGATCACCTGCAGCGCCTCCTCTCCAAAAGCAGGTCCCTTGACGGAGACTCGACAACATCCCTCCCTTTGGGGACTTTGGTCATGGTTTTCCACCTTGAATAGCAGAAACTGGTGGTTCATTGAGCTCCAATTCGGTTTTCTCTTTAAGATGGCAGACGCCGAGAACGTATGACCTTACCCGTCCCAGTCTGAGTAAATTGCATTAACCAGAATTCTCAGTTCGTCTCGCAACTTCCTCAGCCTACGCGCTATGCGCTTCCATCTCCTCAGAGGCCTCTGGCAGAAGTCACGGCCTCGGCAACCAACTCCCGCAATGCCATGGGTCCTCCTCCAGCGTTCACCAGCCACAAGCGCCAGGGCTCAAACTGTTTGTATATGCCGGTCACAAGAGATGGAAGATGTTAACGTTGCCAACAGTACCTGAACCGATCGCTAAACGAAAGACACTTGTGGAGCGCGCAGGCGAACCCGTCAGAACAATTGCGGCTCCGAAGTCCAGCACTACCACGAGTGCTGGACCCATGTACGCATTTCAGTCTCAGAACCCTTCTGCATTCTCGCAATCCTATCGAAGCAACTCCAGAAGCACTTCAAACTCTTCAGCAGCAACCGCTTTCTCGACCAGTGTGGGCACTGGCATTCGACCGACTACAATTCACCCAACATCAAATCTCGCCCGACCAAAATCATCACTCGCAAAAGACAGAGGAACAAGAGTGGCCGACTTGAGACCGGCCACATCACTAGGAACCCGTGGAAGGATTCAGGATGGGCCCAATAACAAATGTATGGTATCCCTTTCTTCCCAACCCAAACCAATCGCTCTTGCTCGTGCTCCCGTGAGGACTGGACCCGTGAACGTACCCAAAAGGAATGCTCGAAATACTTCCCCACTGAAAGGACTTGCCGCGTCTACAATATCGTTCAACCGCAACGTCTCGACAACGTCCATTACAGAGCGCATGCTGGGTCTTTCGTTGTACTCTCAGACACCCACACCCACACCGAAACCAAATCGCCCAGATAGTCCCTCAAGACTTCCTCGTCCTTCACCTCAACTGTCAACACCTCCAGCAAAAGATTCTTTTACCCCGGCTCCCTTTCCTAAAGAACTTTTGACCACCCCTCGCAAAAACCAAGCAAGACCATTTCTAACGAAAGAATCTAATTTAGTGGCCTGGGATCCCGAAGAACAATATGGCAACATCGAGAGAATGTATGAAGATGTTTGCAAACACTACAAACAAGCCATGGAAGACAACATGGAAGCAAAGGAAATTAACAACACGTACAAGTCCACCCTTGCCAATCTTGAGCAAGATCGGAGAGATGCAACCGAGGCCATGATTGCACTTAGGTGTGAACTTGAAACTACAAAATTTCGCCTGGAGTCTGCCGAACGAGCAAGTCATGATCTCAAACGAGACCAGGAAGCCGAAGTTGAAACTATCAAGAATCAGCACAGAGCGGAACTCGAACTCATTCGCCAGTCCCATCGAGATGATGTGGAGCGCTTGAAGGCTGACCACAGAGAAGAGATTCGCGAGTTGAAACAACGATTGGAGGGCGAACTCGAAAATGAACGCGCGCAACGAATTCAGGCATTGAGCCAGGTCTCCACGCAGGGAGTCCTCGAGAGACAACGACATCAGATGGATCTCGAATCAAAAGATCACGAAATACGGACTTCCCAGCTAGAGATTGAGCGACTTAAGGCGGATCTTGAGAGAGAAAAGCTCCTCAATGATGATCTTCGTCGCAATTTGTCCACCGCAGGCGACAACGCAATGAGCATGGAAAGTGCTCGACAAGCGCTGCAGGCTAAGATTGAGTACCTGGAATCAGACAGCAAATCTCAATCAGAAGCGTACGCTGCGATGGAAAGAAGAATGAATGAAGCTTTGGAGAAAGCAACAGAGTGTGAGGAGAAGCTTAGGAGGGAAGAAATCCTTCGCCGCAAGTTGCACAACCAAGTGCAAGAATTGAAAGGTAACATTCGAGTTTTCTGTCGAGTTCGACCCACCAGTGGAAGTGAGGAGGCCGAAGAGACGGCAAAGATCACATTTCCCGAGTCGGATGAAGAAGTCAGAGACATTGAGATTAAAGGACCTGAGGAAACAAACAGCCTCGGAAAAGTGACAACAAAGACACATCAATTCACATTCGACCGAGTTTTCGAACCGTCCCAGAGCAATGCGGAAATATTTGAGGAAATCAGTCAACTCATTCAATCCGCGCTGGACGGTTACAACGTCTGCATATTCGCCTACGGGCAAACCGGCTCTGGAAAGACATTTACCATGTCTTCCGAAGACGGCATGATTCCACGAGCCTTACGACAAATATACAATACAAGCAAAGAGCTAGAGTCTCGGGGTTGGAAATACACGATGGAAGGCAGCTTTGTTGAAGTATACAACGAAGAGCTGCGAGATCTTCTTGGAAAAGACTCCGACAACAACAACAACAACAACAACAACAACAACAACAAAAAACATCAAATTCTCCATGACAGCATCACATGTGAGACTACAATCACTGACGTGACGACCCTCAATCTCGACAGCCAAGATCAAGTCGAAGGTATCCTTGCACAAGCGATGTCTCGTCGCTCTGTTGCCGCCACAAAAGCCAACGAACGCAGTTCTCGAAGCCACTCTGTCTTCATTCTCAAACTTGCAGGCTACAACACAGTGACGGGTAAGAAATGCAAAGGCACACTAAATTTAGTTGATCTCGCCGGATCAGAAAGACTGTCCCATTCGAAAGTCGAAGGCGCACGACTAAAGGAGACGCAAAATATTAACAAGTCGCTATCCTGCTTGGGTGACGTTATTGGTGCACTGGGTCAGCAGCAAGCAAACGGCCCATTCAACTCTAGAGAGAGTGGCAATGGTGTGGGTTCATCATCCACGACAGGAGCAGGGGGAGCACATATTCCCTACAGAAATAGCAAACTCACCTACCTGTTGCAATACAGTCTAGGTGGAAACAGCAAGACACTGATGTTCGTCATGGTCGCACCAGAGAGGAAGTGTCTTGCTGAGACGATCACGAGTCTGAAATTTGCAGATAAAGTGTCGAAGACGAAGATTGGAGTGGCGAGAAAGACGGTTGGTGGGAAGTAAGCACAGAATAATGCGATTGACTCGTTATCATGTGTTGTATCGGTTTTTTTTTTTTTTTTTTCTTTCTTTTCTTTTTCAAGCAAGCGTTTTTTGACCACGGATGGAATATCGACTGATGACCAAAACATCTCATGAGAGAAACATGAGAGAAAATGTGCGGCGTTTGACTTCTATGGATAGGCGATACTAGGAGGGGGTTCATTCGTTTAGTGCCGGGGTTGATTGAGGCATTAGCCAGTTCTACAATGCTGCTTTGGGATCAAGTTGAGTTGAATGGATTCGTTCAATTGGATTGGGTTGGGAAGCACACATGCATGGGTGGGAATTGTGTTTGTTTGTATACGGAAATGAGAGCCTCCAAGTGGACAGACGATCTTTCAATGAGGAGAAGCTTCTTAGCTATTGCCAATGTCTCATCCAGTAGTCGTCAACCGTGTATGTACCTGGGTACAATAACTACAAGCACAAGAGGCAAGAGCTTACGGCCTGTTAGATAAAATCGGGAGTTGCTGCACGTGTCAATTCCAAAGGGCATCCATTTTGCTAACAAAGAAAAAAAGTCCTGATTGATAGATATCCTTCCTTCCTTAGCTTCGTCGCTTACAGATCTATTATCTCCTCCCGAAGGCCTCATTGAAGCTCCCTGACAATCCCTCTCGCAATCCACTCTGCGATACCCATGGTGCTGATCATAGGATTGACGCCGCTCGCCGAGGGAAAGACACTTGCGTCGGCGACATACAGCCCCTCGGTTCCGAATACCTTCCCGTTTGCATCGACGACGCCGGTCTTGGGCGAGGACGCCATGCGGCACGAGCCCATCTGGTGCGCCGAGCCGGCGGAGCTCTGCTCCGGGCTTGCGAGCCACAGTCTGCGGACCTCACTAATAAAGTTAGAAAAGGACAGCTCGTCCATCGCGGCCGTGGACTTCGGGTCCAGGTGCGAGGGCCGGATCCAGCGCTCGACGGGAGCGTGGCACGAGTCGATTTCCACGGCGCCCATCACGAAGGCGGCTTGCATGCCGCCGACCATGCCTTCGAGGAGGTGTCGCCTGTCGCGGGCAGAGGGCGTGTAGGCGATCCGCGCACGCCGGCGTGTCGGATCCTTCGGGTCGATGTACACTCTGCCCGTGTCGGCGTCGCGGGTGATGCAGACAAAGCCGGTTGAGTAGCCGTGTTTGGCGGTGCTGAGTCTATACTCGACTGCCGAGGACAGAGCACTGCGCTCCTGGCCCTTGTTGCTGGCCTTGAGCGAGTATTGTGCACGGAAGGGCACAGTGAGCAGGCCGAATCCCGGCGTTGAGCAGATCACTTCGACCTTGGGTCCGTGGTGTTGCCCGTCTTGGTCTTCGAGGCCGGTCATGGCGACGGTCAGGATGGCGCCTTCCCATGGGTTGGTCCGCTGCGGCCACGTCGCCCAGACTGTGAACGTGGGGTGCAGGTGCAGATGTGCTCCGATATGAGGGTTCTTTAAGCCGCTGCGCAAGAGGACTAAGGGTGATTGCAACGTTCCGGCAGAGACGATGACCCGTTTGGCGGAGACGCTAAGTTGTCGCGTGGTCTCTCGATCCCGAGACGTCCACAGGGCTTTTACACCCGTAGCGGTCTTGACCCCGTTCTTCTCTGAAAACACAATCTCCTCGACCCAGCAGCCTTCAATGAACTCGGCGCCATGGGCCGCCGCGTCGGGGAACCAGCAGTTCGCAGGTCCTTGCTTGGTGGCGCTGGCGCATCCGGAGTTGCAGTAGCCACAGAAATGGCGCCTCGACGCCGTGTTCTGGGGCACAATTTGGACGGCTATACCGAGTCGTCGGGACCCTTCGAGCAGTGTCCTGTTGGCGAAGTTGTGCTCGATCTTCCCTAGACCCTCCGGGTCTGTGGCCTTTGCGACGCCCATGCGCTCGCAGACCGTATCAAGGCAGTCCTGGTATTCCGCACTCAGGAAGTGAGGAAGTCTGTCAGCCGCCCACTCCTCGCGCACTGCGCGTGGAGGCTGCAAGGAGGCTGACCAGTTGACTGTGCCACCACCACCGAATGTGCTCCCAGCCAAGATCGCAACGGAGGCATCATCCGTGACCATCACGCCACCATTCTCCATCAAGTGCTCTCCAGCGCTGGTGGCGGACATGGGGAAGTGTGTTGACGGGAAGTGATAAGACTTTTCGAGGACCAGGCATTTCAAGCCAGCACGGGACAGGTGCGAGGCTACCACACCAGCGCCGCAGCCGGATCCAATAATCACAACATCCGTCGCGAGTGCCGTGGACGTCGATGGAGAGTTGAAGTCATGAAATTTGAAGTCATAACTTGGATTGCGCTCGAGCTGCCTGGGGATATCGGGGAAGTCGAGAATGCGGCGCAGATTAGGAGAAGTAGTAAGCCAAACTTGTCTAGCTAAGCCGCTGAGGGACCGGTATACAGCCCTTAGGAGAGATAGCCGCGCCACAGACCACTGACAGACTATTCTGGCACGGGTTTCTAGGTCCTGTTTGTGGATTGGCGTGGTGTAGCCCGTGAGGATATAGGAGCCTACGGTGGTATTGAACAGGGACAGAACAAACCCCAATCCTTGAGAATCTGAGGGAGGAACGTAGAGCTTGAATTTCCGGGCCACAGCTTGTCTGAATTCGGGATCTGAGATAGGGTCCTCGGACAGAAATGCTCTGGCCACATCCTCAGAAACACCTTCTGGCTGATACGGCTTGAGTCTGGAGAGCGCCTTGTCGAATTCCGTCGACCGGCCTCCATTTGAAGCCGCGGGGATGGATGGTATGAAGACTTCCAGGATCGAGAAGAGAGTGTCCCATTGTTCCTTGGTGAAGACCTCGCCGTTGGGAGCTGGAGGCAGAGGTGCCGGGAGAGATGCGATGCTGGAGAGGTTCTCGGTCAGAGACATTGTTGGTGTCTCTGGAGTCCGGAGCGCCCACTGGGCGGGGAAATGGGCCTGTTATTATTGTTGTCACTGGGAGAGCCAAAGAGATAGATTCATATCATTCATTTTTGAACAATGGGGTCGAAAGCAAAGGAGTCGTAACCGAGCCGCCGCCACAACAGCTAGCCTGGGTCAGCTTATGCTGCGCATGGTAGTGGTCGGCAAGTCATATGAGTAAAGTTATCTCCGAGCTCCCTCAACATGGCATAACAAGTAGGTAGCCTGATGATGATCATGATGATGGGAGGTGGTGCAATGGGGATCAGACTCGTGAAGGAAGCGGCCAAGACTCCACGCTTGCCGTAAAAGAAAAGAGGAGAGGCGGAGGGAAGCGGAGGGAACTGGCGCGTCAGCGCTACGCGTCTAGGCTATGGGGGCCCATGGGTGGCAGCCTTGCATACGAGTTTAGCGGATAAGACGCTGGTTCCATTGTTCAGCTGTCTATTGCTATCGATCAATCATGGCCAGGTTTTTCCGTCCAGACAGACAGTGGCCACAGAGTACGGCGTACATGCGCCCCTGCATCAACCTTGTCCACTGTCAAATCTGTGTCTCGATAGGGAAGGGCCACAACGTGCAAGTTTCAGTACACATAGCATCACGAGGCAGAGACCCGACGAACAACGTTGTGGACCTTGATCGTGACTTTGACACAGTTACTCCCTTTCGGGAAGATAAGATATATGCGCGGCTTGAGGTCAAACTGGAGGTCTCCCCCCGCCTTGCAAGCTCAACGGTAGCCCTGTGATCGATTGAGAGACTCCTCCTTGGAGAGCACTCGATTCTGCCTCGCTGATGTGTTTAACCTCTGATCCTCTAAGCACTCAACGCACTCAGCCTTCGGCTTGAATCTCGTAGCTGTTGGATTTGTGTTTCGGCTCGAATCGAAAGTCGGGATGTGCTGGGCCTAAGAACATTTCACTTTAATCCTCGTTAGCCTTTTGTCTGCAGAAAATCTAGTGTGAATTCCTCACCTGATCTTGATCCAGTCCTTGTAGTTGTCACTCGCCATCAGCGTCTCAAGCTCATCCCGGCCTCGGTACCGAGGGGGTCGATCCTGGATGCTAGGCGGCAGATACTCCAAAAGCCCGACTGGCACGTATCGGCAAGAAAAGCTGAGCCACTCCAATAAGAACCGTCGAGTCTGCCCAACGCCGATCTCGTCACTCCCCCAGGCTTCCAGCCCAAACCGACAGAAACGCTCGACCATCTGCAGTCGCTCCGAGGACGATTTGTCCAGATATTGCCCTGCTTCTATTTCTTCGAACAGCCAAGGCTTGATAAGCGCCCCTCGAGCGGCCATGACTCCATCGACTCCCGCATGCTGAAAATGATCATGGTAATGTTCATGCGAGAACACATCGCCATTGCCAATGAAGAAGACCTTGCCGTTTCTTGAGCCTTTGTGACCGTTTGGTTGGTCTCGTTCGTCCGGCTCATGGATAGTGTCAGCCAGAGCATCTGCCTTCTCGTTAAGCTCTTTAATCAGAGATGCTGTCTCTGCAATGTACTCCCAGTCCGCAGAACGGGTATATCTCTGCTGCCTTGAGCGTCCATGGAGAGTTATAGCCGCTACACCACAGGTATCCCCTCGCCCATGCCCACTACCTAGCACCAGTCGATCGACCAATTTTTGCGCAGTCGGTTGCTTGTCTCGTGTACCTGTTCGAATCTTCACTGACACTGGTGTCTCACCTGAGACCGCATTCATCCCCCGAAGCATCTTCTCTAGCTTAGGTGGCGAATCCATTAGAGCCGATCCAGCACCTTCTTTGTAGACTAGATCGATCGGGCACCCCACGTTGAGATCAACCACTCGTAGACCTCGAGGCAAGAGGGTGGTGAGAATCTCCGTTGCTTTGACCGCTACCCAAGGTTTGTTGGCGGCGATTTGCGCGCCGAACCGAAGGTCTCGTTTCTGATCATATTCGAAGACAATGTTGTCGCTGCCCTTGATCGAGAAGGTGGGGGCCTGAACCTCTGACTCGTGAGCTTTAAGGAGAGCCCATTCGGACTTCTGCCCTTGCAATAGGGGCAGAGACATGGCCATTTCCGAGTACGTGAACGTTGCACCTAAAGAAGTACATAAGCGTCGGAAAGGCAGATTACCCTGCGTGGTCAAGGGTGCTAAGATTGGTGTTTCGAGGCCAAAGTACAGTCGACGTTTTTCTGATGGTCGAAGAGGAGTATCCTGGAAAGCAGCTCTCAGTTCTTGTGCCTCCTCTCCATTTGGTTCACCTCGACCAGGATCGGGCTCAGGAGACGACGAGTTGCGAAAGGATCTGTTTGCTGAAGGTCCGTTCCGATCTCGTCGTTTTCGACCTTGGTCGGCTGGGGTTTGAGCCTGTTTATCGAGCCACTTCAGAAATCCGTCTGACTTTGGCGTGGGCACTTTCTTCTTTGTGAGCTCAATTCTTTGCTGAGAGGTGAGGGCATTCGCCACGCCATCCTCCCCGTCTTCGGATGCGGTCTGGGCGTATTTTGCCATCCGCTCAGCGTCCTCGACCAAGACCAGCTCCTCTCGGCCGTCACCGTGGTCTACTTCTTTAGAGTGAGAGCCGACAAACCGGCATTTCCAGCCGGCCGGACATTTCCCCTTGATCTCCCATACAGGGCACAAGCCGCTGAATGTGGAGAGGTCTTTTCTTTTGTAGTCTCTGAGGTATTTCCGTATGTCATGTTCGAATCGACAATGATCTCCGTAGGAGCATGGGTCCGGTGAGAACTCATGTCTGTTGACTCGACTAGAACACAACCCAACTTCGTCCCTCGAACTGCCGAATTCGCGGGCCTTGTTCTGACCTGCCTTCTTCTCACGGCGGCGGTTACCTTTGCTGTTCTGGCTTGCTGGTTGCCTCTCCTTGTGGTGAAAGGCTTCAGCAGCATCATCATCAGGTCCGTCACGAGCAAGCCCAGGTTCAATCAAGTCGTCAGACTTGAGCAAGAATTCTTCTTTGATGGGGGCTGTTCCCTTCCTCCGCTTATTATCCTTGCATTCTGTTGATAGTTCAAGCTCGTCAACCTTGCGCTTAACAGTTGCTGGCGACTCGTTCACTTGCTGGCGAGTCCCAGTGTCCTCAGCGGCATCATTTGACATTGCGTTGACAGAGATATCAAGTTGAGGCCGATCAGCAGGATTTTCCATCAAGAGAGACTGTCTCCTAGCAGTCTTTGGTGCTCCGCATGCGAAATCGAACCTCCTTCTTCGAGGCTACAGTGTACGTTACCTCTTCGGCGTCTTCATCAGAATGAAACAAGCTGAGCACGACTTGATCGGAATATTTGGAATTGAATGTCAACCACCTTGCAGAGTTTGCTGTGAAGTTTGCCAAGGCCCCGGAAAATCTGTTTATCCGACCTGGAATTTTTGCGTGACATTTGGCTGCTTAGAAGGGAACTTCACCAACACTCCACACATGCGGTACCCAGCACGAGGTACATATCTGCACATTCAATTCAACGCCTCTATCCCAGTGCCAGCTTTTACCACAATAAGTCGCAAAGGCGTGCCATGCTACCTCGATGTCCTACTAGTTTCAAGTAGCACAATAACTGGAGCACATCTTCATTGAGGCCTCGGCACAGGGTATGATTCGCAAAAGTGCCGGGGGCCATTCCAACTTCTCCTGCTGTAAGAGGTCACGCCCGCCCCCCTGAGGGGACAATTGGACGATTCTCCATGCACGTGCTATGTTGCTGAGAAGCATAGAGGAGGGGGTTGGGAAGGGCATCCATCTTTACGGAGTATTCTGTCTATACGGAATATGGGACACACTCTCTTGTGCTCAACACGTTGATGTCAACATTGAGAATAACTGGTGCCTAAAGAAGCCCTTGGGTACGAGGTAGACTGTTCGTTACCCCGACGCTCTCTACATGGTCGACAATGCGGACCAACACAACTACAAGCACCGAGACCGCGTAGGATTCTGACCTCCATTCGAAATGGATACAATTGGTGTACGAGGTAGACTTATCCCCACATATGGTAAGAGACATTTACCTAGTAGAACATCACCTTCAAATATCCCCACTCCTCCCTAGGCAACCGCGTTTCAAGTCTTACACAGCCTCACTCACCCTCAAACCAATGAATGTGTGAATGTCCTACTCGGTACCGAGTACAGGTACTCCGTACGTTAGATCGATGTGCGGAGTATTAGGGGGTTTATATATCCTGCAAAACCTCATTGAAGGCGTCTAGGTCCTCCAAAAACTTTTACCTTTTCTCCATCAGACCAGCAACATGATGTCTTTCAGCAAACCCCTACCGTTACTTGACCTTGAGTCGACTGTTCGTCTCCTGCTCATTCTCAATAATTCGGTAGCACTTGGCCTCAGCTTTGCTGTGATGTTTCCGATCTTCATAGTCTTGGGTGCAGTGTTTGGAATATCCATCCTCTACAATCTGGGTGTCATTCTGCTCAGACTCCGGCAAAAACGTCCGAGATGGAACGACGACAACAACAATGACGGTCGCGAGGATATCCGATGTCCATCTGTCTTCCAATTAACAATCGATGCGCTTGGTGTCCTTACGTTCCTGGTCCTCTATGTCTGCAGCACCATTGAGACCGCCACCAGAGGAAGCTGGCTATGGTCCCCGACGATGATGATGTCGTACTCAACTATTGGAGCCTTGGTTGCTTTGTAAGTTGTAATCCTCCCCGAAATACATAGAATTGCGCTTCGAAGCCCTTGGCGTGTCTTTTCTGACGATTCAAATCAGTTTCATGCACGGCTGGGTGGCTGTCACCAATCTCAACCGATATATTCGGTATCGACAGAGCCTTGGCCCACGGTGCCCGCACTGCCATCGAGCGATTGGTAATGTGATCGGGGGCCAGATTGCTCTCCCTCCATCGCCCATTGAGGGGTGTCAGGGACCGTCGGTCCCAAGACAAAGCTTCTCTGCGAACTCGGTCGGTGAAAACGAAGCTGACACGCTGATCATGAAGACTTGACGTCAAAAAGAGCTGGAGCGGAGACTCGAGGGCAGTGCCAGGACCAATACCCAGCTCCGTTACACTTGATGTGTCTCACCGAGTCCAGTACTGCTATGGAGATGCCGCATGCCACTTTGCTCGTGTCTCTCGTGTCTCAAGATCATGGTGGAAGGAGCGGCGGACATGTTGCCGCCCAGTATTTGCAGAATACGGTAGAAGTATGACTTCAGACGGGTTTCCTGTTGTTCGATTCACCTCTGAGAACACACAGCCGCTTCCCAAGATAGTGCATGGTGATCGCAAGAGGCCAGTCGCTCATTTAGTATTCTCTGTAGAGATGTCGTCACAGAGCCATGCGGATTAGGAGTGTTTGTGCACAGTAGGAAAGGCGGTGATTATCTGGTATGCTCATGGAAATTAGGTAGGCTGCTATGTAGCAGTAACAATCGCATTGCACTTCTAAGCCCAAACGCAGCCATGCCGGCCACAAAGTGATGCTGACGAGGTGAGCAGCGAGTCAGCATCGAAAAGTCACGTGAAGAGACCGATATTCTCCCGTGGGATTCTCGGGGTCTGTGTTTCCCGACAACGAAGGGCATCCCGTAACCTTCTTCATCTTCCACCAATGCACATTCGACAATGACTTGTCTCACTTCTGGTGGCAATCCTGTCACTGCCTGTCAAAGTGTCTGCAAAGTTCAGGCTGAAGTGTTCCGGGACTTGCTGTGGAGGTTCGTACGATCCCGTCACTCTGGCACTGCCGGCTTCCACGCCTTCCAGAAGCCCTTGGCGGCTGCAAGGGGAACAGCTGAAGCCTACCCACCTGAGTGGCCACACTGCCCTGCGGGCACCAGGGGCAAATCATCCCTCCGAAATTGCTGACCTCGACAGATGGGTTTCGGCAATCGATTACAGCATCGAACACACTCGGTTGCAATTTGCTGGCAAATGGAACCTGTTTGCGAATACTGAGTAGATCTTCACTCAACATTTTGCTTGTCACGCCGTCAGATTGATCTCCAACGAAGCGGAGGTGTCAGCGCCTCCGCCCCGCAAAGCTCATCTGCAAGGGCAAGAGCTCAGTTTCAGCGTCGGCTGCCAGAGTCCATAGTGATTCGGGGGAGCCTACCGAATACCTTGGACGGCAGCGAACAAGAAAACACAAGGTCACGCGCGCAGCTGATGCCCCGGAGGCTTGGGATTCTCTTCACGAGTCGAGAGTGGCCAAGGTTTTGTGTTAATGATCGAACTATCTCCGAAGGGTTCATGTTCGCAAGGCTCTGAACCTTTTTCAAATCCCCAAGCTCTGAATGCATCGTTTCCAGCGTACCTTGCAGAAGTGCAGTTGGTAGAAATGGCACATGGCCAATCCTTTCAAGAAGCGTCGTACAAAGATCAAGGGGGGGGTCCACCATGCTCTGCAAGGCTGTCTGCAAATGCCGCACATCCTGTCGGTCGCTGAAATCCCACCGACCTCGGCATGTCTTTGGCGTTTGGCATACGGAGTACATAAGCAGTGGCGGCAGCGGTGGTAGCGTGACGAAGGCGACGTAGCTCCTGATGCAGCCTTGCCAGCGGCAGTTTTCGTCCCACTGGGCAATGTGAGAAGTTGATATGAGTGAATATTTGATCACAAGTCGGCGATCCCGCGAAGAGCAGCCACCCATCCTCCATATTGTGACCAGTCCCTTGAACGGAGGCAATTCTGATCTACGGGTCGAATCCTTTCACTCCGTACTTTGTACTTCAAACGAGAGGGTGGCCAAACTGCACTGCTGGGGATCCAAAGTGGCATTCTCCATTGTCCACCTGTTCTGAGCAATACTCATGCAGAATTCGGTCATAGCCCCGAATGATATGCGGACAGTGGGTGAGCTGCGTTGACCGAGCGATCATCTCGAGGCCGTCAAACCGTTGTCTGCAACCATCACTTGCACCCCCCTGTGCAAGCCAACTTAATGCAGAATGACTGAATACCCAGTACAGAGCACCGATGCTAAGCTGGGTCCATGAATACTAGGTAGACTCGGCACAATTGCCTTGAGCCCGCCCACGCCTCGTGAGACAAGATCGAAACAATACGTAACCGCTCGCCGGGCATGGCAAGGGAATTCAATCATCCTGGCGATTGCTCGGCCTCCAAGTCACGCAAACCTAGTTGGGCGACCCAGCGAGGCTTTGGAGTTTCGATGAATGTGCTGACGGCTGTTTTACCCATGAGCGAGCATTGCATCAGTGGACGAATCGACTGCGAAGCTCGAGGCCCGAATGAAGTCGTTCCTTTGCTTTATCTACAAGTATGCTGCGATCAGCGAAACTAACCTCGCTACCCAGTACTTGCTGCACCAAGCGAGACCGCGCTCATGATCGCATCACAAAACGATTAAGCAGTGATCACATTTCAGTCTGATGTTAACGGCGGTAATATTGCGGGCAGCAAGCAAATTCCCGAAAAGAGAAAAAATGGCTCTCCCTTCCATGTCCCAACCCGAAATGAGAGATGGCAAGACCACTGGTCCAAGGGAGAGGATGCTTGGATTCGTTGTGGGCAGACGGCGGAGACGATTTCGCATCCGGCTGCCCGTTGGCTTCGAGAGAAAGCCACATGGATGCCCACGCGACGCCACAAAATCTTGCCTTTCTCAACCTTTGTTCGTCCTGGGCTTTTAGTGCAAGTTAAACACAGTCAATGGCAAAAGCTTCTAGAGACAATCAATAATATGCGGCCCTGGTGGTTAAGAGATGCTCCGTGAGGAAAAGGGCCGACAACACAGGAGCCTAATTGACCGGATGCGCTACGCCTTTTGACCGATTCCATAGACGCTTGAAACATCGTCAGAAGGCATCTTGACCGACAACCGGTGGATACCTGAGTTTAGAGCCCTGCATCCCAAGGCTCTGCACCACTGGCGACTTCAAGAAGAGGAAACTAATGAGAGGCCACCCAGGCCACCCCACCATTCCCAAGGGGGCTGGTGGGTGCTCCGGTCGACCCACAGAAGAGCATTCACAGTCAGGAGTGTTGGATGGGGACTCCTTTTGCGGCAAGACCCCGAAAAGTCACCTCTCTTGTGCTCGCGGAGTCGGTGCTGGCCGGGTGCTCTGAGGAGTAAGATTCACGTTTATCGTGGACGAAACATCAGGTACTGGGTAGACAACCACAGTACGCGGTCTGGCCAAGGGCTTGGCTTGAAACTCCCGGGCGTCGAAGGACACGGTTGGGGGCCGAGGCGAGAGGTAGGAAGCAGAGAGGGTACTGGGTATTGGCGTCGGGATTCACCAGGATGGGATCTCGGAGAGGTGCCAATCGTGTCGGGTGAAGAAAATCCAGTCTTGAACCGGGCCTCAGCCTGCCCGTCCCTTGTTTGTACCAAAGTATACTATGACACTGCTACCAGCGTCTGCAATCCGGTTCCCTGTCCGTTCCGGTGGTTCCTTCAGACTCTTCCTTCGGGTTCCAGCGTTGCCATCCAACAATGATCACGGCTGCTCTTGCGTTGAAGACGGCCTGACACGGAATGAGCCCAGGTGCGGCTGGCAATGAGGTGTGTAGAGGCATCAAACCACATAGAGTTCAGGGCATGTTAGGGAGGACGGTCAAGACGGGATGAGCACTGGGGAGGCAGGTAACAGTGTTGGTGAATGACGCCAGAAATGGCCCCGTCTGCAAAGCTAGAGCTAGCTCTAGAGCGTGACAGAAGAATGAAGAGTCGATCGTCAAAGGTGTTGAGCAACTCGTTCATCTAGAATACGATGGGATGAGGTAACTGCGCAGCTGCATGTCTGATTGACGACGAGGACGTTCTCGGTCGGGCTTCCAGAATGGCGAGGGCGAGGGCCCTCGTTCTCGAGGTAGGAAGTGGGAATCGCACCCATTACCGAGGGTCCGGGATAGAGTTACAATTGTGGATGCGGGTTGGTAAGTTTGACGTGCTGGGCTGAGATGATGGCTCACTAGGCCTAGTCGCCGTGGCCGTGGCCTTTGTAGGAGGAGCCTTGAGGAGCCTGGCACCGCTGCGAGCCTGGCAGCAGTGGCAGGCGCAGGGATCTGGGAGCCGAAAGTGCCCATACCTAGTGCCCATAGTGCCCATACACAGTGACAGAACAACAACCACCGCTCGTAACGACTCGACTCGCATGGGACTAAGCCGTCCGGAAACGTACCAGACTGTATCATCGACCTCCTCCTCATCATCCTCATCGCCGACTCACACTTCCAACCCTCTCGCAATCCTGCCTTCTACTCCAACAGACTCATCAAACAACCATTGTGCTGTCGACTCCAGCTGCAGCACACGCACTGAACTCCCCCAGCGCAGCTTCCCCACCTTATCGTCGCTCATTTGGCCCCATCTCCAACCTCACCTTTGTCGCCGCGCCGTCACCACCACCACCTCCCCAATTTCCGCGGCGACCTCATCACGTCACCGCCCTCACCGACGCTCAACTCGACCATCTACGACCGGCGACGACTATTCCACTCACCTCCCTCCCCCTTCACCCTCCTCTCCGACCTCATCCTTGATAGGTCTATGTTAGACTACGAAGAAAGCCCTCCGCCACTCAATCACTCGCCTTCTCCGAGTGATCGGTCGCATTTCACCTCTCGAGATACGACCCCAGTTACACCCGTCGGCACCGGGCCGTTCTTTGGCAGGAAGACAGAGAAGGACACGCTCCCGTGGTTTAGGAAACCCATCGACGTAGGACGTACCACTACGAGACTTTGTTTAGACACCGACTCCTCCCTCCTCGCACCGGACTTTGACGACAACTCTTTCCCAACATTTGGCGCTTCGCCACCGCATAAGGGCATGGCGAGCGTAGCCAACCCTCTCGACATCTCTGTAAGACAGACCTCGACTTCGCCCCGTGGCAACCAGCCGTCAAACCTGACCTCCGCCCTGCAACGAAGTGACAGTGAAGAGAAGCGCATGATGGCCAACCAAACCCCAGACACGGCGCTCAACCGCCCCCTCCCCCAGATGCCTTCCACTTCCTCAAATGACTTTGCCAACTTTGAGCATGGGGCGAGGCCGATCTCGGTTAAAGGGATGGCAAATGATAGAGCGAGACGCGAGAGTCTGGCGCAGAGTCTCAATGCGGGCATGAGCTGGGGGGGAATATCTGTGGGAAGCTGGATACGAGACGAGTAAGCCCGTGATTTATGCTGTTTGAAAACGTCCATGATACTGATGTGTGAGAAGTATGGTTATGTCTGGCACTTCGCCCTTTACATTTAATTCTCCCTCGTTCCATTCCTCCTCCTACCTACCCAAACTCGAGGCCAACTTCATGAAGGACTTCTCCTGCTGTGGCCTTACTTTGCCTACTCTGCACGATCTTCTCCAGCACTACGAGGAAGCCCACGCGCAGAAAGATCCCCAGCAGTCCAATACCAATCAGCAACCTGTTCCAGATAGCCGAGCTGCAATCGCTGCGACGACGGCGGCTCAGGTTCAACAAGAGGCCCAACAACGCAATCAGCAGCAGCAGCAGTCACACAATGCCCCCGGTCGGCCTTTTGGGACGCAGCAGAACGTAGTCCAGAACGTCCATAGACCGTCGGGATTTTCCAGCACCTTGCAGACGATACCAGACATGGACACGGTCGAGGACATGGAGATGGACGACATTGATGGAGCCGATGAGACGACACCGCCACCGAATCTGTACACCCAGAACCAATCTCAAACCTCACCACAGACCTCTTTCGCAGCGCCGTCACAACAGCCTCAAATACCTCAACTCAACACGACCATGATGCAAGGGCACCAGGCCTACCGGCAGTCCACTCCCAACACGCCCGTGGCGCCAGGACGTAATGCTGCACGTTTCCAGGGCAACACTTCATCCACGCTGATGCCGAACCCGATGCAGCAATTCCAGGACCTGCAGACCGGATATCGAGGTACCCCAGACTCTTCTGCGCCCGGCACCCCCGGCGAGATGGGGGACGGAATGATGGACGGTATGGATGATATATCGATGCAGAACCTCGCCTTGTACAACGGCCTTCCGAACGGCATCGGCGGGTACAATTTCGGCATGAATAACGACATGATCGATCTCTGCATAGACGAGCCATCGAAACGTCTCTTTTCGACAGGCAACCAGGGCATGACTCAAGCGCAAGCAGGCCAGCAGCAAATGGCCCAGAATCGACTTGGCACCGGGCAGTACGGAGCAAACAGTGAAATTGCGAGGACAATTCGCGAACGACAAGCCGCTGCCGGATTACCCGACACCACCACTAACATTCTTCCGCACGAAGAACCTAAACCCTTCCGATGCCCCGTCATTGGCTGTGAGAAGGCCTACAAGAACCAGAACGGGTTGAAATATCACAAAGCAGTAAGTTGTCACGAGCAAGGTCTAGTGTCGGTTAGCTAACATCGAGCTAGCATGGTCACAACAACCAGCGGCTTCATGAGAATGGGGATGGCACGTTCTCAATCGTGGACCCCGATACCCAGGCACCGTATCCCGGCACCATGGGAATGGAAAAGGAGAAGCCTTACAAGTGCGATGTTTGCCAGAAGCGGTACAAGAACCTGAATGGTCTCAAGTACCACAAGACGCATTCACCGCCTTGCAACCCCGAACTCCAGCTGAATGCGAACAAGGGTCCGTCACTCGGTATGCCCAACATGATTGCTGGCCAACAAACAGGCAATATGGGAGCTGGTCTCTCGGGGGATCTGAACATGATGTGAAGAAAAGATACCCAACACGTTACGACCAAAGAGACTATTATCATCCGATGCGCGCAAGCAGCTTGACCACTGCTTCGATGGGGATCACCTTTCATTTTCCTATTACTAATTGATGAGAGACGGCCGAACATCAATGATTGGAAGAGCAACCCAAACGACTCATAAAAGGTCGGCAAGGCTCCAAATCCACGTGATGATTAGCAAAAGCGGTCTTCAGAGGCCCGTGTCCCCTTTAGAAGAGATCTCTCTCGATCTCCTTTCAGGCGGCTCGTCTCGGAACCAATGCTTTGAATTTGTGCAACAGAATCATAGACAGGTGTCGTGGGGTTATCTTCAAAAGTTCATTGTGCTTCGATTTTTCCGGAAGAGGGTTTCTCCGATCTGGCGCCACGACGCACGCCTGGGGGGCACACCGCTCGATCCCAACCTTTTCTCGACTCGACTACAACGGCGTTTGATACAGGGGAGCTAGATAGACAACTTCGGTGGCCGCCCTTGACAGCTTACGTCTTCCCAGCGGATGATGGGTTGCACAACAGTGTGTTTTATACAAGAGTACGCGGAGGGTGGATATCGCGGGGGCTTGCTCCGCTCGATACGTTCGGATTTAGAGACTTTTCTACGGTGTGTTAAGCTTGAGGCTTGGGAGGAGTGTTGGACGCGTGGTTGGCTCGATGAGGCAAGGAGTCTCTCTCCCTTGCGGAGCGGTCGGGGTGGATTCTTGCGATCAGTTGAGCTTGTGTTGGATAAGTACTTGGCAGACGTGCAAGAGCATGAGTTATCGTTTAGCAAGAGTTGTTGCACATTAGAGAATCGCTCAGAAGCGAATTGGATACAATGAGTAATCCCGACTATTAGAACGGAGAAGCACCGAGCAACAGTATGGCTAATTGTCCGATATCCTTAAGCCTGGGCAAGCCTGGGTTCGTGAGCGCTTTTCTATTTCGGTGGAAGAGTGTGACCAAGCAAGGAGGGATCCGAAGTCCAGCGACTAAGTCGACCGGTCTCGCGCCTGGTGCAGCCTTACTCATTTTCCCATTTGGAAAAGATCAGCCGATAAGCACCCTAGCCTGTGCTTGTACTGGTAGGCATAGGGGATGGCGGGCTTCAGAGCAATTCCCCATCGAGACGGAAGTACCCAGTAATACGAAGGAATATAACTCCGCATTGTGAAGTACCGGGTACACAGATCATGGAGCAAGAGGACGCGGAGTACCACGTAACAGGTTGCCGGAAATGCTATACTATCGAAGTAATAAGCACCATCAAGTACCGGACCAGATAGCAACAGAGTTTCAATGGTCCCGGGAGGCAAGGAGTGGAGGGAGAGATCGGGGCTTTTTGAGGCTGAGGCATGGCTACCGGTATTGCGCCAAAGACCAGGGGCCGATGGAAAAAAGGCGAAGTTACTCGCGAGGTACAGGTAGTTGAGTGCCGAGTACCGTTTGTTCTTCGCAGGATAGCAGAGCCGCCAGCAGGGTCTTAAGACTCGTGGATAGGAGGTGCTGGTGTGTAAGTACCTACCTAGGCCACACTCGAAGACATGAGACGTGGGTCAAAAGTTGATCGAAGAGAGGTCCAGGTACGAAGCACTACTAGGAAGTTGTCAGGGCTGGTCTGTCGATTGACAGCTGCTTAGAACTGATGGGGATGGATGAAGGGATGCGCCACAAGCCCAAAGACGCGCGGGTTCCTGCTCGTTGATTAATATTGACGTGGTCAAACATGGTTTGAAGGGAGAGGGGAGAAGAGAGAACGAGGCGCAGCTCAAGGACCAGAGCAAGAAAGCATGGAAAGATGGAGTCTTCTCAAGCTTGTCTTGACATTGGAGGTGGACTCATTGACGCGTCTCCTCGGTCCACTGCCCAGGGCGATAAACTACTTGTTTCAGGGCTCAGAGGATCTCTCAGACACGAAGGGCTTTCCACCATCAGACTTTCTGACCTGAACCACCGACTTACTTCCCACCACCACTACTACTTACTACCACCACCACCACCACCACCACCAAAGTTACCTTACCACGCCCGCGCTCCCGTGGAACCACCACCGCCTCCAGCCGCCCTTCCTGCCCCTGGCGAACTGGCACAACCTGGCATCTTGATCTGCGACAATCTTAACGATTGCATGACATTTTTTTTCCCACCGCATAATAATACGCACCTTTTTCCGACTTCCCCCCATTGATTAATATTTCCCAAAAGGTCCGAAAAGAAAACACCCTCGCCGTACCTCACCGTTCTGCTATAAGCACCGCCGCCCACCACCGCATCCGCAAATCCGCCTCTTCGTCTTCCTGCGCCATTCCTTGCTTGCCTCAGGAGTTGTGTCGCTTGCCTTTCCTTTCATCCTGGGACACAAAACAACCCAGTCTCTCGTTTAGTTTTGACTCCCAGCACAGAACCTCACCAATCCTTCCCAAACGGCTAGAGCCCCTCCCTCATTCGTGGCCTTTCGCATCCCCAGCCCGCTCGGAGTCCGGTCATCTGGGTCCTGTTTATGAACCTTGCGGCTGTGAGAAAAGTCCCACAGACAATTCCTAGATGTACGGAATTACAGTCACGGCGCATTGAATACCGTTCCTTCCTGATTAGAAATAAAGAAGAATACACTCTTCTCCCTGTCTCTAACGGCCGCATTTTCGTCCGGGGGAACGGGTCCCCTTGTGTCACGATACTTGGATTGAAACGAGGCTGAAAAGAGTGGGACGCGGAGAGAGAGAGAGAGAGAGAGAGAGAGCCCGGCCGAGTAGCAAAGATGGGGGACGCTGCCGACGGCAACAATGCCCCGCACATGGTGTTCAACATGCTCGAAGACAAATACATTGGCCTCGTCCTGGCCATCATCTCCACCCTCGCCATCGGAACCAGCTTCGTCATCACCAAGAAGGGACTCAACGACGCCGCGGACAAACATGGCTTTGAGGGAGAAGGCTTCGCATATATGAAAACCCCGCTGTGGTGGGCAGGGATAGGGTCCTTGGTGGTCGGCGAAATCGCCAACTTCGCCGCATACGCTTTCGCGCCCGCCATTCTCGTCACCCCGCTGGGCGCGCTCAGTGTCCTCATTGGAGCCGTGCTTGGCGCCTATTTCCTCGGAGAGGAGTTGGGAGTGTTGGGCAAGCTGGGATGTGCGATCTGTCTGCTGGGAAGTGTCATCATTGTGCTTCATGCGCCCCCGGACAAGGAGATTGAGACGGTTGATCAGATTCTGGGGTATGCGATTAAACCAGGTATGGACGATATGCGACTCGGGTTGGCGCACAAAACGTGAAAGGGACCTGGCTAATTTCTCTCTTTCTCGCAGCGTTCATAATCTATTGTCTCGCAGCGATTGTCTTCTCGACTGTTATGATCTACAAAGTCGCCCCAGTGTACGGCAAGAAGAATCCCCTGATCTACATCTCGATTTGTTCGACCGTCGGTTCGGTATCTGTCATGTCGGTCAAGGCCTTTGGAATTGCGGTCAAGCTGACTTTTGCGGGCAACAACCAATTCACCCACCCTTCGACATACGTCTTTATGATTGTCACCATCGTCTGCATTCTCACACAGATGAATTATTTCAACAAGGCGCTCAGTCAGTTTTCGACCTCGATCGTCAATCCTTTGTATTATGTGACATTTACGACGGCCACGTTGTGCGCATCGTTTATTCTGTTCCAAGGATTTAACACGACGGATGCCGTCAATACGATCTCTCTCCTCTGTGGGTTTTTGGTCATCTTTTCGGGCGTGTACCTGCTCAACCTGTCGAGAGGAGATCCGGACGGTCATCGACTACTCAATGGGAAAATCGCAGATGAAGATGGGATCCCGACGGACCCTCTCGCCGGCCTGCAAACACGAAGAAGCATGCAAGCAAGAAGAAGTCTGGATCCGCATCGACGGAGTAGCAGCCTGACATTCAGTCCGGGTGGGATCTTATCGGGCGGCAGTCGCCACGCAAGCGCGGAAAGCGCGGGACTGATGCAAAACTATGATGTCGAGCACGGAGGCTTTGGACTATCAGATCTGGTGGAAGATCCGGAGGAGCTGGAGGGCACGTCGAATCGAAATCGAAGTCCTGGGGAAAGAGGAGAGCAAGTGACGAGGATACATGATAGGCCACATCCGAAGAGCTTAAATCGATGACATTGAGCGAAGGCCTTGGGAGGTTCTTGATTGTGCAGTCTCGATTAGACTTGGACAAGAGAGTTGTGATTGTAACGATATCCATGCATAGGTAACGGTTCATTAGCGACGAAACAAGCCCAGCATTTGACAGGATAAAGGGTATGACCAAGGAAAGGAAGGACAGGAAAGGAAACGAAGGGGTGGATTGATTCAGGCACTGGCTGGTTCTCAGGCCCCAGGGGGGGCCTTTCTACTGTTACTGTATACTGTTAGCATGAAGCAGCAGCAAAGGAATTCAAGCAGAATTTTTATCCTTTCTTTTTGTGCCCTCTCTTTCCCCCCTCCTTGACAGACTGGAGGGTAGCATGAGAGGATGCCGATGAGAATAAAGAAATGAGGAGAGAAAGAAAGAAGAACGGATGGCACCAATGGAAGGCTCCGTCGGTGGCGGACAAGAACAAGAGCACGTGCGCAGGCCACATGCGAGCAACTTTCTCTCGAGGTCACTTTTCACTTTTCCACTTGCACTGGGCATCCACCATCCACACATTCCACCAGGCCACCACATTCTCCTTCACATAATATCCTCGTCCCCTATCCCATGGCTGAAAGGAGCTAACACTCGTCTCACACACAATCAGCCCGGACTGTGCTAGCAGAGCATTCCGCCTCACAATCCGCCTCACAATGGCGCCCTCATACCCATCTCCAAGTCTAAAGGCTACGACGGCGTCGCCACGCACAGGGCCACAAAAAGGTACGGCCACCACTCACCACCACTCTGTACTCTCACTGCATCGCCCATGACAAACAGAAAATCCCTGACATTTGGTGTGTCGATGTTTGCATCTCATGGAAACCCCCTCTCAAAGGCCAGATCGAGGCGTGCTTTGCGTTGCCATCGTGCCCACATTTATCATTTCTTTTGCTGCATGATTTCATGTTCGTGCCACCGCTCATCCATGCTTCTTACTGGCGCAGCGCTGTGTCCCTGATACGAGGAGCCATGCACGTGCGTTATTGCCCATTTCCTTTCGCTCGACCACACCGAGGCGATCTGTCACGCGACACCCGCGCACACGACAGTGGGATGTTGTGGGAAGCTGTGGGAATAAGCAGTGCTCATTGAACAATCGAGCTCCAGGGGCGATGTGACGGTCCATGCCATTGTGTTTGCTTTTTTTTCCTTTGCTTCCCCGGCCTGTTTGATTTCTGTCGAGAGATGGAGAACGTGCCCAGAGTGGATGCATGCGTCCAAGTCAGGCTTCTAACGCATCCCTAGGTGTGACCATCTTCGACGAGCCAGAACATATCCCCGAGCCTAATATCAAGGTCTTCGCGGATGGCCAGGATGACGGTGTCGGCTCCTCCCCCACGCTCGTTGCCTCGCACAGCCCCAAACTTCACCGCGCCAGTATTTCAGGAAAGAAGATGACCGGCCGACCCGCCCTGCATCATTCAAATTCAAATTCAAATTCATCTCACATCTCCTCTGCTGGCGCTCCCCTTAACAAACCTATGTCGTACCTCAGCCTCGACGACAATAACCCCCCTGACTCATCGTGGTCAGGGGGTCCAGGCACCACAACTCCTGGAACGACGGCAGAGAGTAAAACTCCTGATCTCCGCAATATCCTTGCCCAGGTAGCCGACTGGCTTCAAGATGAGAAGGCCAAACGACAGAAGCAGAGGCACCATCGGCATCACCCTCATCGCAGCAAGCAGCCGAGGACCCCCGACGATCAGACCGACGACCCCAAACCAAACGATGCCCTGCTTGACAACGAACAAGATATGTCGCTTGAAAGGCTCGAAAACATCCTGCAGAATTTCTCTTTCAACAATAACTCGAAGCTTCTACACAAGTCTTCGAGCTCGCTCCTGAGAAGAGGATCCTTAGGCAAGAGATACAAGCAGCCCCGCTCCATGCCGGCTTCATCAGACACAGAGTTCTTCGGCGACGATATATTAGTCCCAAACGTCGAGGCGAAGCTGGACAACTCCAAAACCATGGCTTTTGCTGGCGGATCGGCAGATGTGGATACCAGCGATAGTGCGAGGAGGCAGGATTATGATCACTGGGTGACCTTCAAGAAGGACATTGTCCGGTTGACGCACACGCTTAAACTGAAGGGCTGGCGCCGCATCCCTATCGATCGCGCTGCCGATATCGACGTTGCCCGTCTGAGCGGCGCCCTTACCAACGCTGTCTACGTCGTCCATCCTCCCAAAAATATGTCCGAATACGACGCCCACAATCCTTCTGACCCATCTGCGCCGCCCGTCCCCATTTCTCGGCGTCGTCCTACTTCTCTTCTCCTGCGCATTTACGGTCCGCAAGTTGAACATCTCATCGATCGAGAGGCCGAATTGGGCATTCTTCGCCGCCTGGCTCGGAAAAGCATCGGACCTCGTCTCCTGGGATCCTTCGAGAACGGGCGTTTCGAAGAATTTCTCCATGCCAAGACCCTCACGGCGGAGGATCTGCGTATTCCTGAGACATCTAAACAGATCGCGAAACGAATGCGCGAGCTTCATGAAGGGATCGAACTGCTCGAATCTGAACTTGACGCCGGTCCGGCGGTTTTTGTGAACTGGGACAAATGGGTCGATCGGTGCGAGAAGGTGATTACTTGGCTTGATAATCAGGTTCATCAGGCCGAGAGGGAGCTCACGGACGGCACGACAAGGCGCAAGTCAACAGTCAATGCCCGCTACGTCCGCCGCGGGTTGATCTGCGGCGTCGAATGGCCTGTCTTCCGCAGGGCCTATGACGCATATCGGAAACGCCTGATCGCAGACAGTGGTGGCCGCGAAGGAATCCGCAAGCTGCTCGTCTTCGCACACAATGACACCCAGTACGGGAACCTCATGCGCCTCCAACCCTCCGGCACCTCGCCCCTCCTCCAACCGTCGAATCAGCACAAGCAGCTCGTCGTCATCGACTTCGAGTATGCAGCGCAGAACACCGTAGGGTTAGAGTTCGCAAACCATTTCACCGAGTGGTGTTACAACTATCACAACCCCCCCGACAAGAACTTTCAATGTGACACGCGACGGTATCCGGATGAGCGGGAGCAATACAGATTCGTGAGGAGTTATGTCATGCATAGACCGCAGTTCAACCCCGCGGCGAGTGCGACACCCAAGATGGAAGGTCGGGAGAAGACCAATATCAGTGATTTCATGCTGGATGCGCGTACCCCTGGAGGCGGGACCCCCAATCCCTGGGGGGGAAGCGGAGGATTGGACGGAGGAGTTGAGGCCAATTACGACAGAGAGGAGAGCGAAAGAGAAAAGGCCCAGGAGGAGGAAATCCAAAGGTTGTTGCAGCAAACGAGGGTGTGGAGGATGGCAAATTCGGCGCAGTGGGTCGCGTGGGGAATTGTGCAGGCCAAGGTACCAGAGCTGGATGCATTGGAGGAAAAGGCAAAAGAAGACAAGATGGCGGAGAAGACGAAGAGCAAACGGAGAAAGAGCGTGACAGAGATGGTGTCTGCGGGAGAAAAGAAGATCGTCGACAAGGTGAAAAGCTTGGTGGGCAAGGATGGCGTCGGAAAATATCATCAAGATGACCATTCGAATCCAATGTCGGACCCCCTGACTGGAGAGGAGAAACGAATGCAGGTGGAGAGTCACTGGGACCGACCCGAAGGGAGAGCACAAGAGGAAGCACACCACGAAGGCAATGGAGACATTGCGGTGAGCCACCGACCGGACGCCAGTAACAACAATTTCAGTCCCTGTGACACCATCCATGAGCACGCCGAAACACATAGCAATCTTGAACCGGCGATCACAACTAACGGTGACAGGGAACGTTCTCGCTCACAACTTCCGGCTCGACCTCAGATCGACTCCGACCATAACGCCGACACAGAGATGACACAAGTCGAGGGACAGCCTCGCCCAGATAGCCGCCCGAGCTCTCCCTCCGACCACGGTGACGAACCCGAGGACGAATTCGACTACCTCGCCTACGCACAGGAACGGGCCATGTTTTTCTGGGGCGACTGCCTTCAAATGGGCTTGGTCGAGGAGGATGAGTTACCCGTGGACCTCAAGCGGAGGGTCAAGCTTGTGTCGTATTGACGCTTGCTGGCTGTTTGCACTTTGGCGTTGTCGATATATTCGATGCCCGACTGGTTGTGGCGTTAGTGAGTGGTCTGAGCACGGTGTGTGGCTTGAGCCAGCCTGAGCAGCAAGGGTTGAGAGGCAAGCCATGAAAGGATCCTTGGTTGCTCCAGGTTATGAGGTGTGCAATACGCATCACGCCATGTGAGATATGAGTGGGATATGGAATTTGGCAGCCGAGACGGATGGAGTTGAGGTTTTCAGACAGGCAGGCCTTAATTTTATGATCGGACCGGTCCCGCGCCATGGGACGGACTCCTGGGTCGGGAGCTGGAGCAGGAGCTGGACAGTCATCAGCTAAAGGACTCACAGGTGATTATGACGACGAGTACGAATGCCATTGAATGGAAGAAACAGAGTACGGCGTACGGAGTGCGGGAGTGCATGATAATTCGGTGATGTAGATCGAGATACCAATTCCTAGTCCCATCCAACCTTGTCCCGTCTTCTTCAGGGCCAGAGGTCGAGATTAGTCAAAATTATATTATCGTCAATCGAGACTTTTTCCACCCGCCGACAGTCATCGTAACCTGAGGGTTAAACTGTATAAACCCAACTCGATGGTATACCATTTCGTGCCCCGTGCTGGAGTGAAGGGAGAGTGCTAGTCCAAATCCTCCGCTGTATCGTTCCGGTGGCAGTCCCAAGTCCGCGTCCTCGACTATTCCAGGGTCCAGCCAGAGACAGTGTAGGACCGAGTACCTGGAAGAATATGCGTGGTCATCAAAGTAAACATCGCCAAGTTTGTTGCCTTTTGGATCTTCGAGCTGCCGGCCGCCACCGCCTTGACCCCGTGTGGGAGCCCGCACAGAGGCACCGAAGAAGAGTCGGCCCTCCATCGTTACCCTGCCTGATTCCACGATGCCAAAGGGATTTGTCCCCCTCACCTTGACTTCAGCACCCAGAATCACGGCCTCGTCTCCTTCAATTGGTGATGGCATAGAGGTCTCAAAGGAGCTCCGATCGAACGGCCGCGTCGGAAACCATACAGGAGCGTTGACCGTGGCCCATGGCCATGTTGGTGCGTTGGGTACGCAAGGTTGTTCTTCCACAGGCCAGCCAGATACTGGTCTCCCGTCTCCCGTTGCCGTCTTGCGGCGAGTCCGGATATGGCAGGCAGCCGGTCCGTCGGCACCGTGATTTCTCTCGACGTAAATTCCTCGACGAGTTTCTCCCACATGTGGTGGTAAAGACCAGGTGGTTGCTCGACAACCTTCCGATTGAGAGCAACAGTTTCGCATGCGCTCTGTTCAGGGGGTCCGTGGTAATGGAGAGGCCACCAAGCCAAGCGCTTGTTGGGACGCAACAGGACTCCGTCATTATGGACAGTCGAGTCCGAAAGGGGACGAGACATAGTGGAAAACTCCTCTTCAGAGCATTGCATCTGTTTACAGATCCAGCCAGATTGATGGGTAGTTAAAACAAGAGCCCGGCGAGAGAGTTCATACTCTTGCATACACCATCCGCGCCGTCTTGTAGGCTGACTCTTCTGAAGGGACTCTTCGCCCTCCATGGCATTCGTCCCGGCTGTCCAATTCGGCAAGACGGGATGGAATCTGACGGCAGCAGTCCGGCTTCTGTCTTCCGTTGATAAGTTCAAAACGGCGGGGCTGACTAGGGACATATCCCTCTCAGCAAAGAGGGGTTTCGACGGATCTGGTGAGGGTGATATTATAGTGCAGAGAGCGTTGGCGTAGATATCGGCCATAGACGAGGCTTCTTTTTCCCAATCGTCTGGAGAGTCCTGAAGGATACAGAGGCAGTCGATCCAGATATATCTCTCATTCAGCCCTCTGGTAAGTTGAATGACGTCCTGAAAGCTCCGAGGGAGCCGGGCTAGATGAATTCCGGCCTTGAAACTGTCAATATTTCCAGTCGACAATGTCCACGGAGATTCCTTGGTCGTCGATCCCCAACAGTAACTCAGCGCGAAGTATCTAGATCTTTGTTCTCGACACTGCTCGCCACAAACGATTCGTGGCTCCTGAGAACCGTCGTGAGGCCCGACGTCGACGAGTCGAGTAGGTGGGTCTCCAACACTATTCTCACCGCAGCCTTGATGCTCATTCAGGCATTTATCGAGCCATGACCTGATGATACTGAGACTTTCGGTGCTTGGTATGGCGGACAGGGCGGGTGTGCGACCTACAACTGTTAGCCTATTTACTAGAGAGCATTCGTGGCGTGGTACTTACCACTTGTCCGGAGTCCGGTTTCACAGTCATACTCCAGGAAGTAATGATTCATTCCTGAGGCAAGAACAATTCTATCCACCGAGTTATCCCATTCAATCCAATAGCCGTCCCCATCGTAGCGAGGATTGAGATCCGGTGGGCCAAAGAACGTAGGACAAAACTGAGATATCATTTGTTGCAACAGTAACCGGCAAGAATGGCAACCTTTTTCTGCAGACACGGTGAAATCCAACAACCTGGGGTGCAATTTATATTGGATGCGATCATCGCCTAGGAAAAGGTCCAATGGGATACGGGAGCATTTGGCACAGATCATTTTGGCGGCTCGACGGGGTCCCTTCTGAGCCCTGTGATATACCTATCTATCGGAAAGTCTCAAATCCGGGTCCCAGGGGAGAATCCAATATTTATGGTATCTTGGGTATGAGATGGCCATCATCCGGCGGCACCCATGGGAGCAAGACGCATGCTGCATGGATGTCTCATGGGCGATCTCACCGGTTAGAATATAGACCAATGGTCGTTAACCTTTGCTTTGTGTGTAAGTACAATACGCACCGTGCCCAGTTGAATCAGCTTCATTCTTTCCCTGGTATCGCCCTGTTACTCAGGGAGCGCTCAGCGACGTCACTAATAGACTCCGTTCAAACTTAGGTCAAAGCGGCCGTCGCTCATCCTCTTAAGAACAAACCGTATGTGTCGATTAGGTGTTTTTGTCGCGAGTGATCTAGGTAGGTAACTCTCGCTCATAGTTTGATCTTCACACCACTCTTGTCCAATCCCAATGCTACCCCGGTAACCAGAACCGCATAACCCATCAACAACCCCATCGCGCTCAGTGGACGCATATCCAACGTATTGAAACTCAAGTTGACCAGGCCCGTCAGAAGATTCGCGACCAAAAAGATGACGAGCCCGTTCTTATTAAACACCGCCAGAATTCGGCTGGTCGCGGAGCGAACTCTGTCCTTGTCTTCCGCTTGGTATGAGAAGCTCGGCCCGCAATCTTCCACCAGACCAAAGAGGAACATTTGGGCGTTGTTGAACGCGACAACCCACAGCATGTAGGGGAGGTTGGCAAGGCGGCGCGATACTGTAAGATTGAATGTGTACAGGCTCGTCGTTAACCAATATAGGAAAACGTAGATAAGGGATTTGATGAGGAGGCCATTGAGGACCGATCGTCTCTCGCGACGCGTGAGTTCCCTCGGACTCGACTGTTTCGAAATTTTTGGGACCGGCTCGTTGAATTGGACGGCAAGCATCCCCGTTCCGCGCCCTGCGAGGAAGATCGCCAGGTATCCCGCGAAAGAGAACACTCCTTCTCGGTTTTTGGACAAAAGGTCGGGTCCGCGAGGAGAGATCAAGATGTAGGACAGAAGGTCGGTATTGTTGAGAATGAGCTCGTAGACGACGGCCAAGGTGAGAGCGAAGGTCTCGTAAGACTTGAACATCCTGCGGGTAACACTGTCGGAAATCTCAACAAAAGGGGGTAATAACGCCAGCGTGAAGAAGAAATTCCAGTGGACTCCATACTCAGTGACGTGCTCGGCGTAGTCGAGTCCTTTGACGCTGTAGAGGCGAATGAAGCCGAGGATGAACAAAGGGACCGAATGTCGAAGGGCTTGAATGAAACGGCTGACGAATTTTGTATTCGGTGACGGTAATGCTTGAACCCCGGTACGGGCGCGGACCACGGCTCGAGCAGAGACCACGCCGGCCGAAAACACGAAAGAGCCCACACCCAAGTCCATGAGCGAGGTGCCCCATATCTCGACTTTGGCGTAGCGGCGGGGAAAGATGGGAAAGTCAACAGCTAGGATGGCTAGGCAGGTCACAATGAGCATTGACCCGCGGTAATGGGTCAGGAATGGTCGGATTGGGAGGATCGGAGGCGCATTGGAAGTGCTAGCAGCGGCGCCATTGACAGAGCGAGGATTCACCTTTGCTGGGGCATCCGAGGCGGAGGTGGTGGACTGTCTGCCGGTCTTGAGGAATGTGAGGACGGCCCCCGGAGTGATGAGAAAGATACTCAAGACCAGGGGAGTGGATGAGTACAGAGTAATGGCGAACAAAATGGCGCAGACATTGAGCAGGAAGTCGGCCAGCAACGCGACAGGAGTGTATGGCGTGAAGAAAGAGTGTCTCCTCTGCAGAGCAGTCCAGAGAAATACTGCGGCCTGCGAATCAATCAGCGAAGGTCCATGAGCACACGACCAGCAGATGGCTGTATGGGCTGGAAAGCGTACTGCAGCAACAAGCGTGACCACGTTGATCTCTGTCAAGGAACTTCCATAGAGGTTGGACACGAATGCCTCCTTACGAGCCTTGTAAGAGGCTGCTGAAGCTGCGGCCATGGCGAGGGACTGGAGTTTATATCATTTTGGACGTAGGGAGAGCCTTATAAGCGAAGTGGTTTAGCATTCATCAGGGGGGGAATTCGATATGTGAAATGGATGGTGACAGGTGGCAGCACACGTGGTGAAATGACAGACGAAGCCTGGCAATTCATTTCAAATGACACCGGTTTCGACCAGGCAAAAAGGGCGGCCTCTACAAATATCGTTGTAGCATGTGGGTGAAACCGTTCATATACCTGCAATTTTCGATATAGCTCTAGCCCTCCTTCATACAAATTGTGAATCGGCATACAGGCTCTCCTTGCTTATGTCCAGCAGAGTGAGGTACTGCTGCCCTACTGCCCACCGAGATGCCATTGTCTCCAAGACCTTCCTTAGAATATGGTATGCATCTCCCATTTCCCTCAGTCCTGTCTCATGGGCAAGCCATGCGTAAATGCTCGCTCCAAAATAAATACAGTCCCCCACCAAAGGACTCACCGCTGCAGGGTTCGATGTCATGCCCACATGGAGGAGTTGGCTGAACCGGAAGACATCTGCCGCAACCGACTTCATGCCTGCGATGGCAATGGTCTGCATCTCAGTCTCTTCCACGGTTCGGTGGCCACCGTTAGATTCTGTACAAGCAAACGGATCGCAAAGGTGCATGAGACTGCTATAACAGATGGCCAGGGGCGTTCCATACCGCTCTGGCGATCGATGCACGTCGTTAGGAAGTAAATTAGCCAATGCCTGGAGTGTTCGATGTAGCTGGATCGCTTCGGAAAATCGCATGGGTGCATCAAGCAGTCTGTCATTCAGAAGACGGACGAGCCTACCTAGGAGGTGCGTCGCTTGACACGTTCTTGTAAACGCTCCAGCTTTAACGTTCGTAGGCGAGGAGACGTAGAGTGGTTCACTCGTCGTTATCTGTCCCTCGTCCCAGAGGTCATCGTCGGCCGGCAGAGTATCGTAGAGGACAGGGTCGTCGGTAGCCAACGGGTGACCAGAGGAACCGAGATTGACATATCTCAACCAAAGGTAAGCGCCTGATCCTCATGGGAATACCGTTGTACATACCTATCCAAAAGCATTGTTGCCCACCAAGTTCGCTTCATTTCCTCCAGCTCCCCCCAAGCTCCCGTTCTTTTCTTGAGCATTTGAGGAGCATGGCGCCGGTCGTTGAGACCCAGCGCGTGTCCGATTCTAGCGCAGTGTCCAGTACTCAGATACGCTGCCGGATAGATTGCGTGGCCTATCTCGTATGCGGCGACCAAGATATTCGCTTGCAGCAACTGGAGGGACATCAATCCGCTCGATTCGACCATGTTGGCGTAGCCCTTGCTAAGATTGTACAACGGTGAGCGGATACTTTGAGGACCACTTTGAGGTACCTGGATGACGAGCTTCATGGACAAGAGCAGGAGTGCTAGGTCGAGAGTAAGTTCCATTGTGGGATTGGACAGTGTCAACTGCATGCGCTTCTTGGAGACGAATGGGAGCCAGGTATGGATGTTTGCGAAGTATCGGTCGACAATTTCCTGAATGTCCAGGATCGACACTCCCACTGTCGCTGCGACTTCTGGCGGGACAGCGATGTTGGGTCTGGGAATAGTCAGCTGCGCTTCCACAAAGACTTCGGCGTCCAGGAAAAAGGCAGCAGGGAAAGTGGCATTGCTGTCGGTGGCAAAGGCAGCCTCGCCGCCACCGATGCCAGGACTCGCGCTGAAAGAGCGCATCGGTCCATGCCCCCCTTCAGACCGTCGACCTTCGAGGCGGGCTTCCAAGTCGGCTATCTTCTGTCGCATTGCGGCGAAGTCTTCAGAGGTAGGGATGGGGGCGGTCTCCGAGTAATCACAAGGGCGGGACATGCGGATGCACAACGAGCAGCTCGGGAGCAATTTGTCGCATTTTCTCTTTTGTTTTCGACAGGATACGCAGGCTTGAGGGGCTTTATCAGGTTGATCTGCTGCTTCGGCCTCCATAGCGGCGCCGGGCTCTTGCAAGAATCCAGCACAATGAAAAGAAAGCTGGATGTTGAGATCGTTGGCGGTCATGCGGCCGAATGCAAAGCCGTCATCCTGGACGTCGTTTATGGATTGCTTGAGCAGGCCGCAATACCCTCTGTGGCGTATAGTTCGATGTCACCGGGAATATTACTCGCAATACTCGTACATCAGGACGGACGAGATGCGCTCTTTATGTAAGAGCCAAGACGGTCAAATTAGGAAGGAATTCCCAAAATGCCATTGACTATTTTCCGTGCCAGGGAGTTACCTCCGTCAAGCAGCATCTAGATCAGTCGCCAGACTCAAGATCGACCTGACAATCTTCGGTAGTGGCGACAGCGCCTAAAGTACAGCTTTGATAGTCCCCGATATATACACGAAGGTGAAAAATCCCCGCTATGATGTGTACTTCTTTTGCAGGGCCTTGGCTATCGTGGTGAGCTGGATGTTGCTCGTGCCCTCGTAGATGGCCCCAATCTTGCTATCCCTGAACATCTTCTCAGCGATGCCCTCGCGCACGAAACCCATGCCGCCCATCCATTCAACTGCCAATCCGCTGACTCTCCCTGCGACCTGGCTGGCATACAGCTTCGCCATAGCGGCATCGGTAACGAAATCCTCGCCCGCCTCCTTCTTCCGGGCTGCGTTGTAGACCAGGGCGCGGGCCGCACAGATCTCCGTGTAGGCTTGGGCAAGTTGATGTTGCATGCCCTGGAACTCACCGACTAGCTTTCCGAACTGCTTCCGATCGTTCCAAACGTATTTGGCGGCATTTTCCCACGCCCCAAGAGCCAATCCCGTCATCTGAGCGCCGATGCCTATCCGTCCTTCGTTCAGCAGACCGATTGCATACTTGTAGCCCTGACCTTCTTGGCCGAGGAGATTCTCTTTGGGGATTTCGACATCGTCAAAGTTGATGACGCAGGTGCTTGAAGCCCGGATGCCGAGCTTCTTTTCCTTCTTGGCTATGCTAAAGCCTTTCATGTCCTTGGTGACGACGAATGCCGAAATGCCCTTATAACCCGCTTCGGGATTAAGATTGGCGAAAACAAGGAAGAAGTCGGCTTCCATTGAGTTCGTGATCCACATCTTGGAGCCATTGATCTAGTCCTTGTGAGCGAACCCGCGGATGGAAACATCACCACGACCGTCGGTACGGATGGGTGCACATACCTTGTAGCCGCTTGATGTCTTCTCTGCCTTGGTCTTTAATGCAAAGGCGTCGGAGCCTGATGCAGGTTCAGACAAGCAGAATGAGCCGACAGTGTTGGTGGCCAGCTTCGGAAGCCACTCCTTCTTGAATGCTTCGCTACCGTACTTGAGGATGGCGGTCACCACCAATGTATTGTGCACATCGCACAAGACTGAGACGGAAGGGTCTACCCTGGCGATCTCCTCAATCCCCACGATTGCAGACGTGAAATTCATCCCAGCCCCCCCATACTCTTCGGGGATCTCGAAGGCCATGAGGCCTTGCTCGAACATCTGTTCGACGACGGCTGGGTCCATCGCTTCTTTCTCGTCCATATCTCGCACCTTAGGTGCGACCTCTTCACTGGCCCATCTGGAGACAGACTCTGCAAGCATTCTCTCGGTCTCCGAGAAGTGAGTGATGGGTGTCGGAGCTAGGGAACTGGTGTCGACGTCATCGTCTGCATAGCGCCGTCTCGAGGTAGTAGCGAAGGTTCGCTTGCTAATGTCAATTTAGCAGGAGGCCGGTCAAATAGAGAGGAAGGGGCATACGGTAGGAATTTCCGTCGAGGAAGCGACCTCGACGCCGCAGTAAGAGGAGCTATGTATGAGGTGGCTTTGGCGAGGGGTCGTAGCGTTCTCGGTAGGGTCGCCATGTTGTCTGCTGGGAGAAGGTGAGAATGAGCTAGAAAGTCAGGCTCAGGACCGGGACTGATATGTATGTCCAAGTAGAGCTCTCGAGGACTCCAAAGGGAAAGTCTCGGTCAACAAAAATGCAAAACAATGCGTTGCTGTCCTGCGCAGTTGGGTTTTGAAGCGATTCCTCGGTGCTCGGCTCACCATCAGTTCGCCGGACAGGCCGGGCCAGAGGCGGATATCAAAGGATCGGCGACTTCTCGGATCCTATTTACTGACCCCCAGTGCCATTTAATACGCGAATGCTCTTCTGGAGGTCCCCGCTATTTGTGCTGATTTTGCTGTTTATAGGTGGTTCAAGAAAAGCATGTGCGAGCTCTGCGGTGCCCAAAGATCTGGTACATTACGAGTACGGAGTAGCATGTTCTGACCTCGACTCAGCCCAACTGGTCTCACTAGTTATGATCTGCATCCCCCTCAGCCTCCTCGCAGCAAATAGTCGACAAAAGTCGAGAACGTCCAGCTACTCGAGGCGTCTGTGGCTGATGCACTCTGTGGCTTGAGGACTGCCGTGGCGCAGCAGACTCTGACGTTGCTCGCTGCAGGATTCACTCAACCAGCTGCAAGTTGCGACCCTTTGCCGCCCACTTTTGACGCTGTCATCCATTCAACTGGCGACAAACCATGATGCCCAGCATTCAAGTCCAAGTCATGGATATATTAAGAATCTGCGATAGCCGCCCAAGATTGCGACCCTAAGGTTTGTTTCTTTATTTCATCTTCCAGCGTTCCCTCTCTGTGTGGAAAAAAACAAACAAACAATTGTTACCCCTCCCTATTCTCTAACCCTCCAGCACTATCGGAACTTACTTTGCATTGGTCATCATGTCTGCTGGTCACTCTGAGCCGCAGGTGCTCTATAGTGTCAACAACATCTCTGCATTTGCCGTCCAGAATGGAGAGGAACATCTGATCACAACATCAGGCCCTCAGACTTTGTCACTATTGATGGTGCCCACTGCATCTCCATTCGCCGACTTGTCAACCACAGAACCGACCAGCGCGGTGCCTGAAGAAGACTTCTACCTCCACCTCCACCTACCTCCAGAGCTAGATCTGCCTCTGCCTGCGACCACTCAGATCTATCACAAACCTCCCAGCAGTTACCTGATTCCGCGCTGGGACCTGGGACCCGATGCCGGCGCATTCATCCGGCTCCAATTCCCTTCTATAGGCAGCGGGCCGGGAAAGGTGACCCAAGACGAGATAGATACGTTTGAGACCATTCTCGCTCAGTGTACAGCGTTCCTCGAGCGAGTGAAAAGCACACCTCCGGGCTTTGAGCGTTACGACCCTAGCAATTATCGACCTGGAGAGGGCTACATCGGAACGCCGAAGCCTGAAAAAGATCACTCTCAACAACATGGCCAAATTGTGCTTGTCGACGAAGAGAATGGAAGCGTAATTGGCGAGCTGCAAGACAATTACACTGTGGTGGAGGAAGCATCAGTGCGGCCTGGATCGAAGAGTACGTTCTGGGCCTCCTTCTCTCGCTTTCAGCCGATACTGACAAGTTCACTCCAGCCCCTGTCCAGATACAGCTACCTGTCGAAGGGCAGGGTAACCAGATCCGAGTCGATAACGTTTCTGAAGATTATCTTGCCATATCGAAACATCCTGCCTATGCGAAATCAAGAGTGGTGCAGACCTCTGCAACAGCCTCGAGGCTCATTGTGACGAGTTCTACGTACTTGGCCAATAGGCTGTCATCGGGGGCAGATTCATTCCAGAAGAACACCCAGCCTAATCCCAAGCCTATGACATTCTCTCCCGCCACTCACGCGCGCATTCGACAGATCCACACCTTCACGCAGGGCGCTGTCGGTCTCAGTGCGAAGACGGTGGGTCAGTTGGGCAGATATGCGCAGAATTTTGGCGCATCGCTCACGCGAAAGGGGGAGAAGAGCAAAAAAGAAATGGGGAAGGACTACAAACCTGGCATTCTCAACAAATCCATGATTGCTTTCTCTACCATCGCTGATGGCATCGATCAGGCAGGTCGCAACCTATTAGCTTCCAGCTCCGCGGCCGCGACCAATGTCGTGAGCCACAAGTACGGCAAGGAGGCCGGCCTGGTCGCGCAAGGCCTGGCGGGTGGTGTCAAGAATGTGGGCCTTGTTTATATCGACGCGATGGGAGTGTCCCGTCGAGCAGTCATCAAGTCGGTGGCGAAGGGCATGGTGGTCGGTCGGATGCCAAATGGGCAGCAACTCGTGGTTGGCTCAGGTGATGGCGGTGTTGTGCCCGCCGAAGCATATATGCCCGACGAAAAGCAGAACGGTCATTATTCCTCCCCCTATTCGGGCGCGGGCCAGGGAGGTTATGGGGTGGGAAGTTACGGCAATGCGGCCAATGCGCCGCCATCATATCCTTCGGGAGTCGGTGAACCGTTAGGGTCAACGCTGCAGGGACAGAACGTGCGAGAGAAGAGATGAAAGCTGGGGCGATACTTGTATTCAATGTTTCATGAGAAGATTGATGGCAAATGGGCTGGGGCAATTCTTGACGTTCTCGAACACCACTCCGAGGGTGTTTCAAGCTGGATGAAACAGGCCCATGCTCAACTTACAGGCAAATGAGATCATGGCAAGTATGTGCGCGGTCGCGTTCTGCAACCTAACGTTGGTTTTTCTAATTCTTTCGGGGCTGGATTGAACATGGATGGTAGATTGCATGCACGACATCTGCCGGACGCAAGTGGCTGAAACGGAGACAACGGCGTCCTTTGACTCGACTCGACTCGGCTTCGGTTTTGAGTTGACCGCCATTTCGTCACTTTGGGTTGACGCTGGTGCCGCTAAAGTTCACCCAGGCCTTGAGCATTGACATGGAGTGGAAGACAGTCGTCGACGCTGGCTGGCCGGCGTTGATCCTTTAAAGTCGCCCTCTCACCCACGTCGGAATTATCTTTGCTGCACGAGCTAGACTTGCATTACATATGCAAAGTAGCAAAGGCACTACAGGATGCAAATGTTCACATGCGTCGATCTCGAGGCTCATGGCTAGTAATCAGGAGGGGCATCCAAGGGGAACCCGTCCGGGAAACTACCTACTTGTAAGTATGGGGGGGGGGCAACTGGGGGGTTGTAGGTGTGGCGCAACTGCATTGGCCCAAAAATGCGGCCCCAGAAGGGAGTTGTTCTGGCCGCTGTCACCAAAACCCACTAAAGGTCCCCAGTCACCAACGCGTGGTTGGCTGAGCCACTCAGAGTGGCGCGGTGCCTCCCCAGGCAAATCACGAGTCCCGCTGGTGGGCACATGGTCACTGCATTGTGCCTGTCCGTTGCGGCTGCGCGTCAAGAGGGACTCGCGTCTGCAGGTGCACGCGCTGATGGGCTTGAATTTCGCTAGGGGAAATCAAGGTGCTCCTTTCCCAACACCATCATCTCACCCATATCTGCAATAATATGGTGCCTGAATATCCATCCCCTTCTAGCCTTCTAGGCCAAATATTCATCATCTCACAAGTCATAAATAAAGCGGGCGTCGTCAAGTCCTGATGCCGTTCAGCGTTGATGCGATCGTGAGTCGCGTTCGCATTGACCTGAGATTGAGTGGATCTGGCTTGCGGCACCACCCCTATTCTCGGCGTCAATGTCAAGTCAATTGACACAGAAAGGCTTCCCGTATCAAATTCTTTGCCCGAGTTGCCTGAGTTTAATTGCAAGGGAGCACGGCCAGAGTCACATTCACGAGCAGGCGAGCAGGCGCAGGTACAGGCACTGGCACTGAGATGCATGAGATTCTCGACGAGGTACTGGGTATGGCTTCACCGACATGAGCTTGGTCCAAGTGGTTCATGCTTCATGTGGGTGGATTCTCGGAGGGCATAAGTCATCACCACTATAACTGCACTCCGCTCTCCGTATAGGATCTAAAATTACCTCGATATACGAGGGTGCATGAACGGGTCGGCAGAAGAGGAGCATCTTAGTAGATACCACCATAGAGTACGGGGTTTTCGGTGCAAGTAAACAGGCCTAGCAGCCAGGTTGTGCTGTGATTTCACAAGAAATCGCTTGCTGGCTAGCGTTGCCAATTTTCCGGCCACCCTTTTGGGGATTTGCTGGACAAGCGAGGTGTGCCGCTGGCACTCGATTGCTGCGTTGTTCGCCTTCTCACCGGTCAAACCACAACAACTCACAATCTGCTCTGCCGCACCGCAGTCCTCCTACCTAACAACACCACCGTGCTTTTGATTCGGTCCCTAGAAGAAACAAAACAAAAAAAAACACACCTACGACTCTCTCCTTGTCTGCCTCACCGCCAAATCTCATATCTGCTGGCCAGTCACCACAACCCTTCTCGAGCGCCTAACTTGAATTCGCCTTCACCTCACCTCACCTCACTCCCCCCGATTCCGACGGAGTATCTTGCCTGCGATAATGACTGCGGTCCTTCTTGTCCCGTGCCTCACTTCGTTCCGTGTCTGTTGACGCTCGTTCGACAGGCCTTCGTTCATCTTGTTGCTGCAGACGTCGCAGGCTCGGCGTCCGTCCTCGACCCTTCGCCCCCGAGTTTGTTGTCCCTTGGAAACACTCGACGCTAGCTCCCTACTTCACTGGTGCCAACAGTGAATCGCTCATCACAGAAACAATTCGTTCCCTCGACGCTCTTCAAATCGCGCTGTCTTGTTAATATCTCCACATCCGCGCCTCTGAATGAGTTGGAACGGTGTTTCGGTGAGCAAGGCAGTATCTTCAGCTCAGTGAACCGCACTAACCTCCGCGTTCAATTTAGTGTACGACCCTCCGCTTCAGCACGTTCCTGCGTCCCTCAGACAACAGTCCATCAAACTTGACCTTTGACGTGTCCTGATTGTGGTTTTTCAGGGTGTGAGTCCGTGGTTGAGGCCACAACTCTGGGTGGTTGAAGGATGTCGATGGACATGGCTACAGGACAATACCGGCAACACATGTCAGGCACTGCCGCATACTCGCAGCCTGAGAGTCTTCACTACGAACATCAACATGGCGCAGACCCAGAGGGTTATTATATGAATCAGCCTGTAAGTCCACTGCGCCCCTAATTCATTCTTGACGGTCGTCCTCGGGGGTTCATGCTAAATGTCACACTCACCAGTATTATCCCTCACAAGAAGACGACGGTCTGAACTACACCTCTCATGAAGATCACACTCCTGTTACCGCTACCTCGTATGACAACCCCACCACATCGTTACCTTATCATATTCGCAATCAATCTGCGGCCCATGACCAATATGACGGCGCGCCGATCCCTCCTCCGAGGACTTCTTCTCAGCAGCAGGGCTCCCCGCACGCCCCTGTAGCTCCCTCAACCGCCCCGTTGGAAGCAAGAGTGGCTGCAACACGACAGGCGAGACAAAATGCGCCGGATTCGCAGACTGGTCGGATTCAAAATCGTGTCGGAGATTACAATGAAGAAAAACGAGACAGGTCGCGGGATGATACATCAACAGCCGCTGCGTCTGCTGCACGTAGCCGAAGAAAAGGCCCTGCCAGCCCCGACGGTCCACACCGTGCCGCGAGTACACGAGAACGAGGTGCACACACCGTGCCCAGCCAGAGCCGGTCTGAAGCCGCCATGCACTCATCTAACAATGCCGCGACGCTCGCGCGCGAGTACAGCGATGTCATCAACAGAGTGGTCGTGTCTGATCCCCAGGAAGATATCGAAAGAGCGCAAGAAAGAATGGCGGAAGCTCAACCAATGAGCCCAGATGCGCGAAATGTCCCCGAAGTTGACGATGATCTTCTTCCCCCTCCGGGACCGGCTCGTCGCCAAGATTACTCCAAGTCATCTCGTCGAAAGGACGTCCAGTTCGGGGACTACGTGCTTGGACAGACGCTTGGTGAAGGCGAATTTGGCAAGGTGAAACTGGGCTGGAAAAAAGATGGTAGCACTCAAGTGGCCATCAAGCTCATTAGAAGAGAGACGGTGGCCTCTAACCCGACACGCCTGCCCAAAATCTATCGCGAGATTTCCATCTTGCGGGATCTGGCGCATCCCAACATTGTCCGACTCCACGAAATGGTCGAGACAGATCGACATATTGGTATCATTTTGGAATATGCCTCCGGCGGCGAGCTTTTCGACTACATCTTGAATCACCGATATCTCAAAGACCCGGCAGCCAGGAGACTGTTCGCTCAGCTTGTTTCTGGAGTTGGCTACCTTCACAAGAAAGGCATCGTCCACCGCGACCTCAAGTTGGAAAACCTCCTTCTCGACCAGAATCGCAACATTATCATCACAGATTTTGGATTCGCCAACACATTCGATCCAAAAGACGAGCTGTCCGATGAGATTGTGTACAACCTCGGCAACAAAGAGTTTATCAGGAAGTTCAAACTCGATCGACTTGATGCACGCGGGATGAGAAGAGGCGACTTGATGCAGACCAGCTGTGGTAGTCCTTGCTACGCAGCCCCTGAATTAGTAGTTAGTGACTCCCTCTACACGGGCAGGAAGGTTGATGTCTGGAGTTGCGGGGTTATCCTGGTGAGTGTTTGTGCTGTGAGATCCCTCTTTCTGTGATGCTAACGGCCGAGAAGTACGCCATGCTGGCCGGATATCTGCCATTCGATGACGACCCTGCAAATCCTGAAGGCGACAATATCAATCTCCTCTACAAGTACATCACTACCACGCCATTGACGTTCCCGGAATATGTCACCCCGCATGCGCGAGATCTTCTTCGCCGGATTCTAGTTCCAGATCCTCGAAAGCGGGCCGATTTGTTTGAGGTCGCTCGACACAGCTGGCTCAGTGATTATCAGCATGTCGTGTCCGATATGACCAGCAGTACCACTAATGTCAGCGATATTCCGCATGGTACCGTCCGAGCTGGTAGGTTATCCGCTGCAAAAGACAACAGGACATTACTGACACGTGATAGAAGACGAGGAACGACCCGCTGTTAATAGAAGCGCATCCGTACGCGAAGTACCTGTGAAACCTAGTCGTGCTTCTCCTGGCGCTCTTGCACGCTCCCCAGAAGGGCAGTTGCACGAAGGCGATGAAGATTCGACCGGTTCACGGCGAACCCGACATACACTTCAACCGGAATATGTCGCTCCCCAGACTCATACGGTTCGTGGGCAAGGTCCGGCTACAACAGAGCCAGCGGTCAGTCGCACTTTCGAAACAAGTCAAGCTGTTGCTCCCACGCAGTTAATTTCGTTGTCGAAACCGCTACCTCAAGATCCGCCCGTCGGCACTGCGCGAGAACGAGTGCCGACCGCTTCGCAGCGGAAGATGCCACCTGTGCGTCCGGTTCGGGAAATTCCAAGATCAGTATCGGACTCAACCAGCGCTTTTGGCACAGCTCCGGCACCGACAAGCCAATATGTGACTAGACCCAGCACTCAAGGATCAATGGCCTCTGCGAACGGCCCAGTTAACACCAGATCCGACCTCCGTCTTCCCTCGCGCGGATCGTATGGTCAGCCGGTGGCTCCGACGGTCGCGACAACAAACGTCCAGGGTCGGGTTACGCAACCAACCAAGAGCAGTCGAGGTTACAACATTTCTGGTCCTCTGCCACAGTCTGGTGCCCAAAACTCTATTGGACAACCGATGACGACGCCAATGCCACCGCCTAGTTCGCATCAACCACAGAAGACCACTCATCACCGACGATCGAGCACACTGAGTGGGCTCGGAGAGCGACTCTTTGGCAGATCCAATTCGGTGGTGAAGAAAGATGTGGAGCGGCAAAAGAACGGACGGAAGTACCCGCCCACGAGCATGAAAGAGATTCCCTCTGATGCGCAACCTCGTATGTCGACAGATTCGAAGCGATCTTTTTCTTTTGGATTGGGCAAGAAGAGGAGCACGGACATGGAGAACCAGGCAATAGAGAAGCCGGTACGACGATTTTCACTTATTCCTAATTCGATGTCGTTCAAAGGTCTGATGGGGGCCGCAAAGGACGAATATCCATCCAAACCGGGCACCCCGCAAGCTGAGCGTTTTGTTCCACCAGCTTCGAGCCGACCAGCAACCAGCCAGGAACAAATCAACCAACACATTCCCAGCACAGATGGACAGTATGAAGGGTCGAGGGCGGCGAAGTACAACAACTTCTCCCGGCCACCCCAGTCCCAATATCAGGCACCACGAGCCGCCACAACACATGCCACGAATGATGTGTATGGTGGGACTGCTGTTTACGCTCCGCAGGAACAGAGCACGCACCAACGTCAACAGAGTGAGGCAATGGGACAAATGATGACATATACCGAAGGTACGCAACCGGGTGGTCGACCATCAATGCAACAAGGGCGCCAAGGTCGGGGAGTGCTGGTCAAGAACAACCGCAAGTTTACTGAAGCGTACGACCAAGAGCTAGGGCCGACCCATCACAGCGGAAGGTCCGGGGCCGTCAAAAAGGTCCAAGATTTCTTCCGTCGACGTCGAGCTCCGACGGACGGCGGCGATTATCGATGAATGAACCAGCTGCGCCTAGACATGTCGTTTTACCTTTCTACAGAAGAGGGTAAGAAGATTTGGCCGAGAACTTGGTGGATTGGGTCAAAGGGTGGATATCGACTTTTCTTGTAATCAATTAATCATTGGCGGACAACTTTGTCCCCGCCCCCCTGGCCCAAGCTGGGAGCGCATTTGGCGGAGACCTTTGCATTCAACAACCACCATTTTGTCTTCCCTTCCACCCACCAGGGCGAGGGTGGCGGTTGAAGATCGGGGCGAGAGCACGAATGGCATTGGAATTGGAAGGTCATTCTATGTGTCAGTACAAAGAAGTCAGATTCATGTCGTTAGCTGGCGGCGTTCGTTTTTCGCTGGGGAAGAGACGGGGATTCAAGAGGGTCTGACTGTTGAGACCTGCACTGGAGCTCTCAAGGGCCCGCTTGGTCTTGACATTTGGCGGCTTTTGCTTCTTTGCTGGCATGGATTGTTGAAGAAACTCGTGGGATCGGAAAGATGGATACCCCCCTACGTAGCATTGTATGAATGTGTTTTTTAGAAGGAAGGATGCACAAGCCAAACAAGCCCAAGCACAGATCGCAAATCACAAATGCAGAACCTAAGAAAGAGGTTGCTTCGGCATATTGCTCGGTGTATTTGGGCCGGACTGTATCCTCTTTTGCCATATCACCGTCTTCTGCGCCCATGGAATCTCGTCATCTCACATCCGCAAGTCCAAGCTTGTTCAAGTTGGGCCAAGCTTTGTGGGGTTCGTGATGGAGGAGCCACAAGAGCCACCAGAGCTTGTTCCTGGCGAGCTCCATCTTCTTGGCAGCCACCTACTGTGACCTTGTTGCTGTTGTGTGCTTCACCCTTGCCCTTTTCCTCACTAGACGCTCACTTCCTCCCCGCAATATGCAAGTCCACAGTCGACCTTCAACGTCACCCTGCCACCTGCCCGCCTGGAGCCCTGGAAACGGTACCCGCCTGAGAAGAGATGGTTTGTCTACACACATGCAACTGGCATAGAGCTTCCAGAAACAGGGCCTGATTGTCCCCGCGGGGAAATTTCCAACTGGTTGCTCGCCTCTACAGAGGCAAGAGGTTACATGGCGAAAATACAAGGCTCCTGGCCCGTGACGAGGGCGCCGATGATGAGTGCGCCACTGACGAGCGTTCTCAAATGCATCATCTCTCTGGTCATCGTCCTATGCGCAGTCACCGCAGTCCATCTGCTGGTTCCCTCTCAGTGAGTTCCCACCGACCCCAACGCAGTCAACCTTGCTTCGCTTGATAAGACCCTCTGCTCCTCCCCATCCTTTGGACATGCTCGAGGCCACCCTCACTTTTGTCTTCACAGTGTCGGGTCGTTTCTTCAGCACTCGCTGCTTGTCGAGGGAGACTGCAAGATGAGGTCTCCATCTGTGTTTTCTCTCCTCCTTCTTGCTCCTTGCCTTGCGATAGCCCAGTCGTCCACCGCGAGCAGCGTTGCCGCGCAGTTCACTGTCCCAGCAAGTGCTGACGACGGCGTCACCCTTCTCCCCAACGTCGCTGACCCTACTGCGCCCAATGCCCAAGTGAAATGTCCGGGCTATACCGCCTCAAAAGTGAGCACGTCTTCAATTGGACTGGCCGCTCATTTAACCCTGGCCGGAGCTGCCTGCAATGTCTATGGGACCGACGTCCATGATTTGGACCTGAAGGTCGAGTATCAGACTTCGTCCCGGCTCCACGTCAACATTCGGCCCTCCCACATTACTTCACAGAACCAGAGCTGGTATCTTCTGTCGACCGATTATGTCCCTGCTGGCAGCCAGGGTACTGGCTCAATGACCACAAGCGATTTGACATTTTCCTGGGCCAACACTCCCGACACGGGATTTGGATTTAACGTAACTCGCAATAGTACTGGAGATGTCTTGTTTTCGACGACAGGGACAAAACTAGTCTTCGAGAACCAATTCATCGAGCTTGTCACACACCAGCAAGAGAACTATAATCTTTACGGTTTGGGGGAGGTTATTCATGGTTTGAGGCTGGGAAATAACCTCACTCGAACAATTTACGCTGCCGACGTTGGTGACCCAATCGACTCAAACTTATACGGGAGCCATCCGTTCTACCTCCAAACCAAGTACTTCGAGGTCGGCAGCGACAACAGTACAACTCTAGTAATGGAACAGCTCGACACGACTGAAGCTACGAGCAATTACACCTCCTCCACCCATGGTGTGTACTTCCGCAATGCCCACGGAATGGAAGTCCTCCTGGGAGCCAACAATGTGACCTGGAGAACTTTGGGCGGCAGCATCGACTTGTACTTCTTCTCGGGACCGACACAACGGGACGTGACACATCAATATCTGAACGTCATAGGCATGCCGATGCTGCAAAACTATTGGGGGTTTGGCTTCCACCAGTGCAGATGGGGTTATCAAAATTGGTCTGTCACAGAAGACGTCGTCGACAACTATGCACGCTTTGGTATTCCGCTTGAAACAATCTGGAACGATATCGACTACATGTTTCAATACAGAGATTTCGATAACGACCCAGTCCGCTTCAACTACTCTGACGGAAAAGCCTTCCTCCAACGTCTTCACAGCAGAGGCCAGCATTATGTCCCCATCATTGACTCTGCCATCTATGTTCCCGATCCAACAAATGCAAGTGACGCATACCAGCCGTTCAACGACGGCAATGCCACTAATTCATTCCTCCTCAACCCAGATGGATCCCTGTATATTGGCGAGGTCTGGCCTGGTTATACCGTCTTTCCGGACTGGTTCCAAGCATCCGCGAAAGCATGGTGGAAGAATCAGATGGTCACTTGGCACCAAAAACTTCCCGTCGACGGCGCTTGGATTGACATGAGCGAAGTGTCATCGTTTTGTGTGGGAAGCTGTGGCACTGGCAATCTTACTCTAAACCCAGTACACCCACCGTTCAAACTCCCCGGCGAGCCCGGCAATGTTATCTATGATTACCCAGAAGGCTTCAATTTGATCAATGCCACCGAAGCCGCCTCAGCTTCTTCGGCGTCTCAGGCTCAAGCTACTCCAACAACGACAGCCACAGCGACAAGCTCAGCAACATCATCTTCATCGACGACAAGCTACCTGCGCTCGACTCCAACGGCAGGGCAACGCAATATCAACTACCCACCGTACGTGATCAACCACGTCCAAGGAAACCATGATCTGGCGGTGCATGCCGTCTCTCCAAACGCCACGCACCACAACGGCATCCAAGAATATGACGTCCACAATCTTTTTGGCCACCAAATCCTCCAAGCAACCTACGCCGCCCTCCTGGCCGCGATCCCCAACAAGCGACCCTTTGTAATCGGCCGGTCCACATTTCCGGGCTCTGGCACCGTGGCGGGCCATTGGGGCGGTGATAATGCTTCGAAATTTTACTACATGTACTTTTCGATCCCCCAAGCTCTCTCGTTCAGCCTGTTTGGCATCCCGATGTTTGGTGTCGATACCTGCGGGTTTAACGGCAATTCGGATGAAGAACTCTGTAACCGCTGGATGCAACTTTCCGCCTTCTTCCCCTTCTATCGCAATCACAATGTCCTCTCTGCGAACTCCCAAGAGGCGTATGTTTGGGGCAGCGTCATCGACGCCACCAAGATTGCCATGGACGTGCGATTCCAATTATTGCCGTACTTGTACACGTTGTTTTACTATGCGCATACACAGGGAGATACAGTCATGCGTGCCCTTGCGTGGGAGTTCCCCAATGATCCCAGCCTCGCGAACGCAGATAGGCAGTTCTTCCTGGGCCCGTCTATCCTCGTCACCCCGGTCCTGACCCAAGGCGCGATTACCGTAGATGGCGTGTTCCCAGGCCTCGTCGAAGGCACCGACACCTACTACGACTGGTACAACAAGTCGCCCGTCGCGGTGCCCAGCAGAAAGAACACAACCATCGACGCACCCCTGGGTCACATCCCCGTGTTCATCCGAGGCAGCAGCATCCTGGCGACGCAGCAGATGGCCATGACGACGCGCGACGCCCGAAACACGTCCTGGAGCATCATCGTCGCCACGGGCGTGGACGGCACCGCAAGCGGATCTCTATACCTGGACGACGGCGAAAGCCTAGTCCCGAAGGCGACGAAGATGGTCAGCTTGTCGAGCTCGACGTCGCAAAACGGAACACTGAGCCTCAAAGTGAGTGTCTCGGGATCCTACACCAGCCTCGACCTCGCCTTGGCCAACGTCACCTTCTTGGGCGTGCAGAGCCCGCCTTCCTCGGGAGCCGCCGTCACCATCAACGGCCGCGCCGTCGCAAACGCGACGTACAATGCCGCCAGCAAGGTCTTAAGCGTCACTGGCCTGGACAATGCGCTGGGAGGAAAAGCCTGGGGTGGAAACTGGACGCTGACGGTGTGATTTGATTACCTACCTACTTGGCGAGCCATATAGTCACGGAGGAATGCATGAATGAATGAATGAATTGCTGGAGAAAACGGAACAGTGTCACAGTGTCAGTCAGACTGGGATTCAAAAGGTTCAAAAAGTTGAAAGATTCGGAGGCGAACCGAGGGAACCCCGGGGGGAGGGAAGGAAGGACAAGGCTGTGGTTACTAAACCTAAGAAAGATTGTAAAATGATGACCATACTCTACAAGTCAAGAAAATACATAATTATTTAAGAATACTCGTTAAAATAGTATATATCTGGGGTATGTTGTAATATATATACCTCGGTATCTAAGTTGTTCCACGTCCATCGCCCCTTCCTCCTCCTCCTCCTCCTCCTCCTCCTCCTCCTCCTGCTGCTGCCGCTGCTGCCGCTGCTGCCCCGTGCCCCTGCTCTGTTCGCGTTCCGTTGTGCATAGTTTGTCCTTGAAGCCCAAAATCTCGCACGCACCATAGTCTCGACTCTCTAATGTCCTCCTTCCAACCCTTCCCTAAATGCTAGGATAGGACATTCTCTGCCGTCCACGCCGGAACGCTGCTGGTCTCGACACGCACGGGGCTCCAGGGAAGCAAGACAGATGTCGAGATAGATCCCGTCGTTTCCAGAGCGGAGGAGACCCTTCGAACTTCGGATGATTTCTAAATGAGGTCTGACGGCGGTGAATTGAGCTCCAGCGTAGGGTCCTTTTGGTGGTGTATTTCGTCAAAAGGCGAGGCCTGACCTGTGTCGAATGAGGTCCGTATAGTCTCTAAACCACGCCCAGGGCAAACACCAATGATTTCGGATCCGTCTGGAATAACATGGACTGTCTTCAAGCTGCGTATTGGGCTTTGCTGGGCACTGGCTCCGAGGCGGATTCAGGTGTTGTATTTCAGGATAGCGCCTTTGGACAAGAGCCAAGTCGCAAGTGGAAAGGCGACTGCAGTCCGATGCTCCTTTTGCTCATCTGAGCCAGAACCATCACTTTTCTTCCGGCAGTACGAGGTGACCATGGTCCTAATCGTTAAGTTCCCCAGGACGTGTTTGGAATCAGATCCCTTCTAGTTGAAAGAGATGACTTCCAGGTCCAGTGATCCGCGGGATGATCTGGAAGCTGCTCAGTGAGGCCCGGTCGTGGCCGACCATAAGGAATCTCAACGTCCACCCCGTTTGAGGTCTGGCTGCGCCGTGGTCACCTGGGTGGATGCCACGGGTACTTTTGCTGAGCTGCTCCCGTTCTGGCTAACTTGAACTTTCAGCATCTTTTTGAGGCGCCGACAGATATTCTTTGATAGTATCCGCGGGACTTCCTTGGTAAAGGCTTATAGGAGTTCAGGTGGGATGCCCTGAGTCTTTGCAAGCAGGCCCCGTGAAGCTGCTGCGATCCTTTCGGTCACGTCTCGCACTTACAACATCTCGTCGGTCAACCTATTTACCAACGTGCGAGCTTCAGAGGTTACCTCGGTGATTTGGACATTTGATCTACGTAGATTTAACGCGCCGGCTCTGATGTCTCTCCCAAGTCTTCTACATGTCAAATATGATCCTCTCAGTTGCAATAAGAGAGTTTCGGGTCCGACAATAGCCCTGTGGCTGTCAATAACGGTGCCCATAGTGTCAATGGCCGTCTTCTGCGTGCCCAGAACGGCTTTCTGGGTGTCGTCCACGGTGTCTGTCTGCGCAGATTGGCATTTCGTAGCCTCACACATGATCGTGGGCGCCTGGGGTCGACCTTTCTGCGACCAGGAATCCAGCACAAGCCACTGAAACCGGGCGTCAAGGCCGACTGCCAGGCTAAGCGTTCAGTGGAGGGAGAGCCAATAGCTGTTTGCCGGCACCCAGCATCCCTCGGAAAAAAATGCCTTCTGTTGTCAGTCGATTGAGCCTAACGTTCGTCGTTCTCCATGGCAGAGATGCCAGTACAAGGTGGCGCTGTCCGCTAATGCTGATGAAACCAATGTGCATATTTGACGCATGTGCGACTGGACACGAGGCAACCATCTTGTCCTGACAACCGGGGTTTGAAGCCCCCCAGGCAGTCGTCTGCCGCTGTCAAAGCGTCTAGTCGACGAGGCGAGGGCAGTGGCAACGCCAGGGTGTAGGAGGGCATGACGAGATTGGACAGCAAATGTTTCATGTCGTGCGGCTGAGGATGGAAAGGCGAGAAGTTGAAGTTGGGGTTGAGCAGGTTAAGGCAAGGCAAGGTAAGGCAAGGCAAGGCAAGATCCATACCAAGAGCGACTCTCTTCCCTTCTTCCTCAACGGACCCCAGCAGCTCCCACATCTATTCTGACTTTTGCATCATGATATGAGACATTCCCAAAGGAAAGAATACGGGGAATCATGCTCCGACTATCCTAAAGTCTTTTCTCGCATTTCGTATTTGCATTGTGTGCGGCCTCGTATTCCGGTCTTCGACTCTCCAGGCGCTCTTCCCCCTGCGACCACGCTTCTCTTTGCGGCACATCTCTGATTGGTACATGGGCACGGTTGAGGAGTCAATGCCCGTTCCGAGCCCCGTTATGACGGGGCCAGTGGCAAGGTGAGGGACAGGACAGGCAGAGGTTCCAGAGAGGCGCCAACGAGGACGAAGCTCTGGTGGGAAAAGGGTAAGTGGATTAGCACTGGGTGCGGCTCAGGAATGAGAGCATATGGGCAAAGGAAGCCTATGAAGCGAAAGGATACCACAATACTTAGGGGCAAATTTTGACTCTAGAAAGTCCATTTTGGTTTCCGGCTCTGAGTATCCATTTGATCCGAGCTATAAGTAGGTCATTTTTGAGCCTGACTACCTCGTATGGGATCCTGAGCTCAGCTTGATAGCCTTTTGAGTACGCTCGAGTAACGATGCAGGAAGTGATTGCGCAGGGACCGCAACTTGTTCCCCTTTCGCGCAGGAAACATCCTAGTCTTCGGGCTCCATCGTGCTCGAAGCGTCCAGTGCTGCAACCCCTTTCTCGGTCATTGTTGCCAGGAGCGCCGTCGAGGATGCATTTCCGGTCAAACTGCTGCCCGGAAGGAGAGTAGCCTTTGATTCACCAGTGTTGGTATGTGCAGTATTTACAGTGTTTAAACATGCTCCGGCTACAAAAGGGCTCCCTTTGCCTGCCTAGGGTATTCCTCCTGATCAGGTCTCCTATCACCTTCGGATTCGAAGGGCGTTAAGATCGATACCCATCGCGACGTTCTTAAGGACTAATTCAGAGCCAATATTGAGAGACCCAACAGCGACCGTCTTCCAAGAGGATGGTTCATGAGATAACTTCCGTGTATTGGCTGTGCCGCTATTTGCAATATTCGCCACGTCGACAAGAAACCCTACAGAGGGTAGAGTAGCGGAGTAGACAGAGTCTGGGCTGGGTGAGGTTTGTTGGCAGCTCGGGGCCTATTAGGATAATCGAGTTGGTGCTAATGCGCGAATAATACTCGTCAAGGCTTTACGAGACAAGATATAGAGTATGTAAATTATCATCCACCAGGAGAAATACATAGTATCTCGGCCGCAGCGTACGCCCAAGATGAGATGGTCGCAAACACCAGACACAGACGGCATGAGGGATGTCATATCAATAATAGAACGACCGCCATCAACGAAATATGACCGGCTGGGGAATTCTACCGTTTCCTGGCAAGAAGGAGGCTAGAAGATTTGAAGACCCTACAAAAGTGCCTCATAAACAGGCGAAAGAGCCGACAATATGGTGTAGTGAGGTCTTGGTATACGCCGTGTTTTGGCCAACACTCCGAGGTGAATTGGCGACATCTTCGACCATTGGTTCTTGGCATCCAGGCTGCAGCGAGCCTGACTATCACCAACAGAAGACATGGGATCTTTGTAGGTTTCTCCATCCCATATCAGCTACCTTTCCTTCAACGAGCGTGCGAACCACCCACATCTTTGAGCTGCACAACTTAACCTCTGAGCGCGACAAATTCTTGAATCAAATCGGATGGATTTGGGAGCCCCCTCCCTCCGAGCAGACGGGGCCAGGGAGACTCCACTTCGGATTGCGTTCGACAGGTTCAACTACACTCTCAGTAGCAAAGAGAGGGCGCTATTCACGGCTGCGTCCCTAAGTGATGTCCTTGTTCAGGTCAGAGAGATTGACAATCGCCACGCCAAGTCAAGCAAGCTCCGCTTGATCAACCAAAGGCTTGAGCACTTCCTCAACTTCCTACAGCGGTACTCCAGAGCTGTCGACTGCTTGGTTCAGGCTCAGTCTAATCCGTCTGCTTTGATATGGGGGGCTTTGAGAATAGTCTTGGAGGTAAGGCACACCTTGCGTGGGAAAACGTCTGATTCACGATTCGATCCAAGGCGGCAGGATCCTTCTCGGAATACTTTAGAAAGCTCGTTTCCATGATTGAGCGACTTGGAGACTCGTTGTCCGTCTATCGCCAATACGAAGAGCTCTTCGGTGACAATGAGCGATTTAAGACTGCTTTGACCAACGTATACTATCATGTCTTGGTCTTTTTGAAGCAGGCCAAGGATGTCTTTACGTCAAAAGGTTGGACAAATGGCTACCAGCTCTACCAGGACGTTCTGTCACGCTAAACTAGCTATTAGGATTTCGATTATTTGGCAAGGTCTTCTGGCAGTCTTTTGAGAATGAGTTTCAGAGCACCCTAGAGTCTATCTCTCGACACACCAACCAGTTACAAGAAGAGATCTCGCTCGCCCACCGGAAAACAGTTCAAGCCACCTTGGCCAACCAAGTCCGATTGCAAGTGTCTACATGTGAGGCTCTCCGAAGAATCGAGGTAAGTCACGCGACACTAGTCTTGCCTTGAGTTGGAAAAAGAAAAAAAGAAAAAACACGGAAGCAACCTCTCATACATCAATCTCCCTTCCCTATGAGCAAGTCTCCTTCTGAACGTCTTCCCAGGCTCAGAGTTTTCCGAGACAAAGGTTGATGGAGTGGCTCTCTCCGGTTGACATGGAAGAAGTTTTCCTTCGGGAATCTCAACGCCGCTGCGAACCATGCGGTCAATGGCTGCTTGATCAACAACCATACCGTGACTGGTTGGAAACATCCGATCCAAGATTAGTTTGGATCGCAGGCCCTCCAGGTGCTGGAAAAACCGTTCTAAGTGCGTCGATCATTGAATCGGTCCGAAAGGCTATCCTGGCTGATCCTCAAAATATCTGCACCTTTTTCTACTGTGACAAGAAAAACGAAAATAACCAGTCAATTTGTACCGTGCTGGTAAATCTTCTGGCTCAAATTCTGGCTCACCTTGAGGACATACCCGCATTCATCACCGCTGTCCATGAGAATGCCATCCGTTTTGGGCGATTTAAGATGGCAGCTGCCGACATGCCTCTTGCGCTGTTGAAAAGGCTGATTAAGTCGATGAAAAAGGTCTACATTATTATCGATGGCGTGGACGAATTCAAGGACCCGGTCCAAGTCGTTGACACTGCGCAGGAGCTTATCGAATCTTTGCCAAATGTCCAGATCATCCTCCTCAGTCGAGACGACCCTAAGATCAAGACCAGGACGGAACAACATCTCAGGATTACTATGACTCCTGCTGAAACGAGCCATGACATGGCCGAGTTTATCTCCAAAGCAATTAGCCAACTTGAAATTCCCGAGGAAACCTGTCGTCAGGACATCGAGGACCAGATCTTGCGGCGCGCTGCCGGAATGTTTCTTTGGGCGCATCTTATGATCGAATCCCTGAAACTGGCAACCTCATCTCGAGAAATAGCGGATATTCTAAGCTACATGCCCACAGGTCTTGAAGTGATGTATGGTGCCATCCTCGAGAAGCTGGCACGAGGACCAGCCGGACGACAAGCCCTTGCAAAAAAGATCCTACTCTGGACTCGTCTGTCAGCTCGGGATCTGCATTGGAACGAACTCGAATCCGCTGCAGCAGTGGAGATGTAGCCAGCTGGAATGCTTGAGCTCAACCTACCCTTCAAATCGTCAGCTTTGGAACTTTGCAGTCCATTAGTGGAGTATCGTGCCGAGCAAGATATTTTTCGCTTGATACATGTTTCAGTTGGCGAATTTCTCAGTAGTTCTCACTTTCATGACCAGGTGGACGATGCAATCCTGCCATTTTTGATTTCTGAAGCAGATGGGCACCAAGAGCTGGCCAGGACTTGCCTGCGGTATCTCTCTCACGTTGCCTGTCAGGTTGTGATTGATCCTGCCAGGTTTCCGCTGTTGGATTACGCGGTTCTTTTCTGGTGCCATCACTATACCAAGTCGACTTTCGACCGTGGCCTTGAGCGCGAGGTGACCGACTTTCTGTCTTCGAAGCCGCGGCGGCAGTTTTGGATCTTGCAGCTACTTTTCCTCCAATCATCTATGTTTCCACTTCAGCGCCTGATGAAGATGCAGAGGTCCCTGGCAGAATGGATTGCTCGAAACACAGAGAACGGATTTGACATGAGCCTGATTGATTGGATGCAAGACGTCCCAGAGATCTTGATCCGAGGTCAAGTGCCGTTAGCATCGTCAAATTTCGACTGTACATCTCAAAACTACAAGATTCCGCCAATAAGTTACTTTGACAAGATGATGGTCATCCGCGACCTTGTTCGAGAATTTACAATGAGTGGGAGACTGACAGATGGGGAACAATGGCTCGCTGAAGGTCTTGAGAATCAAAGAAATATCCTGGGACAAGAGCACCTCTCGACGGCATGGTTTATGAACAGTCTGGGCTTACTGTATGACCAACAGCAACGAGTGGAACTCTCAGCACGCACTCAAGAGCAAGCGCTCGCAATTCAATCGTTACGTCTTGGACCTGATCACGAGGAGACAAGATGGACTGTCAATGAACTCGGCCGAATCTACCGTCACCTTCACCAATATGGCCTGGCCGAGGACATGCATTTATGTTCACTCCAGGTCCTCCAAAACCAGTACGCGTCGGACAATCTCGAAACTGCCTGGACTTTGAATACCTTGGCGCGGACATATCGCAAGCAAGGACGATACAATGAAGCTCTAGGGCTCCATGAAGAAGCCATCAAAATCCAGACGGCAAAGCTCGGTAGGGACCATCCACATACGCTTTGGGCGATCACAGACGTGGCGCGTTGCTATCATGACCAAGGTCTGCTGCAGAAATCTGCAGATACGCACCAAGACGCGCTTTCTCGACGAGAACGCGTCCTTGGGTCGAACCATCCAGACACCCTCTGGACTATGAATGATTTGGCCATTGTCCTGGGAGAAATAGGAGACACCGATGCAGCGCGTCGTCTGCATCAAAGAGCCTGGACTGGTCAAAAAGCCCTGCTGGGTGAAAACCATCCCCACTCTCTGTGGACCAGCGGGGCGCTCAGGAAGCTGAGTTACTGAATTACGGACAGGCAATGGTTTAAGTGGAGCAGAATGACCTATATCCGCAAGATGTTATCGATTTCAACGACGGTATGTTCGTGCACAAATTTCTCTTTGTATCCGCCACCTTATCTCCGGTCGCTTTGCTCAAGCACTCAGGACTGCGCCGTCCCATTGCTATCCTTTCTGGTGCTCATGGAAGCCTATCCTATCCGAATTGCTGACAATGCACTGTTTCGCCCACGTCATACTGGGTACTATGAGGGTGGTCGTCCCACTTCTAGCCTTGAAGGAGGGACTCGGATTTTGTTCCTTCGATTCAGTCTCCACGGCCGAACCTGGATAAACGGTTGCCGATTAGGACCAGGTGTCAAGACCCGGGATTAGTCAAGGTTGAATTGTCGAGAGGCCCTGTCCTTCTTGACGTTGTCATTGACTTTCCCGGGGCGCCGGGCCGCCCTGTGGGGAGGGGGGATTTAAAAGAGGGGGAAAAAAAGTTAAATTGAATGAGTTGAGATGGTCCTGGTTCGAGAGATTAGTTGGGACAGGCGGAGTTTCACGTACGATCCTGAGAGAGGTACTCTGTAGATCGCCATCGAGATGCTGAAATTGGGTTGTGAAGCCCCAACGCACGTGATCGCGAGGCTGTGATTGATGATACAACCGCAGGAGAGGTGAATGGATGCCTGTCGCAGCCTGATTGCGGCAGAATTGTTCCTGTGCTGTCCCTGTCTCGCCCTTTGAAACAGTGGTTCCTAGTTCTCTTCGTCTGTACTCTTGCACTCGGAACTATGTCTTTCACGGCCCTTGTTCAAAAACGGCTTCTACTTTCAGATGAAGCCTCCACTTCCACCCCAGACCAAGTAGACGCAAGCCTCTCTGTCGACAGCCAGGCCTCGCTAGTGGCACTGGCTACGCAACACGATCTCTGGCTCTTCAGTGGCGGCGTGGCTAGAAATCCGTCAGGCTTAGTGGTCAGGGTTGCGCGGGGAGCCACGAATACGGTAAACGTTTCTCGGCTGGCTGTGCCGCTCGGAAAGGGTCCTGCTCAGGATCCGGACGATGCTTCGACTGCCGCAGGCTGGCTCCCTGGGCAAAAGGTTGCTGCAAAACATTTGTTGCGGGGCAATGGCGTGGAATTTTCCAAGAAGTTGGGCTCAATGGCAAAAGAGATACGCATCCTTGGACAACAGAAGCTCCGTCGTCACGACAACCTTGTCAACTTGATTGGCATTGATTGGGAAGGGACACACACGGATGATCCGGAAAGCAAGACTCGATGGCCTCTCCTATTGATGGAGTATGCTGACTGTGGTTCGCTTACCGATTTCTTTACCCTCGATATCGATCTCAACTGGAACATCATGCGTGATATCGCATATGATGTCGCATCAGGTCTAGAGGCCTTGGATGACGCTGGTGTGACACATGGGGACCTTACCTTCTCCAATGTCTTGATATTTCGAATGGGAGAAAACACCTTTCAAGCGAAATTGTGCGATTTCGGCTTCGCAATGATTAACACGGACTATGATGATTACGCCGTCCGACAACCAGGATTCACCCCTCCTTGGGACGCACCAGAATCTTCTCAAAGCATTGACCTAGACAACTTGTACAAGGTCGATATCTACGGCTACGGCCTCCTCGTCTCGCGAGTGTTCCTCCACGGCGGAGATCCATTTGAATTCAGATATCAATCTGACCGAGTTCGCGAAGGGAACTCTAAAGCCGCCTGCATCAAAATTTGGAAGACTACTGACATTGTCGTCGACATTGCGAAGGATGCGGTCCGGCGTTACCCAGGTCTAGAGTATGCAAGGGATCAACTCAGGGTCCTAGAAGACATTTTTGATCTCACCCTCAGGACTGATCCTGAACTCCGTGCTAAGGAATATGCAGAGATCAAGATATTGCTGAAACCAGAGCTCGCAGATGAATACTCACGCCAAAGGTCAGGAAAGCACTCTGATCCGATCTCACCGGAGAAATCATGGTCATGTTGCTGACATCCCCAACACAGAGAGCACTTCACTTGGGAGACGATTTCTTCAGAGACTGTAGAGCCTTTATTTTCAGGACTTGCGATCAATAAAATCCCGGAGGTACGAAGAGTCCTTCACCCTTTTGTGCAGAAAGAATTCTCACGATTACCGATGTATGAAGATCGAGAAATGTTGGTCTCAGCTATTACCACGAAACATCGCCTGCGAAATCGTCAACGACTTGCATCGCATGTCTTCTACTGGAACGTCAAGGGCGACACCAGATCCCGATATTCAGGCAGTTGCTGCTGCCGCCGCATATCAGCTAGCACTCTTTTACATTCAGGGTCTGGGTTGCGACGCGTCTTATTCTGAAGCGTTTAAGTGGCTCGACTTCAGTGCTCGCACCGGCAATCCCAGGGCGGGACGAGATTTATATCGCCTCTCTGCAGCAATGGGTATTCCAATTCCCGCGGACTTAATGGAAATGGTGCGAGAATGGACTTTGAGCAACGCGATCATAGGAATGGAGCAATCTTGCGAAGACCTTCTGGTCCTGGACGCAGAACTGGCTTCGTCAGTAGATCAGCAAGCTCGAAAAATCTATGGAGGGCTGGGCATTGACATCTTTACACCAGAAATCCGGGAGTCATATTGCCTAGACGATCCAGAGATGTTCGTCTCTCTCATTAATTCGGCGAATGAGTTGATCCCCTTCAAAGACATCGATGGAGAAGGGCTGACCTGGCTGCACTACGGAGCAAGCCTTGGTTCTTTGGAAGTAGTGGAACGCTTGATGGAAATGTCGTTGGACGATATTAACTGCACGACAAGTAGCGGTTCTTGGACACCTCTCTGGATGTCTTGTGCGGCGGGAAATACGGATGTGGTCCTATTTCTACTCAGAAATGGGGCAGACCCCCGGATGCCGTCTGCGACTGGTCAGACATGTCTCCATCACCTTCAAGCCTTCCCGCATGGCGATATCGAGAAGATTGCTACCGCACTATTAAAAGCAGAGGCAGACATTGAAGCAAAAGATCATGACCAACACAACACGCCGCTTCATTATGCTTGTCTCCGAGCCAGAGGACCTGCGGACACCGTTGCGATCCAAGTTTTGCTCAGATACGGGGCGGACCCTTGTAGTGTTGCACGCGACGGTCGTTCGCCCATCGACATTGCCGCAATGCGTTTACGTCCTGATCTTCTCCACGCTCTGCTGCAGTCACCCAAATTCTCTGGAGCAGAAGGTGCTTTACGCAAATCCCAGATCAACGCTCAGGCCTTAAGCGCATTGATCATGCAACTAAAAGCGCAGCGTCTCCGTTACGGAGGATTACAATTTGAAGACCACTTGCAGAAAGTCTTAAACATCCTTATTTCAACACCAACGCTGGCAGCGTACGTCAAAGCACACGCGAGAGGACATCACCCGCTCCAAGACGCTTGCCTCTGGGGCTCGGCAGATATGATCGAACCTCTACTTTCCCATCTTGATATTGAGGTTAACCCAGCATTTCGTGAAGGCCATTCTTACAGAGTCGGTATGGTACCCCTATTTGACGCCATTCGGACAAGGGATATGACCCTCTTCAGAGCCTTTTTGTCTGCTGGTGCGGATATAACGGCAAGGGACGAACAGAACAGAAATGTCCTCCATATTGTCGCAGAGTTCATGCCTAGCCTCACCGAGGAGACCATCACACGGCTGAGTGACCTCGGAAGCGACCTGAGCGATCTAGTCAATTCGGGCGCCACGGATACTGGCTTCACACCCTTCGATATGGCTGTGCAGAGCGAACATTTTGACTGCGCCCGCGTTTTGTTCAAATACGGCGCAAAATATGACAACTTCACTCGCCCGGGCATGGCCGGCGAGTTCTACAATAGTTTCCAATACGCGGCTGGTTCACAAACACAGTTGAGCTTCCTCCTTTGCTTGGAGGGAACTCCAAAAAATCATAGTCTGGTAGTCTGTGACAACGGGTTCACTTTATTTCACTTGGCAGCGGCTAGTTTTGACAATGGTAAGTAAATCCTAGGATTTGCCGCTGGGGAACAGGACAGTTTCTTCCGCGAGAGCTGTTGGCAGATAACCCGAGAATTACTGTCGGGGTTCCAGGAAGCGCTGATTGTCGATTTTGAACAGCACTGCTCGAGACCGACCCTTCTTCGGCCGATATCACGACGTTTCTGCTTCGCGATACTGCCACCGTAAAAGACGCAAATCAGGTCTGCCATCAAGGGTCGACCCCTCTCCACGTAGCTGCTTACTTTGGGAACACTGCCGTCGCGCGGATGCTGTTGGATCAGGCTGGTGCGGACGTGAATGCGAGAAGCCGAACAGGGGCGACTCCGTTCGATCATCTCATTGCTCGGGATCGGGGCCAAGGAACCGACCAGGACGAGATAAGACGAGTAGACGACCTTGAGAAGCGGACATGGAAAAGAAGAACAGAGGAGATGCGGGATCTTCTTCGGAGCTACGGTGGCTTGGGAGGACGTGAGTTGGAGAGCGAAAGGGCTGAGCAGAGGTCGTCGACAACAGAGGTTTGACCACGCCGTTCATACTTCGTTGATGCACACAAGCCGGGAATTCTTGAGCATGACTGGTTCTCGATCTGGCCACTTACCCGCCACAATGACACTTTTCCAAATTGTAAATCACCTTCTCGACAAACATTCTCAAGGAGACACCGCCTCTCTCGTCATCGCCGCTTGCGACGGCAGTGGCTGTCACTGTATCGACACCTGTCTTGGCTTCCCGACCTTTTTGATCCCCTGGGAGCAGTTGAGGCTCCTGGCAATCCAAACAGGACAAGACAGCCTCCAAACAAAACTCGCCCACCTGGTGAGGCAGATTCTTTTGCGCCCTTTGGAGCAGACGTTGGGCAGTCTTGAGAGGCGTGGACGACTTGGGATAGAACGAATGCAGCGGCTGCCACAGCCCGATTTCGAGCAGCACTAGGCCCAGCGAGTAGACGTCATGCCTCCGCTCGAAGGACGGCCGACCTTGAAGGTCATTCGATTCGTCTCGCAGCTCCGGATGCTTGTAAATGTCGAATTCGCCACCCTGCATATCCAGAGACAACTGCCCATCGGTGTCGGGCCGGCTAACTTCGAATCCACCAATATGAGGTTCGGTAACTGAGAAGGTGTCGGTGAAGCGCTTGCAGAAGAAGAGGACGTTCCCACTGTGGAAGCTCTTATGCAGCCAGCCCGCGCTGTGCAGTTCCCACAGTGACACCGCAAGGCTTTGGGCAAGTTTGATGCGCTGGCTTAGAGTCGGCAACACGGCTGGGCCTCCCCATGGACTAGCGTCGGACAGATATGAGTGCAGCGACAGTGGTTTCTTGCTCACGTCGGTCTGACGAGGAATTTCAAACAAAAAGCTGAACCTTTTCAGTTCCAAATGCTGGACAATCCCCACACAGTGCAACGCCCTTAGGGAGCTAGGTTTATTTTCGATGCTCAAGTCCAACGCGAGCTTGAACGCTTGATCTTGAGCTTCGCGTTGTTTTTGGATGGTGTTGACTTGGTCATAGGATCTTGACTCCACAAGCACCCAGGCTTCTTCGCAACGTCATGCAACGTTAGCAAACAAGCCTCATCAGGATTGCCATGGCTCCCAGAGAGGAGGGGTGGGGTGATAGCATACCCTTTTTCTCTCCCTGCATTTTCTTGTCAAGAAAACGCGCAAACGAACGACGCTCTGTGTCTGAAGATCCGCGTTTGAAGTCGATACTTTCTGGCGGATGAAGCAATCTTTCAATATCTCTAGTTATGTCGTTCTCATTGTTGTACTGCCGTTTCAGAGACGCTCTTTTTGACATTGATGAGTATGACTGGGTCGTCTGCATGTGATCCAACCTGCTTAGCTCGGGAGAATCAAGGGAGAATTGATTGATGAGTTTAGAGGAAGCGATGAGATCGGGCAATTGAGAATATGGCTTGATTTTCGCCACCTCTCCTTTGGCTTGCTGGAGCCGTTGCAACAGAAAACCCAGCTGTGCGCGATCGGATACGCTCCAGCCACTGATACGGTAGAAGACGTCTTGCCCGAGTTTCGGTGGCTTCATTTCCTCAGACGGTGCCGTAGAGCTGAAAATGTTTAGGCCTGGTAAGCGTGATAGAGAATTTGGATTTTGCGATATACCCGCGGAGGGTCCTTGGCTATTGTTTCCCGATGGAGCGGATGTCACTCGGTATCGCTCGAGGATGACCCCGAGATTTTCTGCCAGCAGCGATATCTCTGAAAGATGATGATAAGCGAGGTGACCGTAAGGTACGAGTGGAATGGCACTCTCGAATTTTGGAAATGTTCCCAGCTGTCTTTCCTCGAGTCGCTCGTTCTGGGCAACCAAAGAACCCCAGGCTTTCAGCCAAGCGAACTCGTATTGGAGGGCAAATAACAAGTCTAGGACATCCTGAGTCGCTAGAGACGCTTCAACTCTCGTCGTCATAACGTCTTGCGCACCATCGACCAGAAGTTTGATCTCGTTGCGTATCAGCCAGTACTCGCTTCCAGGCGAGTCGGTCAACTTTGCGATTCGAGAATGATCTGCATGTACAGGGATCCGGCGTTCGTTTGACCAATCTAGACACGCGGACTCTCTGGGTACCGCGAACGCAGGCGGACCAGTCCTGGCCCATCTGGACTCGGGGTCATTTGGATCGACTAATTCTGGCGTGTTGGTTGCGTGAGTCTCGAAGCACGTAACAACATGAAAGTCTTGGCATATATGCGGGAACGACTGATTCAGCGACACAAGCAACGAGGATCCAGGGCAAAGGTCTCTGACCAAATCCGCAGGAGGCCTGTCACCGATTATTTTGACCAGGGCTGGATTGTTCAAGCCACGATGTGGTGCCCCGAAGAAGACAATGCCGCAAACAGACCGATAGAAACTGGGCATCGCATTGGTGAAAGACATTGACTCGACTATTGCCTGGATTAAATCTTCGTAAGCCATTGCACGAGGGTTGGGCACTGGAGACTCTACGGACCTGCTTGATGACGATGCAGCCCAAGCTATGTCCGATTAGAATTAAAGGTGTCCGTCCCTAAGGGCATCGATAATTAGTAGTCGGATATCAGGAACCAGGAAAAGACAAACTCAATACCCCACTGGTCTCTGTTAATCTTGCCATGGTCCTCATAAAGCCCTCCGTATAGTCCCACAGACTGGCTCGAGACTGGCTCTTATATAGTTTCGAGGGATATCCGTAGATGAAAATTCGCACCCCCGGCAATTCTTGAGGTAGATAATCTCGAAGCCACATAGAGCCTTGGTCATTTGCCCAGGAATCAAAGGCACGACCAGCGAGGCCCGTAATAGCCACAATGCTAAATTGCCAGGGTTCAGCAGTTGTGCTTTCTAGAAGCCACATTTTTGAGACCGAGAAGAGGTAGAAAGGGACAAATCACACTCACTCTGTCTTAAGGTCCTGTGCCTCCACATGATTGAGCGGAGTGAGACCGTACAAATCTTTGTCCCACTCAAAAGTTGATATGCATCTTCGCTTCTCGTCTGCAAACGAAGGTGAGCTGCTAAAAGTCACTGTGGCTATTTTGGACGTCCAGTTGGCCAGCGGATCAGGTGCGAGTGATATATGGAGGATCAAAGCCGCATCTTCCTCTAAAAATAATGAGACCAAGCCATTTTGATCTAGATTTGGCGGCAAGGATGAAAGCCTGATGGTGAAGAATTCGCGCACACTAGAAGACATGGTCACCCCCGTAATAGCAGAAAGCGAGTTTCATTGCGCATATACATGGATCGTAGAGCACAAAGAGGAAGATGACGGATCGAAAGAGAGCGTAAGGCTGTTCAGTGTTGGGGTGATTGCACAATGCCAAGGCCTGATGCAGTGGCGGCGCTGGCTACCAGAATGCATAGCGGCGAATCTTGACCTCTCCGAGATCTATTTCCGTTTCCAGACCTGAGCATCCCGCTATTCGACCTGAGTCATGACTATTATGCTGTTGTACGTGGAGAGGGTGCTTGGTGGAATGGAATAATGTCTATGACTTTGGTGAGATCGATTGCCTGACCAACTAAGAACGCCGACGTATGGCTAGTCGGCATGGAACTATCAAGAACTGCGTGGAGGTCTAACTCTACCTACGATACGCTCAATTGGGCTATTTCCTCATACAAACCGACCATCAAAGCGCTCGCCGACGCCCGCAGACAGCAGTCGACACGTCGACGAGATCGCACGGCAAAACCTCATCTGCTAATGGTGTCGATGCCCACGACGCCCAGCGAAAGAGCACTTTCTGGCGTGGCGGACAGTTCTACCATCCAAAAAAAAAACCCCCCACCAGTACCACCACCCTTTCTCACGAGTCGTTGGCCATCTCTGTTGCTCGATCGGCGCTGGAGAGCTTGGCGCGTACTGAAATGGTGCGTTTCGCCTGCTTTGGGACTTCGGATGCTCTGGACGCGTCCATCAGCTGTCTAGTGTTGCAACACGGCCCGTCTAACACTGCGACAGTTGACCCGCTGAGTGTGCAGCGGAGATTGGATACGAATCTCGGTTAAGCGTCGATTCCCTATCTGTCGTTGGGTGTGACAGTGGAGAATCATGCAACACGGTCGACGGACATGATCCATTGGCGAGTGGGTTTCACGCAGCGGAGTTTGGCCACGTTGTGGCGGCCATGTGGCCATCCAAGAGCAACTACAGGGCGATCTTACGGGACGAGAAACAGCCCGCAGTGTAGCAGAAGCAGTCTATGATACGATACTACAAATTCGGTCGAGGCTATGGAGAGTTCCACTTAGCTGGGCAGCCTACATTCACATGAGGAGGTCAACGATGATTTTACGTTACAGTAACCTTTGACATCAGCCCGAGATAGAATATAGGGAATATCTTCCATTGGGAGATGAGTTCACGACCAACAAGGGCAAGACGACTTACATGTACTGTTATGGGTGAGTTGTACATTGCCGCGCCTCTAATCTTAGATTGGCTCGCTAGCCGCGCGCCAACGCCTACAAACTATATATAGCATGTTGCAACTCGTGCGGAGAGTACGAGGTACAGGGGTCGAGGGTGCTCGGTATCTGAAACGATGATGGGAGCAAGGCGTTTAAGAGTTCCACAACCTGAGATCTGAGATTCGACACACATAAAGGGTAGACGTCTTCCAGACCAGCCGCCCACAAGTATTCACTGAATGTTCACTCATATGGAGCTCAAGGCAACGCTGAGAGTCCTCATCTAATCCGCTGGAAGCTAGACCATTGCATCTGCCATGCCTTCTAAGCTATTCTTCCAACCTCAACTCACGGTTCCATCTCAGGAGAAGGGAAGAAGGGGCTCTTGGCGTGAAAAGTTGAGATGGTCCTCCAGGTCTAGGGAATCATCCCGAAACCGACCTGAACGAGAACAACACCTTGACTTGGAGTCGTCAGAAAGGTTTGTGTAGTCAACGGCTTCCACAGCACAAATGACCTGACATTGGTAGCCATGTTGCTGCGTCCGGCCACAATGAGAATGCGCCTACCCTCGTGGCGTCCAACCCGCCAATCTCATCAAGGATACCCCGCGCCGAAATTCGAAATACTATCATTCAGGACGACAAGGCTACAGCTAGATCTACAGATCTGTGGAGCGCCGCATACCTCGAGGCACTCTACAGTTTTGGGAACGAAGTGAAGAGCGTGATCTTGAAGGGCGAGAAGATTGAGGCACTCCTAACAAGCGTGCAACAGACCAACAAAGAACTTGCAGGTGATTCACTGTTCTGGCGAGGGCTGCAGAGATTGCAAGCGCCGCTGAAGAACTTCAAATTGGCCTTGGACCTGGCCAGTCCTCTTGCGAGTGTCCAGCCTACTGCATCAACGGCCATTGGAGTTGTGAGCTGTGTGACTGCAGTGAGTAACCCATTCAGCAGCCGGTGCGAGATTCCAAGACGTGAAGTTAATCAACTGAAACAGATTGCTATTACCATATGTGGTGCTGAGGACTCGCTGAATACTCAGATCATCAGCATGCTGGAACACGTCGCGATTATCGACGATTGTGACACCCTCGGTCAGAAGTTAGACGCTGAGAACGGTATTCATAAGGTACTTTGACATCTGGATTGGCATAGACGATGCTTTTCGAGTTCTGATCAAGTTCTCAGGCCCTCGTTCCAGTGTATAAAGATCTCTTGAACTTTTACATTGCCGCACTGGACATATTGACCAGCAAGGCTTTTGTGCTTGCACTAGTTTGTGACCAGCTCAGCCAGCGCCTACCGACAATTGTCTCAGACTTTGTCAAGCACGCCGCTCTTCTGCGTGACAGGGTCGGGAATGCAACATTGGAGCTTGTCACGGATATCAAGAAGCTGCTCCAAGACAATAAGAGTGAGTTTGCCCGCAGAAGAGAAGTCCCGCTTGAGCAAAAAGCTAACGCGCCCGCCAGTCCAAAAGCTCCTGGGCGTCAACAAAGACAAACAACGGAGTGAGTTCCACTCTGAGCTTCGTGCAATTCGAGCCAGTGACGCTTGCAAATGGATACTGGCGGATCCCAAGTTCATCGAATGGTACAATGCTCCAACTTCGGGCCAATTGGTCGTTCTTGGCCACATGGGTTGCGGCAAAACCGTCATTACAGCACACGTCATTGAGGAGCTGATCCGCCGAAACAAACACAAATTACCTCGTCCTGTTATGTGCTACCACTACTGCGGAAACGACGAAAGAGGAAAGGCACTCTACATCTACTCGAGCCTGCTCCTTCAATTGCTCGATCAGCAAGAAGGCCTCAAGGTCGAGTTCGACAGGTGGTACGACAGGACCAAGCAATCAGAACACTTGGATCCGGAACAGTGTTCCGCGGACCTGGGAAAGTTCTTGTCTGCCTGTGTCGAGAATCTCGACAGAGAACTGTTTGTCGTCATTGATGCTCTGGACGAGTGTGACAGTGATTCACGGGACGAGTTGGTCATGCTGCTCGACAGCCTGTCAAACAAGACGCAGAGACTGAAAGTCTTTCTCTCGTCCCGGCCTCAGAGAGGCATCGAAGAATCTCTACAGGGAGCCACACATATTCGCTGGAGTCCTAGTCGAGAGCGTGATGCAATCATCGTAGGACACACTGTAAAGAGGTATCTCAAGAAACTCCCTCCGGACATTCAGTCCCTTGTGACCCAAACGCTCTCCGAATCGGCACAGGGGAGCGCAATCTGGGTCAAACTCACGATCCAACTTATCCAGAAGCGCAAGATAGAAGCCATCGGCCCAATGAAAAGTTTCTTGGCAGATATTCCTTCTCCAGCGGAGCTCTCGCAACTATACGGCAAATTGTTTGCTCACGCAACTGAAAACGATGCTGCCAATGCGCAAGTCGCCACGAGCGCACTGCAGATTCTAGCAGTCGCTCGAAGACCCCTCAGCATACTGGAATTGGGTTGGGCTGTAGCATTGAGCGATCCTCGCGCAGATATCCGGACCTTGGTGCAGCTCGAGGCCTGTGTGGATAAAAGGAGAGTGTTGAACCTGCTGCAGCCCTTCTTATCTCAGGTTGACTTTGAGGATGACAGAAAACGACAGGTTAGACTTGTGCATCAATCCTTGAAGGAGCTGGTTCTGCGAGATGCTCCTTCTCATTGGGCCCGGTCGCAAACCACTGAGAGGGAGTCGCAGACCGATAAGCAACGCTTCCACCTGCGACAGTCCAAACTGGAAGCAAATCTGCTACGCGTATGCGTCAAATATCTTCTCTTTGATGAATTTGATGAGAACAACCTTTTCTCCGACGAACAAGAAACAATACAGAGCCTCGAGGAGATGCCCGGGTTCGCATCATTTGACCTTTTCAGTGATGATATCCAGCAACCTGTCCCTTCTAAGGCCAGTCTAATTCTCGAAGACGAGGAAGAGGCCAAAGAGGCCAAAGAGATCTATTACGACCCTGCAGAACGTGGTTTCGGAGAATTTTATGTCTACGCATCTTGCTTCTGGCTAGATCACTTCAAAGTGGGTAGACCAGAACTTTTGCCATACATTTCGGATATCGTTAAGCTCTGCAATGCGAGCTCGAAAAGGCTACAAAACTGGATTGGGCAGATGTGCCGCCCGGACTGCACGGTCACGCCAAAATTCGGTTATGACAGCCTCTCCCAGGATCCGCTCACTGTTGTGTCCTTGCATGGGCCCGCGATCGCACTAAAAACGCTCCTGGAAGACGACAAGGTTGACTTGGGAAGCAAGGAATTTCTTGTCGACTCTGTCAAGCAAGCCGTCAAGCAAATCATCCAGTGGGGTGATATCTCCCGGCTATCCATCCTCTTTCGCGATACTCGAGTTGGCCCAGAGATTCGAAACATCGGGATCTTTCACCAGATCATGACGCAGTGGGCTTCCTCGGACAAGGAATCGAGACCATGGCCAGGCTCCTTTGATCTTGTATTCGACATTTGCGATGATGTCTTGATCAGGGGGAAATGGGGCAACGAACTCTTGTGTCTGGCCGTGAGTTGTGGTTGTCTCCCAATGGTCAAAAGACTCTTTGAAGAGGCGGCCCGGAAACCAGCCATGAGAAACGAAATTCTGCGAGATGTACAACGAGACATTAGGCCTCCGGATTATCACCAGTCTGTTGGCGAAGCGGTCTGGCACAACCACATCGAAGTCCTTCGTTACCTGCTGCAACAAGAAGGCATAGAGGTCCATCTTCGGCATCGCGACTCTGATGGATACAACGTCATCCATAGGGCAGCGCGCTGGTGCAACCCCGAGGTAGTGTCTCTCTTAATTTCACACTTCCCGGAAGGTGTAAACCAACGCAACAAGCATGGCGACACACCGTTACACCTGGTGGTTTTTGGGGCCCAGGGGATGGATGGACGGCTAGAGTCAGCGAAGATCTTGTTGATGGAGGGCCATGCGAATGTGAGAGGAGGGCACACGGATGAGCCTAGCAGCTGGGGAGAACCACTTCGAATGGCTGCAAGGTACGGTGACGTAGCGATGTGCCGTGTTTTAGTGGAAGTTGGCGGTGCTAACCCTCGAAGTGTACTGAGAGTCGAAGATGAGCGCCCCGAGTTGATGGATCCTGTGGATTTCAAGGAACTGGCACCCGACGTTTTGGAAACTTTGTGCTCGCTTGCCGGTATGGATCGCTAGGTGGGCATCTCAGTAACAGAAGTACAAAATCTGAACAATGGTGCGGTTGAGGCAACTGGTAGTTTATCACGGCAGTGGAAGAAGGTCCACGATGATGCCCAGCGAAGTTGTTTAAACTGGAATCGAGGTTCCTCTTCTAAATTCAGTCGGAACAGATAGAAAGGGTCTAGGTAATTGACATTGTATATAATATCGAATAAACTGGTCCTAGCAAGTTTCCGCAATGCTGCAGTCTGACGACGGTGGCATCGTTTTTTTAATACATCGGGCCTCGAGCAAGCCGAGCAACGTCGAAGATTTCCTGGTGGTGGTCCAGCTATCGTCGATTGACATATCTGCAGGCTGCGAGGATACGACATAAATCTTCTATGTTCGGAGGTTACTCTCTGAGCGTCGCCTTTCTTCCAGTGCTAAGCCTCCGGTTTTCGATCTCGACTCAGGAACCTGTATCGACAAGACCGCGATTGTGACGCCAATGATCAGCTAGAGCTTCCTTTCTCTGTCTCGGCTTCCGCTGGCTTCGCTGCTGATGGTGGAACTTTCGTCAGTATAAACCCAGAGTAGTCGAAGGAGCTCTCGGAGCCACCCAGTATGTCCACTTTAATATCCCAGTCCACTCCTTTACAGTTGAGAAGAGGTCTTATAAAGTGAGGTTGCCGATAAGTCACGTAAATAAACGTGCCGTCGGACTTGAGGACACGAAAGACCTAGACGGGAGGAGAGGTTACATTCTCATAATAGGGCAACCTTTGTAGGAGACCTTCCGAACGTACCTCTCGAACGTATCTACCAGTGTTGTCGAGAACCTCGTCGGGCGGATCCCAAGGGCTGCCATATATCATAGCATCTAATGTCCCCTTATCAAAGGCAACATCTACCGACTCGGACGGGATCTGATCCATGCAACGGACGTCGGCGTGCTCCCAGGTGATGCCCCCAACATGTCTATGCCTCAGCGACATAGCTTCCACTACAACCGTCGAAAAATCAACACAAATTTGGTTCTTGTAACCCATTTTGGAGAAATCCTCTGGTATTGTCTGCGGCATGATTAATCCGGTGCAGCCCTCCCTCCTGAGAGTCCATGGGCGCAGAAACCTACGCTGTCGCCGGACCCCAGATGTAGGATCCTTGGGGCTGTCTCCGCCCCTCGTACTTGGAAAAGATACCGGTCAAAAAATGGCATGAGGTCGTTGAAAGATCTGAACCACTCGTGGACTTGCTCATCTGGGCCGACCTTGGCGTAGCGCTCATCCCAGTACTCGGAATGAGCTAGGCGCTTCAGCTCGGCTGTCGACGTTGACATTGCGATGGCACTTGGGAAGAGTTCTGACGTTTTGATGTTGTGTTTGGTGGCGAGCATGCTCTTTGCCAAACCTGTGCCAAGCCGATATACTTTAACACGGTAATCTCTTCAAGCCTCCGTCAGGTAGTTCGTACACGCACGTGACTGTATTATGTAAGGCCGGAACTTGGCCGGAACTAGCTAGCGAGCAGGCCCGCAGGGTAGCCAAGACATGTAAAGACCCTCACGCTAGTCATCGACCGAAAGACTAGCGCTACTATTTTATCTGATGAGTATCGACAGACTCTATTACGAGCAGGGTCGCCCACAATCGAAGCAGCAACGGTGAACCTTGCTTTTTGGAGGGAGAATAATGGAGATTGAGAAAGTTGGAGAAAGAAAAGTCGCAGCTTGGAACATTTGATTTTGCAACATTGTTCTCGTTCGTATTCACAGAATCGTCTCGTAAACACCGAGGAAAGTTGGCCATCAGCTATTTCTCGCCGCACAGAATCATGGTAGCCCCTGCCCAGTTTCCTTGCGTCTTTCGGCGAAGCCTTCTCCTAGTGTCCCCATTCACGTCTCAGCATTTATCACATAAGCAACTTGACCATCCTTTCATTTCACGCATACAGATTCTTCAGTAGCGCATGTGTCCAATCAATCACTTTGCACTTTCGATGGGACGTTGTGCACCTAGGCGGGATTAGTCGTTTGACCGTTGTTGGTCACTGTGTTGCGCATCTGTCGAGAGGTCTCTGCTGGGGCGAAGAATTGTTTGTTCTCCTTCCGACACCTGACTTCTGCACGCTGTCCTCGTCACGGCTGCTATCGTTTGAAGAAGAAGAGGATGTGCCATCGATCACTTCGACCATCCCCTTCTCGGGACGATGTGCCGCTAAAGCTGGAGCAGCACTGAGCTTGGCCCTTCCCTCCAGCTCGGCAAGCTTGTCTCTCTGTTCTTTCAGAATCCTCAGCAACTCGTCTTGAATGGTTCTTTGCGCCCTCTGAGTTTGCAGGACCTGCTGCCTCGCCAGGTCGAGGATCGTGTCTCTGGCGGTCGTGAGCAGCACGGCCATCTCGGTCGGCTTGATGCCCTCCTCTTGCTCAAGCTTCCCAAACACGCGGTCAAGGCGGACAGTTGGAAGGCTTTCGCGAAGTCTCTTGACGGCATTGGCTTCGACTTCGACTCGGCGTTTAAACGCCTCAGCCTCTTCATTGTCACGTTTACGCTTCCGGGACTCTGCTGCGGCAACTGGGGAAGGAGTTAGTTACCTCGCATGTTCATTAGGAGCAAAAGGTCAACAAGATCTTCGTCGTACCTGCTTGAGTCTCCACAGGTCTGGTCAACTGTTTCTTGTTCTTCTTCTCCTCCTTGCGTTTCTTCTTTTCCTCTCGTTGCCTGGCCTCTTCCTCATGGCGTTGAGTTTTGCTGGTGTCAGCTGGCTTCTTGTCTTTAAACTCTCTGTCTGGCTGCTTATCCTTCCCCTTCCCTTGACTAGACTTCTTTTTCTTAGCCTTGTCTGTGTCCATCGCCCCTCTGTGACCTGGAGTTGGGGAATCATCACGCTCAGTGGTATCATTCCTGCCTGAACTTTCACCGTCATCCGGGTTGAGAGTCCCAAAGAAGGAAGGACGAGTGTTCGCACGATTGTTAGCCAACGCCAACTGTTGAAAGATGTAGGCGGGGTTCGATTTCGGATCTTGAGGGACGTTGATCGTCGTGGTTAGACGCGATCCTCTTTCTACACTCTTTCTTATTGGGAATCCCGGTGACAGTGGTGTCGGCTTCGAGCTCGAGCCAGGTGCGACAGGTGCGACAGGCGCAACAGATCGTGCTCGTCTCGCCTGGTGAGCCCATGGATCGGTCTGGGTGAGATCAACAATGTCTTGCATGAAGGTGCTGGACTTTTGTGGGGTGGCATTTGAATGACGCTTGCCATTCGAGTGTTTCCGTGATTTATCTTTGGCCATTTTGAGTCCAAGGGTGAACGAGCAGACAGCCACCGACTCTTACCCAAGTCAAAGTGAGGACCGATTGAGAGTTGATGTCAAAGCTTGCTCTAAATGAAATCCTGTTTTCAGTCATCGGCCGACGCCAAAGCCAAGGAAGATAACGGAGAAGAGCTGAAGTCGAAGGTGAATACTCGATCTGTCATTCATTTTCTGATCAGCATGCGCAGAGTCGGAGGTCACAGGAAGGAGTCACCCTTGATCGATTCTAACCAAGCAAGGGCAAGGTGATGGCATCAAGTGAGGGAATTAGCAAGGAAAATCTGTCTCCTCGTGGATAATCCCGAGGGGGGTTTGGCAGATGGCAGTCAACTTGCCACAGGTTTCTGCCAGACCTTCCGGAAAGAAGGCCAAGGGTAAATTTCCATCTGAGCAAGAGGAGAGGTGGAGGGTCGGGTCTAAAACCAGCGCAGATGACAACATGAACAAACATAGCTCTCCAAAAAGCAAAGAAATCTCATTTCTTGGAATCAGGCTTATCTAAGTCTGGATCATTGTAAAAATCATAAAAAGCCTGTATGTACTCACAAAGGGTGGTAGAATGGACTCTTTGTCTCTCCCGCAAATGTGTCGATCCATCTCAGATATCTTTGATATCATAAAGCACTTTTATTATCCAACAGCGAGCATTTGCCTCACATCGCCATTAGGCTCGGCTGTGTCGAGCTTCTCAAGTTTACCCCAATTCGCCCAGATATCCGCCTTCATCTCCTTCAGTCGCTTGTGCATCTTCCACAGGTCGCCCATGTCCTTGTCATCACGTTCCTTCTCGTCGGTTTCGGATATCTTATCATAAAGATCTTTGTATCGTTTATAGTACTTTTGAAACCGTCTCGCCTCCTCAATGACATCGGCTCGGCTGGGTCCAGGTTTCTCGGGACTAGACGAACGTTCAGAATCGGTCCGGACTGGAACAGCAGGGCGCTTCAGCGCTGGGTGCTCAGTTGTACCGTTCGTCAGGGGAGTTGAATGACTTGAAGAGGGCGTCGTCTGTTGCTGCTGCTGGCGTTTTGCGGGACGTTCCTCATCGGTAGGAGCAGCCTTGCGCTTCACAGGGCCTGGACCAGGACTCCTGCCCCGAGACACGTTGCGACTTTTGTCCGAGATGACAGGGGAGTATTTATTGCCCTGTTTCGTTTGAGGCATGTCAGTGCTGGATGGTGGAGATGATGGCGCCGAAGACTGGTTGGATGCTTTGCTAGAGCTAGAATTGTCTACATCGGTCGAGGTGGTGGGAGGTGAAGAACCCAGTGGTGACGGCTTCTGCGGTGAACTGTCGTGTCGTGGGCGAGGAGAAATACGGGAAGCCGTACTTTCCAGTCTCTGATGATTCTGAGGTTTCAGTGACTTTGAAGCGCCTGAGACCGCAGGCCGAGGCTTATCACTCGCGCTGTTGCTCCCGCTGGATGAAGACGCGTTTGAAAGTGAGGCTTTGTGGGCAACCTTTTTGGGAGAGACAGTTGTTAGTGGCGACTTGGTCGATTTGAGTTGGCCGTATTCGGGTTTCTTCTTCACGGCCAAAGTTGACTTGGTTGTCCCTGCGTCCTGCTTCTTCGGCTTGGCGACAACTTCTGAAGCTGCTTCGGCTTCCTCATCAGAGTCCTCAATGCGTTCAGAGGACTTGAATTTGGCATCTGGTTTTGCGACTTTGAGGTGCGAGAGCTCCTTGTCCTTGCCTTTGGAAGGACCACTTGGGTCGCCCTTGGCTGGACCCTTGGGGGTGGTAGCTTTGTCCTTGCGCTTTTTCTCTACAGCGGCTGGGTCTCTATCCTTCTTTATTCGTGCCTTCGCAGGATCCCGATCCGACACCTCATTCTTACTCTCGTTGCCGTCCTCGTTCGGACGCTCCGGCTTAGGGGTGGCGTGACTGGATACCGGCTTGTCGAAGTTCAGCTTTGACAGGATCTTGCCCTTCCCCCGTTCCGCTGGAGGAAGTAAGAGCTGCCAGAGAGGATCTTTCTTCTCCACTCTCATCCGGTCATAAGCTTGGATGGCATGGTCAATGGCTGCTTGTCTGTCCTCCTGCGACCGATAACGAAATTTCCAGACATCAAGTTCGCGGTAACTCTTTTCCTTCAACTCTCTCTTCCCATCCTCTGCTTTCAACTCCCATGACACCTTGTCGAGTAGTTTCTCAAGGTCCTCCTTGGTTGCATGCAGGTGATCACAGATTGCTTTCGGCGTCATTGGCCGAACGGCCAGAAGATGCACGAGCGGTATCCGGATAGCATCAAGTCTTATCCGATCCTTCGTCGAGATCCCAGAAGCCAAAGGAGCTGAGGTAGGGCCCAACCGCGGAGAATAAGAGGCGCTCAGAAAAGGGCTCCCCGGCGTAGATCGGTTCAAGGGCCCCAACAAATGATCTTTCCTCAGAGCAGAACCCTGCCCTAATAAGGGTGATGGCTTTGCATCTTTCCTTGCTCGGTGCTTCAGATCCTCTTTCAAGCTGGTCTCATTCGACGCACGTTCCTCCTGTATAGATTTGAGAGTGCTCTCGAGGGTAGCTAAGGCTTCGTCGGCTTTTGCAGTATCCCGTTCGGCTTTCTTGACCTCAAGCTTATGGCTTGACCTGCCGGTGAAGTATAGAGGGGTTGTATCATCTTTGGACTTGGTGTAGATCTCGGTGGGAAACGTATCAACGTTGCTTTCTAGAGTCACTGTCTTCTTGCCGAGCTGCAGCGCTGGTCTTTTGCCACATCGGAAACGAACTTGCTCGTTATTTTGCAAAGATCGAAGTATATCCTTAGTCACGGACTCAACCAAGTCCAACCGGATTACTTGCGTAGGTCCTCTAGTCTGTTTACTATGTGTATCGTGTTTGGACTTCCGTCGCAGGACAAGCCCCTCGGGGGGAATATTGAACAGATCCATATCGCGGAGAAGAGGGAACGGACTTTGTCAACGTAGAGGGATTGTGGTAGGATTTGTACGGGTCATTCCTGGTATCTCGAGATTCAGCAGGCGGAGTCAAGGGAAGATAACGGTTAGGAATGGTGGGCTCGCTGCACAGCGGTGACAGCAGCTGGCAGACGGCGTCATGACACAATATTAGAACAAAGAAGTGAATGGCAGTGAAGCTGAACAAACGAAGTCAAAGAGGGAACAAAGCCACGATCCGTGACAGCAGAGGCGAGGTCAAAGGTCGAGGACGAGGATGAGAAGCAGGACAAAGGCATGCTGACGATTATTGGAGGGATCAGCTGTGGGGAGAGGACGAGGATGAAGCGACCTTGGAAGCACGCGGTCGGACAGTGGGACAAGCCGTCTCTGGTGTATGTGTGTGTGTGTGTGTGTGGGCGAAAAGGCTCAGAGCGCGGGAGCGGTTGCCCTTCCTTCAAGAGACGATTTGGCTCTGTCCGCCTGAGAGACCCGCGAGGACACCAACGGTGCCAGAGGACAAGCCAGCACGGCGAAGTTTGAGGGAAGCCAACGAGCGCCCTAGGGACGTCCCAAGGCAGCCGACAAACCAGGGTCAGAAGCCATCGAGCCCATCGAGGCCCATCTTCGGTAACTCTGGCACCGCTGACTGGCTAGCCCACGCCAGGCGTGAGCCACATTTTTCATGTCTACGCCCGCAGCGGCTAGACTGCCGCCTTTCCGGGGCTTTCTGGCGTTGTGTCAGCACTGGAAAAGCAACCTGAAGGCCTTTTTCCTCCATCACCCGCAGCATCAGCCCGAGGCTCGAGCCAGCCACCTGGGAAGTTTGAATATCTCCCGCACCCTCCTCCCGGTCTTGGCCTGAATGAATGAATGCAGACCTCGAAAATTGATCGGAAAGCACTCAATGCGCCGAGAGGAAGCAAAGGAGGCGTGTTTCAGGGCGTCGAAGGAAGGCTGGATCGGATTGATATGTTTTAGAATCCCCGGTCCTCCCTGGCTGCGCCCAAATCGTGCAAAGACGTCTAAAAACGGGCATGACCAGAGGGATTGGATAGTATCGAAGGGGCCGGGGGCCCGCCCTCAGTCGCCAACCGGTTTTGCCACTGACGAGACCCCATTGTGCTCGGGTTCGCTCGCTCGCTCGCTGGCTCCCTTGCTTCCCCTCGAGACCAACCTGATATCAACGTTTCACAGCCATTATATATCCCATACCAAGTACTTCAGACTCCGTGGGTAATCGGTACATGTCCATCCCGCGTCCAGTCCTGCAGATTGACAGGTCCTGGGGTGGGAAAATGTGGTGTGAGGGCACTCCAGCTAATACGCACAGGTACAATACCTAGGTTCTGCTTGTGCGGGCGGCAAATGATCCATTTGTCCTAATTGAGAGAAGCTACCTCCGTAGGGCTTCGGCCTACGGGTAGGACCGTACGAACAGAAGGAAAGGTACTCCATTGTGCTGCAAAATCCCGAAGACGAAGCCATGCCTCGTAAGACCTTACGCTGGAGATGCTGACGGGAAAACTTCCTCTTCTGCAGGTCACCATTGACCCCATGGACGAACTGACCTTCCAGTTCAGGTACAGTGGTGCAAAAGCAAGACACAGCTGGACTTGCTTGAAGACATGTACTGTAATGTAGGGAAAACCAAGTCTGTGACACTTGGTGCATGACAAATAAGCATGGGGCAATCCTGGCACTCCAAGGCCAGGCGCCTTGGCATCATGTCAGTACCCAACGTACGGAGTATGTATGTACATAATACCTAAGCGCACGATTACCGCAGCAGTTGGAGCTATGTAGTAGACTGCGGCACTGTCGATTTGTGCTCAACTCACCTAGATAAAGAATTCAGAGGTCTTCTTCCGTCTTGGGTGCTGATGGCGGCTGGTGCTGAAGAACATTAATAACGGTGTTGCATTGACCTTTCATCACCTTGCAGACAGTGGGAGGAGGGGCGCTAAGGCAGGTTCGGAGGACCGGTGCAGGTATGCCCAAAGGAGAAACTTACAGTACATATTTCCGAAGCCTTGGTGTGCCTGGGTGGGCCAGGGGACATCGATGGAGACTGCTAAACGGAAGGCCACCCCGGCGGGTGCCCGGACGCCTCCCCATGCTTTGCAACAGCCATTGGGGTGGCATTGTGCAGGGCCCAGGCTGGTGGGCGCTTAACTGCGCCAAAGTCTCCTGCTCGACGCCTCTTTAGCCTGCTGGCCCTCACCATCTGGAAAAACGCCCGCCTCGCCGCCTTGTTTGAATTTGTCCATGCTGCATGCAGCCTCGTGGATGGCATTTTCTCAAGATCCCCTCTGATGCTCGTACATCCCCTTGCGCATAAGTCACCTGCCTCATTAGCGTTCAATATGTCTCTAGGTACGTTCGTCCTCCCGCTCGCGGTGATATCTTTCCAGGCCAAACATTCAAGAAGCAAACTCTTGCCCCACAGAAGCGCTGACTTTTGCCCCCAGCCTTGGATGAACAGACTCTCCAGAATGTCGCCAGCAATGGCGAGATGGACTAGTGTGTTCCCTCCATTACCCAGCTTTGACAACTTGAGACTTACTTCATATTAGCGAAAAGTGGCCAGCCATCATCGAACCACTGCTCCAGCGACTCAATGAGGTATTCTCTTCCATGCAGATTAGCAGTCCTTTGTTTGACATCATGTATAGATCGTATATACGGAATTCCCTACGCCACGACCGTATCCTACAATAAATCAACGCGCTTCGTCCTCACCGACCCAAACACAGCCTGCGCAAGTCGGAGATTCCAATCCCAATTTACAAACACCATCCACACCTTTGCGGACTCTTCCTCCCGTCCCACCGTTCCCGACCTCATCGGCAACCTCGACGAGCCATGTCCCTGATTCACTTCCTCAGTCACAAGATGTTGCCTCCGCCACTCTCAATGAGCTGCCTGCTCTGTTGCTGCAGATGCTCAATAGCGTAACCCATACCCTTCGATCATCGTTTTCCGAGAGGCCACCTCACACGATACAGCGGTTGGCAGAGCTCGTTTTATACCCCACAAAACATTACAAAACCCTCCCTGCATGGTTACGGGCCATCGATCGAGTCGTCAGCGTTAGCAGTCCTGCAAATATTTTTCCGCTTTCTGAAACTCCGCCTGTGGTGAATGGCGTCAATGGAGATGGAGGAGGAGGAATCCTTTGGAATAACAGCGATGTACGCAATGGTTATGACAGCAATTCATTGGGCAGCGACGAAAGTCTAGGCGGCGCGCTCTTGACGCCAATACCGTGGCTGCGGAATGGAATCGGTGGTGGCGAGGATTCAGGTGAAGATTCAGGTCCGCTAGACTCAAACACCAGCACCAGCACAGATGGGCTGGATGATTCCCTCCCGTTGACGGTTACACAAGGCGATGGAGATCTCCTAGTACCTGAAAGGCCAGATGGCGCAGTCACACAAGGCGAGTTGATTCGCATGGAACAGGAGGCTGGTGTTGTGCCCGTGACCCGAAACCCTCCAGATACACACGTGAGCGGCACAATGGAAGAGAATTGCCTCATTGACGAAGGAGATGTGGTGCCCCACGCCCGCGGACCCGACCTCGTGGGCTCTGTGGATATGGGTAGAGTCGATGGACAAGATGTGGAAATTCACATTGGAAGTCCACCGGGCGAGGAGGGAAAAGAGAGGGGAATAGATGCAAATGATGCACAGACCATCCTTCCTGGAAACCCCATCCCTGTGGGCTCCGCAGCCACAGATACGACATCGGAAACTGGTCCCGGGTCAACGGCTGATTCAGAGGATTTTGAAATCGTGCTCAAGGACGCTGTCGAAGGTGGTGACATGGATGCTATGCAACTTGACGAGAGTAGAACAGACAGCGAGAATCAGCGCAAGCAGCAGCTAACGGAAGATGGCGACATTGTTCTCGTAGATGCAGACGGAAGGACCGAGGACGAGATCGAGTCGAACACCGGAAACCTGAGTGAGAATGTCGGACGCGATGCCGTCGATGCCAGGAGGGTCACTTGAGGATATCACTGCCTGCACCAAGTCTAGGGAAATGTGCGAAATCCAAAAAAAAAAATTCGAACTAAATTGATCCAAGTCTGCTATGGTGCTTGGATCTACCTGGTGGCGAAACGATTTCACCACGGCCGTACCTACAGATCTCACCTGATCTCGACCGCTGAAAGAACGATGCTACATCGGGCAGAACATGTATCGTTCAGATGACCACCTTGGCCAGGACACGGCTTTGCAATCCGCTAGGTCGACCTCGATTCCAGAACCTACTCGGGAAGTTGGGAACGAACAGAAGGCTACAGACAGAGTTCCTGAATGCCCTTTTCGCAGACGAGCGTCCAAATACGTGCGGCTGGATGGGCAGCCCAGTGCGGAGCGAGTGGCTTAATCGGTTGATCAGAGCAGAGGTGAGCTGGCGGACGGACTAGCTACGCCATGTCTTGCTGCTTGATGTGTGTCTCGTACAAGGTAGAGACAGGGTCGTTCCTCTAGCGATGGGAGACAGAAACGACTCAAGAGGGAGGTTGTCCACTTTAATGCAATGGAACATCAAATTATATGTGTATATATATATGTATATATATATACCTGCATCGTCCTGTTCTTGTTCGTGTTCGTGTGCAAATAAATACATCAACCACATCTCTTCTCTATGCGTCCCCTTTTCATGCATTCATTACTATTGTACATCGAGCTATGTCGCGTTGGGGGTATATGAGAGGTGTTCGTGGCTTTTGTGTATATACTTATCGGGCGGAGACGGGAATGCTACGCGGCCAGTCTCAAGAGGTGGTCCGACTTTGTAGAGAGAGACACTCGTCGGACAGGGCAGGTCGGGATGAAACACACTGAACCGTTAAGGCCTTGAATCCGGCATGCATATGCAGGATTCTTTCAGCCTCATCCAGATGCAGTGTATCACATCGGGGCCCTCTGGTTCCTCCCTCCGAATCCCGCTGCGGTCAGTCTCCTCCATGCTGAAGCGCATCAGTTTCAAGGCTTGCTCTTTACGTCAGCTCCGCTTAGCTAGTTTCATGCTTGACAGCAGAAGACGGTAGATTGCCGCCATCGCCGACAGTGCTGGCAATCGTCGCCGTTAGACCGTCATTTCCTGCCACCGCATTAGACAGGGCTACTTCAGTGGCTGCTATCCCGTTGATGATAGCTGTGGACGCGGATACCGTAGGACCGCCACTTCCTACCACGATTGATCCGGCCCCTTTGGCCTTTCCCGTTTCCTCAGCGATGGTCGTGGTCTTCGGCACGGATACCGCAGGGCTAAGATTTCCCGCCGCCGTCGAGGCTGCTTTGGCGTCTCCTATCTCGCTGGTCTTGCCTACAGGCGGCATAGGACTGGCATTTCCCGCTACTGCAATCGACGACACTCGGTCAGCAGCTCCTGTCTCGGCAGTCTTGGATGTTGCAGGACTAGCATTTCCCGGCGCACTAGACGATACCCCATCTGTTACGGCCTGCTTCTTCTTCTCCTTCTTTGCCCACCGCAGCCCGCAAGCATTGCACAATGTCTTCGGACCGTTGGGGCCTTTCCTCCACTCAGGACTATCGAGCGTTCCGCAATCTGTGCAAACGTATTCCTCGGCACTTTTGACTTTCTTGTGCTTCTTGTCGATGTATGAGTATCGTGCATCGGCTTTTTCAATTGGAATGTGAATACCTGCATCGCCACGAATGAGTGCAGGGGAGGTGCCACCAGTCGATATGCCATGGGATCTCTCGCCCTCGCGGTAGCGGAGACCGGTTAACATTTCAATGGAATCGACGTGTGAAGAGCCTTCGTATCGGGCCATTTTGTCCCGTATGGAGTCTGGGCGAGCAAACGCATTGGCCTCATCCAAAGCCTCGCGGGTGAGGGCGATGTTTGATACCGTTGGTTTTGCGGGCGGTGGCATGCCACCATAGTCGGTAAAATCTGGCCTAGTAGTTGTGGCGGATGGTGATGTGGGTGGAATGTCGGCTGAAGTTGATGACGCTCGCGAGGCGGTCACTCCGGCGGCTTGCTTGTGATAATGCTCTTGCTGGGCGTCCGTGTCCTCGGCTTCCTCGCGCTTTAGGGCGGCAATCCTCGCTTGGAGCCTGAAGTTTTCAATCTTATGCTCCAGGAACGAATCCAGGAGCTCAGATGTTCGAGTTGGATACGGCCGGGCCATCATGAAAAAGCCTCGACAAAATCCTGTACTCAAAGGCGGTCCTGAAATAGCGATTTGAGTGATCTCGGTGGTGAGATGTGGATGGCCATGGCACTCAAAGATACGGTATTTGTCTTCGGTGCCGCGGAACCTGTGGAAGAAGCGAACAGAGTTTCCAGTAGCGATGCTCTCGTTGAATTCGCGAATGAAAAGGGAGGAGTCGTCGGGATGTATAAAATCAGATATTGATTTGTCTATCAGTTCTTTCGGGTCGTGTCCAGTCAATTGCTTGGCCGAGGGCGAAACGTAGAGAATCCGGCCGTCAGGAGTTAGGATATACAACAAGTCTTTGAGCTCCTCCAGCAAGCGCTGAGTCCAATTCTTTCTCCTTGTGAATTCGGTCACAGTGTTGCTCGAGTTGTGGGCATGTTGGAATGCAAAGTCGGTGGGTAATGGTCCAGCACCTATGCCATTGGTCGGCATAGTGCTGTCAGGCGTATCGGGTTTACTCGAGCCATCCTGCATCAAGCTTGACGGCATGGAATCCATTGGGTCAAAAGGTGCGGGTTGCATCGAGGCCATATCGAGGGTCAAAGGGTCAGAAAATACGCTGATGTCTGCGCTGCCGACGAGCGATGCATCTAGCAAGGCTGGTTGGAGGGTGAAAGAGTCCATCATGGGAGATGGCTCGGGCTGGAACCCCCCCATTGCGCCAAAAGAGAAGAAGTTGTGGGTCTTGAGCTCGACGCCTTATTGTCGGTGTGCAAGGTTTCCCTTTCTTCCTGATTTGGGGGACTAGCAGTTTGTCGGTACCTGCTCCAGGGGGCTCACTGAAGCAAAAGCGGTCTCTCCCACCAACTAGGAGCGCGGGGGGGTTGGTGAAGCGACGCCAGCAATGGAGGGCTCGGCCGCATACGGAGTACAGTCGCACTCATGAACGGAAAAAGCACCCGAGAAGGGGGCCCTAGAAATGACTTGAATGGCCCAAAGCTTGAGATAATAGCGAGGATTTGTGGTCTGATGGCACTTCGATGAGTCGATGAAACGCCGAAGAGAATCAAGATCTCAAGATGGCTTACAGATCAAGATGTTGCCACGCCACGTGACAACGCCGCCAACTGTCAACTGTCTTTGCCAAGAGCACGTGACTAGGCGACTGAGAGGTGCGCCACCAGGCTACCAGGGGCGATGCTCGAAACCAAAAGGCAGCCGCGCTGGCAGCCTGTCGGCACACGTGCCAACATCGCGTTCCTCACTTTCACTTTCACACCAAGACGATCGTCAGCCATGACTGTTCTCTGTGCTTAACAAGTAGATAGGGCAAAGGAGCTCCTATCAACACGCACCTGTAGGAATTGTCTTGCCTAGTTGAGGACGCCTCTACATCCCTCACAAGTTGCACAATTCCTCTCATTGATGCCCGCAACAGTCTGCTCTCTTGGCCTTCTCCTGAGCTGCCTCTTATCAAATTGTCAAACGTCACCATCCATACGCCTGTGCAAGGATGTCCCGGCTTCACGTATTGAAGATTTCGGGCATTCGTTCCTTCGACAACAACCAAGAACAACACATCAAGTTTGAGACCCCGCTAACTCTCATCGTGGGCCAAAATGGTTCAGGGAAAACCACTATCATCGAATGCCTAAAGTTTGCCTTCACGGGAATGCAGCCTCCAAACACCAAAGTCGGCGGCGCCTTCGTCCATGACCCGAAATTAAACAGCGATAGCCAAGTCAAGGCCCAGGTCCAAGTCTCCTTCAAATCAGCCAGTGGAGCTGCACTAACTGTTTCTCGGCGCCTGGAACTGAACGTGAAAAAGACCACCCGTTCCTTGAAGACGTTGGAATGCTCGTTAGTTGTGAGCAGGCGGGGCGAGAGAACCGTCGTGTCATCTCGGGTTGCCGAATTGGATTTGATCCTTCCACAATACCTCGGTGTATCCACCGCCATCATTGACAATGTCATCTTTTGCCACCAAGACGAAAGCTTCTGGCCTCTGAGTGATCCCACCACTTTGAAAAAGAAATTCGATGAGATTTTTGAGGCGCAGAAATACACCAAGGCCATCGAAAACATCAAACAGATTCGGAAGAAGCATAATGAGGAGTTGGGCAAGTATAAGATCCTGGAGGATCATGCGAAACTGGACAAAGCTCGAGCCCTAAAAGCCCAAAAGAGGAAGGAGGCTCTTTCAGATGAGATTGAGAAACTCCGGAAGAAAAGCGAGGAGCTGCAGCAAAGAATCGATCATGCTCGGCGAATGGCAGATGAAACTTGGAGAAAGGGCGAGGAATATGCAAAGATTCTCGGGGCGTTGGAAGGAAAGCGAATCGAGGCACAAGGCAAACAGGCTACCATTGACGATCTCAAATTGCACTTAGTAGAAGTAAGTGAGCCGGACGAGTGGCTGCAAACAACCCTATCCCAATTCCAAGCTCGACAAGAAGAGCTGAGAGATGAGTTGAGCAATAAGCAAGAGGCATACATCGGGCAACAAGATCAGATGAAATTGCTGGGTAAACAGCGCGAGGAGAAAGTGAAGTTGAAGGGCAAGTACGAACAAGAGAAGGAGGCACACGAACGTCACCTTGAAAGACGTAAAGAAATGGTGAGAGATGCCGCTGCGAAACATCAGATCCGTGGGTACGAGGACTTAGAGGACGACAATCAAGTCGAAGAGTTCCTGGTCAAAATCAAGAAGATGTCCAAACATCAAAAAGAAGATCTGGACCAGGCGAGGCTTGCACACACCACACAGCGACGGGATGCGCAGACTCTTATCAACAAATTGACTGAGCGAAAGTTAGCTCTTCAAGATCAAAGAGCCACCGCGAGAAAGCAGATGGACTCGAATGACCGCGAAGCAGGAGAGTTCCAGAATAGAGTCAATCAGATCACGGTCGATGAGGGGAGCAAGGCAGTAGCCGAGTCACGGATTGATGATCTTAACAAAGAACTACAAAAGACACGTCAGGCGGCGGAAGCGGCCGATTGGGACAAAAAGATTCAGAATGCTAATGCAGAGCTCCGAGCTTTTGAGGAGATCAGCTCCAAATTAAGAGATGAGATGTTTTGGTCAACAAAAAAGGCAGAAGAGCTTGCGAAATTGTCCATTGTGAAGCAAGAGTTGAAGGACCGACAGAAACGCCTTGAGACATTGTTGAATGCTCACAGTGACCGTATCACAGCCCTTCTTGGTCATGGAGCATGGTCTGCTGATAAGGTCGAAAATGCCCATCAGGAAGTCCTCAGGAACGCGACGAGTGAAGTCTCAGCATCCGAGCGAGAAAGAGATTCGGTAAATCGGGAGTTGGAGCAGCTACAGTTCAAGCAGAAAACTGTCCGCAAAGACCTCTCGCGCAAGGAGAACGAGGCTAAAAAATGTGAACAACAACTTCGCGCTGTTATCGAGGACGGCCCCCAAGGCTATGATGAAGCGCTGAAACAGGCGGAAGAAAACGTTAGAGAAGCCAGAGAAAATAGCTCAGGTTTCAGCGGTCTTCACGACTATTACCAACAAGTCCTAGATGCCTGTTCAGGAGACAAGCCAGCGTGTCGCACTTGTATGCGGGGCTTCACGCTCGGCAGCAAGACGTTAGCAGATTTTCAAGAACGCATCAACAAGCTGATTGCAAAGACGAAGGCGCATGCAGAGCAATCTGATCCCGAAGCAGCCGAAGCAGAATACAAGCGCATGCTAGATCTCGGCGTGGTTCATCGAACCTGGAAGAAGCTCGTCGACTCTGAGATCCCCACGGTTGCACAGGAGACGGCTGATCTGGATGTTCAGCGACAGTCTCTGCTAACAAATCTAGAGAAGCATGACAAGAGCGTGGTTCAAAAGCAGCAAGTCAAGCGTGATATTGAATCAATTGGACAAACCGTTTCTTCAATCAGCAAGTGCGACAGCGAAATCAGATCGCTGAGCGGCCAGGTCAAGGAACTGTCTGCAAAACAGAGCCAACAGAGTAATACGCGGACTTTGGAAGAGATTCAAGAGGAGCTGAATTCTACTGACCAAAAAGTGCGAGGGACCCAAAATGTCATTAACCGATTGAGAACCGAGCAGGAGCAATCTCGAGCAGGTATCTCCGGCATGGAGCTTGAACTACGGGACCTCAAAGGTAACTTGAACAATGTTATATTTCAGCTTGAGAAGAAAGTTTCTCTCGCAGCTCGGGTGGAGGAATTTCGAACAAATAATCAAAAGCAGCGGGAGCTCATGGAGAATCTCACGAAGGCAATTGAGCAGCTGGAACCTCAAATCGCGACAGCCCGGGCGAAATATGATGATGTTGATCAGCGCGCAGCCACCAAAGAACGCGAAATGTCAGATGGTCTCTCCAACTTGAATGACACGGTCAACAATCTCGATATTCTGAATGACCAGATTCAATCTTACGTGGACCGTGACGGGCCAAATCAACTCGGACATGTCAACCGGGAACTCAAGAATCTGGAGCAGGAATTGGATGACCTCCAGAGCGAACAGAACCAACTCACGCGTGAAATCAACCAGACTAATGAACGAATCCGGGATGGCGAGTCGACACGGAGAAAGTACTCTGACAATCTCCGATACCGACAAGAGAGCCGGGCCCTTGCACGGCTGCGGGAGGAAATTAAGGAACTTGAAAGTCACAATGCCGAAGCTGATCGCGACCGTTTCCAGCAGGAATCGCAAAAGTACAGCATGGAATACAACAGACTCGGGACACAACAGGGCGGACTCTTGGGCGAAGTGAAGTCGAAGGATAATCAATTGTCGGAAATCTTAGAGGACTACAAGACAGATCTGAAGGATGCGCCACAACGGTACAAAGAAGCCCACATCAAGGTTGAAGCTACCAAAGCGGCTGTAGAAGATCTGGCACGGTATGGTGGAGCGTTGGACAAGGCGATCATGAAATACCACAGCCTCAAGATGGAGGAGATCAACAGCATCATCGAGGAGCTGTGGCGCAAAACGTACCGGGGCACCGATGTCGACACGATCATGATTCGAGCAGAAAATGAGTCTGGCAGAGGCAATCGATCGTATAATTATCGGGTGGTTATGGTCAAGAGAGGTGCAGAAATGGACATGCGGGGACGGTGCAGTGCAGGACAGAAAGTCCTCGCGAGCATCATCATCCGCCTAGCCTTAGCCGAAGTCTTCAGCACCCATTGTGGACTGATTGCACTGGATGAGCCGACAACGAACCTCGACCGCGACAACATCGAAAGTCTGGCCCAATCGTTGAAGGAGATCATCGAATACCGACAGCAGCAGTCGAACTTCCAACTTGTGGTGATTACTCATGACGAAGACTTTTTGCGACAAATGGAATGCTCGAAATTTACAGGAACCTATTATCGAGTGTCGCGAGACTCGGCCCAAAACTCCATCATTGAGCGACAAAGTATCGCAGAGGTTTTGTGAACCGCGTCGATATGCAGGCACCCATCCATTCGCAATAGAAATCGGAGACTGCCAGGTGCATCGTTATCATTCGCTGTGCAGGTCTGGTACCTGGCAGGAGATTTTCATTCGGCAGGTCGGCGATTCACTGTTTTTCCAGATGGTGCCACGGTGCCTTGAAACAGGTGACGTGGCTCGGGAACATGCTTATAGAGGATTGTCAACAAACAAAACGACAAACCCGCAGCTGGGGATGTGAATTTGTTGAGCTGATCGAGAGTGAGACAATGTGTTCAGATGCAAGAGGCGAATAGACTTGTGCATTGCTTTTGGCAGAGGAGACTCGACACGTGAAAATAGAGTGCCGGGGCTGGATTTATGGCTGGACCTTTGATCCACGGAAGGCTTAGTGCCAGGAGAAAACCGGCAGATTGTGGGTGCCAGTGGCTGGCGATGTAAGGGACCACGAACCGAGGGGCGTGGAGCACCAACAACAGCGCAAGCGCCCAAGACAAGGCGAGGCAAGGTGGAGGTAAGCGAGATACAAGCGCCTTGCCTTTCGGGGGATTGCAAAACACGCAAAGCAACGTGAGCTTCGGTATGTGTCGCTCATTTACCCCGGCAACCAAGGGCTCGAAAACAAGTAGACGACAAACATTGCGACTGTGCCCAGTGTGGATTGCAGGCCATCAAGCATTTTCCAGAAAGAGCGGTGGATTATCCACACACAATTTTGCGCCCGAATTGCTTGTTGGTCACCAGACTGGCAACCCCTTCACAAAGGGAGATGGTGGTTGGTCATGGTCTTCGGGATCGACAGTAAAGCATCAGGCTTCCCCCCAGCATTCTCCATCCTGCCCAACATGGACAATTCATATTGTTTTGCCACCACACACGCCCAGGCCTTTGCTTCCAGCTTCTCGACGACTGCCTCCCTTGTCTTCGCTTGCGCTAACTCTCAAAACCTCATCTCATCCTGGATGCCTCGAACCAAGTTCGGTCATTTCGACCCTTTTTTTTATGCTTTAGACCCATCCACTTCTGAGGCAGCCCTTGGCCGCGGCATGCAAAGCGGATACCAGAAGAGGAGATAGCAAGAGGGTCCTCTAGCTTCTGTTGACCTGCCTCTCTGTTACTTCGCCTCGTCCCTTCCCCCGCAGCATGACATACTCCGTGGAGCCCGATGGTACCTTTGCCATGTTGGCTCTACCATGAACAGAGAGGCTCCAATCGAGTGGTCGGGGTACCGATCAATAACTGGATTTGTTGCCTTTGTGGCTATCCACTAACCGCTTCAGCAGACAGCCACACATCCCAACCATTGAGCCCACGAGCTCCAGAAAATGCTTTACCCACTCTCACCATGTTCTGTCCAAGCATACAGGATCTGTGCTCTCAAAGTTCCCCTGGTTACGTGACGAGAATTCCACCGCAGCCGTGAGTCTATTCCTCGTCGAGGCTCTTCTCCGTCATCTTGTGTCCCCATACCTCCACTTCATCGAATACTCTTCGACGATCAACACATTCAGCATATTCTTCTCCCAGCCTGTCTGCAGCCTCCCTCTTCAGTCCATTTTCTTTTCTATACCACATGATATGTATGCGTGACCTGTTTCAAGATCTTTCCCCTCATTTTTGACCAGGTAACTCTTTTTTGATCCAATCAAGGCACCAACAGCATCGTCATTGCTTGTTTGCTTTGCTGCAGGTCATCCGCTGGTCTTACACGATAAAGGGCGCACGGTTGCGCAAGGTTGCTTGACCTCAAGCTCTTTTTCTGGTATCTCGACCCCGAGCAGCAAGAGGCACTCAAACCGGAGCCCAGTCGAGTGTCTTCTCCTGTCGCTATTCTCAAGTCCTTCACATTGAGCCATGGGGGTTGGGAAAGCCTTTCTCACAGCTCTCGTAGCTACAGCCACTGTCGCGTAAGTCTTCGGGATCCATTGTTGCGTCTAGATATATTGACAGCTTCCCTCAGCTCTCCTCTGGCCAAACGACAATTCTCATATGGTTCAGCGCCGGTCCGCGGCGTCAACATTGGTGGCTGGTTAGTCCTCGAACCCTGGATCACACCATCTATATTCCAGCAGTTCGGAGGCAGTGTGGTCGATGAGTATACATTATGCCAACAAGCGCCGAACGCTGGAGACATTCTCCGCAGCCACTGGGACAGTTGGGTCTCTTTGGGCGACTTTCAGAAAATCGCAGCAAACGGCTTCAACACGGTCCGGATCCCCATAGGGTACTGGGCGTTCCAGAAGTACGACGGTGACCCGTACATTCAAGGTGCCGCGGATTACCTTGAGACTGCTATCAGTTGGGCTCGTCAGACCGGCCTGAAGGTTTGGATTGACCTCCACGGTGAGTAAGATCGTTTGTCCAAAGACTCATGGGATGCCCAACTCATCACTTGTCGTAGGTGCACCGCTCTCGCAGAATGGACAAGATAATTCAGGTCAACGTACCCCCACGCCGGGCTGGACAACAGGCGATACGGTCGATGCAACACTCAATGTCATCAGACAAATATCACAACAATACGCAAGTCCGGCATACGCAGACGTGGTTTCGGGCATAGAACTTCTCAACGAACCGTCGATAAACATTCTTCCTGGCGGACGGGACGCTACACAAAGCTACTATCAGGCAGGCTTCGGCGTGGTCCGACAATCAGGCCAGACGCCCGTGATCATCCACGACGGCTTCGCCGCTCCGTCTTCCTGGAACGGCGTCCTGACTGGGCAGGGGAGTTCCGGAGCCATTGTCGATCACCATGAATACCAAGTCTTCACTGACGACGAGGTGGCAATGACTCCAGAGCAGCACGTCGACTATGTCTACTCACAGGCCAGCTCATGGGCACAGGGCCAGGACAAGTTCGTCATCTGCGGTGAGTGGACGGCTGCCATGACCGACTGCGCGCCAGGCATCAACGGCTATGGTATCGGCGCCCGTTACGACGGCACGTACTCACAGCGCAACGCCGACGACAGCTACAGCAGCTCTCCATACGTCGGCTCCTGCGCCGACATCAACTTCATCGACCAGTGGAGCGACTACAACAAGACCAGCACCGCAAACTACATCCGCGCCCAGCTGGATGTGTACGAGACCCAGATCCAGGGCTGGTTCTTCTGGAACTTCAAGACCGAGGCCTCTGCCGAGTGGGATCTCTTCAAGCTTATTGATAACGGCGTCTGGCCTGCGCTGAGTTGAGTTGAGTTGTTCACTCCGACCATGGCCATGACCACGAGCATATCGCCGGGCGTTCGTTCAGTCGACAAACATCACACCGAACCCGCTTGGCTCGACATTACTCTGCAACAACGACGACAACAACAACAAGAACAAGAACAAGAACGTGTCTTTCTTTCCACATCACCTTATTTGCTTAATTACACATTCTCATTTCCTCCCTCACTCGAAGCAGTCAATCAATATCTACGTCCGTTACACCCGTCGGGTCTGGTTACATGCAGCCCAAAGCATGCACGGCCCTCTCGACATCCTTCCCTCCTAAGTTATTCGTCATGTTATGTATGCCCCATATACCCGATTCCGATTCTTCTCGGCTTTTCCACAGCGTTCCCCCATTTGAGCGGTGATTTGATGACGACCTGTCAGGCAGACTATTGCGTGTTTGGTCAACTGCCAACTACAATTACATATCACTATTACTATTAATTGCCACCACCGCCCCCGGCCACCGCTACGACGACTGAACTCACAATTTCCACGACGACCGATGAACGACTGACGAACGAAGGAAAAGAAGAAAAAAAAATTAGAAATAAAATGACCGTCCCGCACAGCCCGCACAGTACCCCGTCCATTGAGTACGGGGCTACTAAGGCTACATCCATGCGTAGGACACGGGAGGGGGAAGGGAAACGAGGACCCCAGGCTCACTTCAGCATACGGGGGCTATGGAACACAGAGCACGGAATATACGCGGAATGCGGAATACGTAAGTGTATTACCTAGGTGGCTAGGAAAGGGGGGGTAATATGTACGGTTCGCGACGCATGGTGTCAGGTCGCGTCACATCACATTTCATCGTCTCATATCATGTCCTGTCGTATCATAACCCATCGCTACGAGAACAGACGAGGAAGGCACGTAGATGGTTTCACGAAACAGAGTTGGAGAATGTGTGTGTGCAAAGAATAAAGCCATCTTTCTGGAGGTTTCGTGCGCACCAAAGTCTTCCTGGGTATTAATTCTCATCTAATACCATGTATGCGTGCATGACCTGCACTTTTTCCCTGCGCCAAACGACATTCTCCTGTCTCGTTCGTCGTGCACATTTCATTTCCGAGTAACCGCAATCGCTATGTAGTTGCCAAATGCCCCAAGTCACCAGGCAAAACCACCAGTCCCCTTCTTCATGGCTTCGTCATTCAATGGCAAATCCCTCGCTCCGTGCCTTGATAATCTTTTCAAAGCTCACTTCCTCATCCATCCCTCCCTCTAACAGCCTCACCCCCGTCACATCCACATCCACGAACGTCCTGCTCATCTCAAAATTCACTGTCATGGGGAAGAATTCCGCATCGTCATCAGCCTGGGCCTCGAACTCGAAACTGCCCGAGCTATTCTCGGCGTCGATTGAGCCTATGGTCCATTCTAACGAGTCTCCTGTGACTTGATATACGGCGTCAAAAGATGAGACACTGGGTTCTGATGAAGAGTAGGGGATTGTAAGCGTGACATCGCGGAGGGTTGTTGAGGAGGGATTGGTGAGTTCGTATTCGATTGTGACAGTATAGGTGCCGTCGGACGAGGATTTATTCACCCAAGCTGTCAATGTCAACGGAAGGACATCGGCGTTGTGGTCTGCCGGGGCAGTGGCGCGCCATCTCAACACGCCGATACTATTGTTGGGGGGAAATCGTTTGGAGGTGTCTTTCAACTGGATGAGCTTTTGGCTGGTGAAGAGATTCTTGTCCACGTTCGGATGTGTGCGAAATTGAGCTTTCAGAGGTCCTTCGACAGCTTGAACAGAAAGTGCGAGCTTGGTCAAGGCTGAATCTGTAATTCTCAGTTGTAGATCCCCCTTGACCTCCATTGACTTCAGGGCGCCTTCTCGGGAAAGTTTGGCCGACAGCGTCTCGGTAATGGAGATCAGAATAGGTGTCGAAGGAGACGAAAGGGTAGTGTCGTGAGTGTTCGCCGTCGGTAGCCCGCGGACAGGTAGTTCCGTTGAAGGCTCGGCTGCAGGAGACTCTTCTGTGGCTATTTCCTGCTGAACTTGCGCAAAGGCATTTGAAGTCTTGGATTTCTTGCCCAGTTGCATACCCTTTGTGGAACGTGCGGCGAACTTGCTGGCAAGTTTGTTCTTTTCGGCTTCGTAGGTATCGTAAGAGGACTCTGGACGGGCCGGAGGCGTATAGACAGGCTGCTGAGGCATTTTTGGCGCGACTCCACGTCCGTACGCGGCAGAGCGTGCAGCCTCCTTCCGCTGAAGTTCAAGTTGTTTGGCCTTGCGCTTCCGCTCTTCGGATGCTTCCAGCTCTTTGTTGCGGGCGATGATTTCTTGGATTCTCTCTTCGTGGGACTCCATCTCTAGGAAGGTCTTGATTTGGCTCAGGGAGAGGTTCTCCCTGTAGCCCATAGTGACGAGTTCGTCGAAGGCGGAGAGGAGTTCAAAGGCATTGCGGAGGATTTCTCGTTCGTCGGGTTTCTTGCAGATGGATGTGACGACCTGGCCGAACAAGTGTAGACTGTCAATGTCCTGGAGAATGTTGGACTGTTTGTTTGTAATGAGGACAAGATACAGTTCGTCGAGCGGCTGGTAGACAAAACGGACATTCTCTTGCTCGACGGTTGTGTGTTGCGTTGACGAGTCGGCGAGCTTGGGGAATGACGCGAGGAGAGCCTCGATGCGAGATTTAGGAATCTCTCTGAATGAGCGGGAGAGGAGTGGCTTCCCGCCTCGCGTACATATTGAAGCAGCGAGGACAACCATGATGGAGATGGAGGGCGGTGTTAGTTGGTGGACGGTTATGAGGAAACGGGGGGAAATGTGAGGCCAGATGTCCCGATGCGGATATCGCAGTTGCCAAGACGAGTCTTGAAAGCTGCCCCCAACTCATCCCCGTTTGGGACGAAGAGTGGTGCCGCCCTATCTACCCGGTACACGGTATGCTCTCGCGGGCTGGGTGAGAGCTTGGTGAGAGCTCGGTGAGAGCTTGGTGAGAGATACTTCGTACCAAGCTCGTACCTGCGACTCACATACGACTCACCATGCTTATTTCTTAGCGGATGGTTCATACCCAGACGTGACTCTGTCCCAGCGAATTTGTCCCAAGAGGCATAGATCTCCATGACCTCCTGCCCCGGGAGGCTGCGATTCTGGGATGCCCGCTGTCGTAGGAGAAGTGTCCTACATGCTCTGGCCCATAGTTTATGCCCTACGGTTTCTTCATTCCTTCGACTACGAGCATCCTAGCCGAGCGAGTGCTCCAAGGCATACCAGCAAGGAACTATACCTAAGCAAGCCAAAATCTCGTCTTTTCACATCTATGCCTTCTGCATGAATATGTAGCACGCGTCTGTCAGGATACGTGCGCTTTTTGAATGCTTGTTTCGGAAACTCTCAAGTTGTAATTCGACGCTTTTCTCCTGTTCGACCGACACCATGGATGGTAAACGGGCCTCCGTCAAGCTGGATGTCTGATATTCCGAGAATATATCAAGGACACCTCCAAGGGTTGTCACTATCAATTGTTGCATCAGAAATAGGTACCTTAGCCGTACTTCCATCGCCTCGCTTAATCTCGGCCATAACGTTTTTGAGGCCAGCTGAAAAAAGTTCGTAAAAGAAGTCAGAGGAAGTATTGATTTCAGGTTCCCAGACACAAAAGCTGGATTCAAATCTGCAAGCGTCTGGAAAGCATTGACCACGGAGCGACTTGAGTTTGAACCGCCGGTAAAGAAGCGCGCGTTTTCCTCCAGGCTAATATCTGGTGCGACCGCGGTTATGATCTAGAGAAGGCAATAGCTATTGACCAATTGACATGTGGCTTGCGGGCCATAGTGTGTTGATATGTGCGTATTGGCTTTTTGAAGCTTGTCGTTGGGTTTGAGCAATCCAGTGTTCTGCGTGACCCATGATCGGAAATCCAGTGATAGGACAGCCAAATCCTGAGCCCGAGAGCCCAAAGCCGTGAGTCGCGACTGTGTGATCTTATGAATGACAGATGGGCGAATGCTGCCCAAGGTGCTCAACTCGGATCTCCCTGGTGCAAAACGTGCCTAACGTCCACCCGGAGCCTTGTTAAGGACCAATGATGACCCGAACAGAGCAATTACTGCGCGTTCGTAAGCGTCTGTGAATTCTCCATGAATGGTCTTGATATCAAACCGAGGTGAACGTGAGAGTATTGGCAAGGCTTCTGTGACGGTATCGCTTAGTTCATAGGTGTGAAGCCTGTAGTATGAGCCGCCAATCTTCTCGAACTTTTCAGCGAAAACCTTTATTGTCGATGTGCGATACACCTTCGTTACTGTGTTGAAACGGATCCACGGTGTGCCCGGTGCCGTTGTTGGTCCAATGTAACGGATGAAGACATAATCTGAATCGTCCAAATCGCTCATTTGTAATGTCCAGGCATCTAACAGACCGAAGTCTTACCCATCATAACGAATGCTGCCCATGATGGCCTGAAGAACTATGTTGGGTAATTGCCAGGACCGAAAATAACATACCGAGGCAGGTGATAGCCTAGACTTAGTCGTAGATTCATTGATTCGGAAGATCAGGGACAGATCGCGATCAGAGACTATAGTTGATTTTGTGTTGAACCGTTGGAGAATATCTGAATGTTGTTCTGATGTGTCGAGTTGAGGAAGGAACCGTTCCAAAATCGTGGATATTAAAATATCAGAATCAACCTGCGCGGCTTCTAATTCTCTTTTGACACGCTTGTAGATCATCCTCTAGAGGTTTCGATAACATGTTTCTCCATCATCGCAACATCTGGATCCAACCGACGAAGTGCGACGGGATTTCGTGTAGTTGCTCCGCCTGAGCGCCAATAGAGCGGCCACATGGCTTTGTTCTCAGACTGTATTCCTAGTCAGCCAACCATATATAATGCCAGAGGCAAATACTCACACATTCTGTGGTAACATTTTCTCGAGATTAACCTGGTGCGAATACGTCAAAGGATTTCCGCGGCCGAGCCATGTCGGGCAGAATCACTCTGCGCCACTTTCGGAAGCGCCTGTCCAGAAGCAATTAGAACTTGCGATTGGGACCAACAACATGGTCTTGGGCGTGACCGATGTATTTAACGCTAGGCTTTGCTAGAATCATGGTTTGCGGATTTTTGGCGAAATTGAAAAAAAAAAAAACAACTTTTTAATAAGGAATCACTTGTTTACGCGGCGTTAGTGACGTAGTTAAGGCGCGTACTACTGAGTAAGGTTATGCCACTCGCGCAAGAATGGCAAAAAGCCCAGCCAAACAGCAGTGCAGCCGTTCACGCGGTCATAGTGATATTTGTGGTCAGAATCTCAGTGTCAATATAAGTTAAACACGCGAACTAAACACTGACGCTTCATTCCGAAACAACGGTGAATTTGTGTTCAAAGAAAAAAAAAACAGAAAAGAAAAAGAAAAATTTTCCTCGACCGGGAGTTGAACCCGGGGCTGCTGGGCTTTACATCGAGTTGAAAACCAGCTATGTTACCGTTACACCATCGGGGAGAACACGATTTCTTGACCTAATTTTACCAACAACAAATTATATCTTCGGTTCTGTTGTACTCTCATTTCTTTCCGCTTAAATCAATACTATCCAAAGTACACAGATTACCGAGGTGTCTGAAAATACACCCGTTGCCATACCTGTGAGTGAGCCCCATGACTGGGCAGAGAACTTCGCTATTGATGGCAAGACGCTCATATTCCTGCAGAAGGCCATCTCATTCCACTAAGGATTCGCAGTAAAGTCTTGGGAGAAAGAAATTCGGAACTACAACTCGATGCAAAAGCTGTCAAAAGCGTTGTTCTTATAGACCTCTATCTAACAAAAGGGCTGTACTCAGCTGAGGTTCAACCTGAGTACACCATCACACGGCAATGCCAGTAGTGATAGTATCCCATCACGGCTGAGAGCCCTAGTGTGGCCGGCAAACATAGCACAGTTGACAATCTTGAGAACGATCCTGCGAGTGAAACCGTAAAGATCAAATGCCGTGACACTATTAGCTGTCCTGACAGACTGTACAATAGTATTAGTACAGTCACATGAATAGGTCAACAGAGAAGTTCAGTTACTTAGGGTGTAGCCAGCCTTTGATAGTCATTGCTTGCTGCTCCACCGGAATTTATACCTAGAAGTCGTTGCATTCTGTATCTAGATCCGATCACCACTGATCGGAGGCTCGTGGGAGGAGAGTTCCCCCATTGCCCTTGCTTCATATTCTAATGAGACAGCAGGTAGCCATGGCAATAGGAGGAGGCAACAGCCGTAGGAACAGGAGCATCGAATTGCCTGTATAGAGGCTCTCTGGACAGAGCCAGTTGATAGAGGACAGAAACATCGATCACATCCAACTGCTGCTGCTTGGATGGCGCTTCGGAATGAGCCTCACACGAGTCTCACCCCTGTTGAGGGTTGTGCCAGCGTGAGCCAAGGTGGCGTTAACCTAGGCCGCAATGAGGTGAACGAGGTGAGTGTGAAGAGGCAGGGTGAGTAGCTTTTAAAAGCAGTGCGGCGTAGTGAGTCGCACTTGAGCTCGCAGCAAAGTCTCTCCATACTCTCGGCGACAGGTGCTTACAAGTTATCGGGAGTACTGCTCGCCCTCTTTCGGGACAGGGGTGACGCCGCCCTGTGCCCACCCCTAACCCGCACGGCTGAGCCCCCTCGCCCGTGTCTCGTCGCGTGTTGCGAGACCATCTGGCACCTTGGCACCTGAGTACCTACCGCTCCCCGGGTGCTTCTTAGCTGTCACCACAGGCATTCTAGATAGCCGCCTCGTCGCCTGCTTAGTCAATGTCACGCCCCTACGATACCCAGACATGACCATACATTTCCTTGCCTCTTCCTGTCTGACGCTACAGCGTCTCCTCCTCTCGGAGTGTTGATGTCTGCTCTCCTGCTGGCCTGGAATCCACGAAAGCAAAGGTAATTCGATAGCACGTGGTCCTCGATGAGAGGTATGACCCATCTGAGTCTCCCTATGAACTGCCTAGGCGAGCCAATGAGGTGCAAACGGACAGGATCGTCGGGGACGGTGAGAGGCCGGAAATCTAAGACCAAGCTCCAGAAGCTTTATTGTACTGGCCTGTAGGGCGCTCCGGAAGACAAGGTACATCGTGCAGAACTTCCTTGTGCAACATCACTGCCCCTCAAGAGATGGATGGCAAACGAAGGCTGCTCTACAACCTTAGTTCCCCCTTCCCCCCTCCTCCCCGGAGATTCCCCAGATATCCCCCACAAAATCCGCTGCTGTGGTAAAGCGTGCCCGAATCTTTATTTGCGGGGTGGTCCTTGGGATTGTTCGACCTGCTAACCAGAACACCACACGTCCTCCTTTTCGACATGACTACACATGATGGATTCACCTTTACTTAAAAAAACTTGAAAGATAACGTCAATGGCGACAACCGCTGTAAAATCGCGCAGGCAACTAGAGAGTGAGAACGAAGAACTATTGAGGCAAGTTCGAGTGCTCCAAGCAAAGTGTCGATCGCTCTCCTCTCACAATGAAGAATTGACCTATCTCTATCTGAGCTCTGCGCGCCACTTCCCAGATACCACGCCCGCGAATGGCGGTGACCGACGGGATGTGAGCACAAGAGGAAAATCAACCTTCGCGCCTTTGGAACTCGGCTTTGGGGCGACGGCCGGAGGACTTTATGAGGAACCTCCCTTCCCGCCGGATATGCAATCTCAGTCCCCTAACACCTTCGCCAATTGTCAAGCCAATCTCTCTGTACGCGAGGGGGCTGTCACACAGGGTGGAGTGGTCCAGCATTTTCCAAATCCCGAATCAAAATCTGGCCACGCCCTCTTTGAGTGCACGCAGAAAGATACTCGCTTGTCAGACTGTGCCTTCCCACAGGATTTCGATCAACACTGCTGGCAGTCCCATGATTGGGAGCCGAGGGTAACACCCGAAGATTACTCAATACCAGAGACGGTCCTCATCAATGATGCTTTGGAGGCGAACGCGGCTTATTCCCCGACCATGCAACGCTCGGCCACAGGGTTACCTGGTTGGACGTTGCAGGACATCGTGTGGCCGTTACAGCCCGATGCCATTGCAGGTGATGTTCAAGGAACTGCACCATTCATACCTGCTGAATGTCTTAATCCCAGCGTCGACAACGGTGCAGGGAAGGACTACGACCAAGCTCGACAACCGACGCCAACCCCAATACCAATGCTGCGCCAAATCCGAGCAGTCCCAGATCTAAAAACCGGCTTTAACACCAGCCTACCCCGAGGGAAACTGGATCAATATATTACTGTCCTACACCAGGTCCTCGGTCGCCTGGAGCAAAACTCGTCCTTGACCCCTAAGCGTCGAGCTAAGGTCTGCGCGGAGGGCGTCCTGTGGGTAGTGCGCGAGGCCTGGCCGGAAGCCGAACACTTTTGGAAAACCACAGCTTCGTTCAAAGGGTTCATGCAATCCGAAATGTGGCGCAATTTCCCCGGCGAGGCAGTCTACGGCAAGATGCATCCGGCTTACCGCCCAACGCCTCGACAGCTTGTGACCCCCCATTCGCCGTTGATCGACTGGTTGCCGTGGCCGGAACTCCGGGAGAAGCTGATCGAGCAGCAGGACTGCCTCGACGTGGACCTAGTCTGTAAAACGGCCATCCAAAATGTCGTTGCACATCGAATCTCGTTATTACCGCAAGGTCGCAAGAGATCGGCCCAGGAAACCGAGTCCACGGGAATTCCGAGGACGTCCGAGTCCAGAAAGTCGACGGCCACCTCTTTCCGAGTCTGGGACCTCTGTCTCCTGGAGGAAAAGGCCGGTTTCGGGCCCAAGGGCGCGGGCCTCGTCTATACTCCCAAGTCGGCCGCGGTGCAGGCACTAGAGAAGGCATATGGCCTCGAGTATGACAATTTCCAGACTCAGAAGCTGCACCCCAGCTTCTTCGAGACATTTCCGACGTTATTCGCAGGGAGCACCGTGTCGGGGCATGCGGTGCAGGAGTTGCCCGTCGCAGACGAGCATGCAGGGAGAGATATCTTGGGATCGCCGCAAGGGCTCTTGCCCGGGGCTGGGGACAGGTTGCAGGCCGTGGTTGACCGAGCACTCGAGGCACTATGTTGACCTGAAATGTGGTGAAGAGTATATTGGGAGAACCTAGCAAAGGTTGTATACGTACGGGTTGGCGGCGAATTACAGTTCATGGAGAGACGGGAGAGGAGGGGGGGTTTGGGTTCCGACGCTGGCAGGGGCATTTCCGACGTCTGCAAAGCTGTGTAAAGCCCAACAGCCAGACCATGACAAAACCAGATCATTATGTGTATAATACATAGTGCTGTGCAATTTGTCCGCGGGGCCCTTTCCTCGGCTCAGCCTCTGCGTCATCGCGCTGAGTTTCAACCGTCCTGGAGAAGCCTGCCAACGTTCCCAGCACAAACTTTCCTCCCCACGACAGCCGGACTGTTGGCTAGGCTGAACGTGCAGAACTGACCAACCCCGAGTGCATCATGCGTTGGTTGCGCTTCCGCATTGCGTCCTTCTCCAGTGACATTTCGGGTGCGAGTGCTCACGAGTCGAACGGTGCGGCGACAGGAGAGACGGTTAGCAGCACGGCCGGGTCTGGTGGGAAAACCGGCACACGGAAAGCGTCCTGCTGTTCCAGAGAGGGGACCTGTAGTCCCCGTACATTCCCCCTACATGGGATGAGATCGAATCATCAAACGGGCAAGGCCGGCTCGAATGATCGCAAACAGAATGTCTATATATCCAAGTCAATATCCGCGACTCTGTGCATGGATGCTTGGGGTAGAAGCAGCACGACGCCTTTATTCCCTCCGTGGTGCCGATTTCTTTCGAGGAAAGGCCGTCTCGCGGTCAGTGTGGCCCAGCCAATATCGTTTCTGAGCATATCCAAAGGGCCGCCTCATGTTTCTCATTACCTTAGCAAATAACTTATTACCCAGTGCGGGTCTCAGCTGGGGGGGAGCCATATGGCGTCTGGGCTGCGTCTTCCTAGTGGCTCAGGTCGGCTGGATCATATATTGTCGCTTCTTCCACCCCCTCGCCGGTATTCCAGGCCCCTTTCTTGCTTCCTTCTCTCGCACGTGGATCGGGATGGCCGTCGTAGGAGGTCGAGCTGAGCATCTCCAGCGATCTCTACACAAAGACCATGGTCCCCTCGTCCGCATCGCCCACGACGAAGTCTCAGTGGCAGACCCGTCGGCCGTCAAAGTCATCTACAATATCAAATCCGGGTTCACCAAGACGGATTTCTACCCGCCATTCGCTCCCAACATAAGTCCACACGGTGACCATTTCACACAGCTCGACGAGGCCAAGCACGCCGAACGGAGGAAATACGTTAACGCGGTGTACTCTATGTCCACGATCTTGGAGAGCGAGACGTATATCGACGCATGTACGGATGTCTTTCTCGAGAATATGGCCCGGTTCGCGGAGACGGGGTCCAAGATCAACTTCGGCGAATGGATACAGTGGTAGGTGTGAAGAGAAAAACCTCTCTTGGCCCCTTTGGAAATTGGGGAAGGATGTACTGACGCTGGAGAAATCGGTAGGTACACCTTCGACGTGATCGGCGAACTGTTTTTTGGGCGTCAATTCGGGTTTATGCGTGATGAACACGACTACGGGCGATATATCCAAAGCTTGGACACGTTGCTTCCCGGGATCGCACTGTCGTGCGTACTCCCAGCGTGGCTACGGCCCTTCCATTCGACAGTGGGAATGCTTTTCCCCACGATCCGGGCCTCAATCCGGGGATTCGACGAGATTCGTGTGGCAGGGAGGTACTGGACCGATGTGCGACGGCAGCAGATTCAGACTGGCACCGTGGAGAGGGTGGACTTACTCGGGAAGTTCTTCCAGATCATGGAGAGCAAGGATGGGTGGGACATACGGGATATCCGGAATGAAGCGTGTGTTGCCATGTGAGTGCAAGCGAGCCCGGCCAGAACCGCCAAAAGGGACCAAATAGAGCGAGTGGGCTAATGAACGACGTCGCTTGGTCTCAGTTTCGCCGGCAGCGACACCACCGCCATCGCCATCCGGTCCATCTTTTACCACCTCATGCGCCGTCCAGAATGCATGCGAAAGCTGGTGGCGGAAATCGACGTCTTTGACAATCAGGGCCTGCTGTCCAAGCCCCACATTCGATACACGGAAGCAATGAAAATGCCCTATCTCGTGGCCTGTTGCAAGGAGGGAATGCGGCTCCATCCAAGCGTCGGCCTTGGGATGCCGCGCCACGTACCTCCCGGCGGGGCGACCATTGCTGGTCGGTATTTTCCTGCTGGCAGTCGTGTGTCCATCAACGCGGCCGTCCTTCATTATGACAAGTCGATCTTTGGGCCCGACGCGGCGGAATTCAATCCGGACAGATGGATCCAGCGCGATGCGGCCCTGATGGACCGACACATGCTTCATTTCGGCGGAGGTTCGAGGACTTGTATCGGGAAGAACGTATGTTGTTGGCATGTGCCTTTTCACATCTCCCGTGACAAACCTGAGCGGGTACTGATCAAGACCTCGCTCTGCACAGATATCGATCGCTGAGATACACAAGCTCATCCCCAGCTTCCTGAGACGGTTCAATATTGAGCTCGCCGACCCCGATAAAGATTGGAAGACTGAGAACTTTTGGTTCAACAAGCAGACGGGCATATACGCGTATGTAACGGCCAGATAGTACTCTCAGTTTGGGGGCAAGTAGTCAAGTCTCGAAATTGATCGGTGAGGTGATCCGCCGGCTGGCCGGCATGTCGTTCAGGAGGATGAGATGGATGCCCAGTGCAGAGGTGCCGACTGAATGAAAACACCACCTGGCAGCAGTCCGCAGCAGCGGGAGATGTGGCAGTTGTTAGTCTGTTCGTCGTCACGTTTCTCGGTGTCGACAATACTATTCTGCTGCGGCTCGAGGGGTTTGATCTGGCTGTTCAACCTGTCCACGGCGTTTCTTCTGATGGGTTGTCGTACAACTGAGTTGCAAATATTGACATGTTTGACACGGTTTCTGCTCACTACACCGGGCCTTCATAATGGCACAGTTGTCGCAGGCTGCCGTGATCCGATGCGTCGGGGACTCCGCAGTGCTGCTATCTCGTGCAGCATGTAGCCGGACATGGCGCATCAGTGCGTCCTTTCGGGTAAATCGATAGTTGCAGAGCGGGCAAAAGAAGGGGCGTGCAGTCGCATGGCTAAGTTGATGGCGATCTCGGTGCTCTTTGCGCTTGAACGATTTATGGCAGGCACTGCAGGAAAACTCGGGCATCTCGACTGAGGAGCACACAGTCAAACTGCCCGGGCAGCGGGGAGAGGGGGGCCGGATAGAAAGAAAGTGTCACGATACCAGACGAATACCTAAGAAAGAATTGACGAGGAAGAGGACGAGGACGAAGAAGAGGAAGAGGAGGTTTGCACTCAGACGAGGTTGTGGCGATGAGGTTTGGTTTAACATCTGTTTGGCTAATCTGCTTACGGAAGTGATCACGGGGGCAGAGCAGTACAGAGCAGGGCAGAGTTCCCGAGATCATACTGAGCCAGTCTGGGAGAGGGTGGGAGGAGGGCGAGATACGAAGTGGGCAGATATCTAAGTACGAAGCGGCGTGGTGGGCGCGAGTCCCAAAGGAGCCGCGAGTAGTTTTGCCAAGGCTGTTTATGCCAAGCCCATGCAGTGAGCATCGACTTCTGCGAACTACATATGGAACAGGTGCGAGGCTACCATTCCTAAATTCAATACGTCCATCCTATTTTGCCCCTAGCTTGATGTAGCCAGCAGCACTTTGTAAGTCACAAATTAACATGTATGCCCTATTGCACCGAAGCTACGCAGCAAGGAGTTGCGCGTTGATGTCGGTTCGACGCTTCCGAACACCATAAGACGTGCAGATATGTATCCAGCAGAGACACAGCAAACAAGGCCATAGAAGCCACTGGTCTTGGATCAATACCCTAGGTGTGTAGAAAGGAAGAACTCCGAACAGGGTGGACACAACAACTGCTCCCGGACGACGCCGCTTCGAAAACTCCCTGCAGGTAGTCGGTACGTCGCGGTGCTTTTCCCCGGCGGTGCTTTCCTCCCCATATTGTTATGTTTTCATTTTGTTCCCAAGTCTCTGCTATGGTTGATTGACGCGCCCCGGACACGCCCCGAGGCATATCTCGTATCACGTCGCACAGCCCCGTGGACATTCTCGTTTGACATACTGTTCATACCTAGCACCGCCCACCAAAGGAACTCTCCATACTGGCCCATAAAATGCTGAGAAGACACTATTCGTATCGTGGTGGCGGCGCAGTATAGGCGCTAGCTATGCTCGCAGGCCGCTGAACTCCTGCAACGGCGTCCGAGTCACTGTCCCAGTGGGTAATTGGAGCGCCTTCCGCGTTGCCTAGCAAAGTCTGGTTCTGATCCGGGGTCGCCTCGTACCCGCTGCTCTCGTAATATAGGTGTTCTTTCCGTTTTGGCGTCTCGAGGGTGGAGGCACCATTGATGGCGGTATCTTCTTCGGGTGGGATTTCGCCATCGGCGTTCGTGGCCTCTTTCGCGGCGCGTACGCGTTTGTACTTGAGATACAAGGGCCATACAGCCGCAAGGATGGCCAGGATGAAGGCGATGATGCTGACGACGAGAACAAATATCAACCAGGGTTTACTTAATGCCTTCTTGTCATTCGAGTTGTTGTCGTGTACAACCACAATATTGGTCTTCCTCCGGGGAGCCATTGGGAAGTTTTGCGTGGAGTTGGTCTTGACGTGAACCAGACCAAATATCTCGGCTTGAGCGTGACAGAGCGAAAGCGCCTCCCCTTGCAGTTGATTGATGGTTTGATTGCCGTAAGTCTCTATTCCTTATGATTGCAACAAATGCAAGCCTTTCGTCTTGACACAGCAGAGGACTCGGGATGCCTGATAGCTGGTAGAACCGGTCAAGTGCTGCTTCCAAGGCCTCGTCCGCCTTTTAGCCAAAGACTAAACTCTAAGAGATCAGCAAGGTGGATGGTGAACGCAAGAAGGAGAGAAGGGATTGCAGGAAAGCAAATTGCTCATAAACAGGAGAAGAGCAAAGGGGATTTTGGACGGAGAGAAAGACAGAAGAGAGCAACGAGCGTGGGCTTCCTGTGACACCGTGATGGAGCTGAAAAGTCATCCGTATTTGCAAGGTCATTATGGGATTCTTGAGGTGCCTCTCCATTCGTGGCATTCAAAACTACGAAGTGTTGTCGACCTGAAGCGACGGCCGAGATACCGGAGCTGCTGTCCAGAACAGTGTTGGCAGGATTCAAGACCTGGAAGAAGCGATTCCTGGAGGAATCAAGCCCTGGATTTAGGGGCCAGCGTATCTCTTGATCTCCTTCCATCAAGTCCGTGCCTGTTGAGCAATCGGCGAGCATATGTTCGTTGCACGTGGTCACAAGATCACGTGACTGTGTATATAGCCACTGACCGTTTATCCCAGCGGGCACAGTCTGAGTGTGCTTCCGCAGTACCGAGTACGCGGTACTGTATTAACATACTCGGTACTCGTAATGATACCATTTTTAGGTCCTAGATGGGAACGCGTCTTATTCAGGAATGGCGCGACATAGACAATCACGCGAGGTTCGGCTATATACCAAAATCTGGAATAGGGGAACCCCAACCAATCGTGACAAGAAACTGCTCTGTCATCCGGCCTCGAATCCCGATCAAGATTCCGCAATCCTATTCTTCCTCGCAATTTCGCGGTCCTACTCGTGTGTGCAGCTGAGAAGGCGGACAAACTCATCAGGAAAAATGCGCTTTGGACCGATCAGCCATGGGAGTTCCCGCGGTACCCAGTACGTGTACTGGTTCAACACGAAGCCAAGATGTGGAGAAGTCGCGAATCCTCAATCCTCAACCAGTTAACGAGCTGAGGAGATTGGCTTGTCTCTTGGTGTCTTCGGAGCTGATAGCCAAACCCGAGGATAAGCAGAGGCCCGGCGGAGTTTTCGAAAGCTTGGGAAGTTTTCTGTTCCTCGAGAGCCGACGGAACAGGGCTTGATCCCACTAATAGATCGATCTTTTCAACCCCTGCAACCAGACGACACCGTCGAATGCATTGAGACAGAAATAAATGGGCGCTCAAGCGAGCTCAAGGGGAGCCAAAACAGCATTCGGAGCTGAATCTCAAAAGGTGTGTCCACTGTTGACCGCTAGTACTTCGTAACCGAAGCCGGCCCAGCACAGAGAGCAGACAGCAACAACGAAAATTAGCCACTCGAAGACATCGAAGGCCAAGAAGAAGCTTTGTAGGGAGGGTCGAGTGGGTAGCGAGTGGTGGGAGGCTGGTGTAGTTGCCCCACAGCCAAAGCATCCTCTCAGCCATCTGTCTTAGCTGACCAAGTGTGTAGAGACCAAGCCACGATGACAAGTATGAGATCGAGAGACTCCCAGCTACCAGGCAGAATTGGTCTTTACCTCCATAGCTCCATACAGGAAATAACAACATGCTTTCATCCTGCAGAGGCCCATAAGCTTCCGGTGAGGACATCCTGAAATCGGACGATCGGCGTTGGAGGCTGAGTTGACCTGACGCGACGACGCGTGAAGCGAGAGACCATACCGAAGACCGCTTCCCGTCCGCAATTTCTCGCTCTCTCGAACATCCTAATTGCAAAATGCCATATGCGAGCTTCCTCCCAATCTCAACTTCTTCAAATTTCCTTTTCCACCTTGGGCTTCAATGAAACGCCATATCCTTCGAGCCATTTCCGAACCAACCTGAGGCGGTACCGCCTGTAGCCATACGTGATAGCCACAAAGAGGATGTTGCTCCCAATGAACCAGCCGCCCATGGCGCTGGCGATGCCGACTGGGATGACCATTGCGTTACACTTGTTGAAGCAAGCCCCTATTGCAGACACGACTACAATCACTAGTACAATCGTCATCGTGCCAGTCGCTATGATCATGGCCATGGAACCCGGATGTTGAAGGGTTGGAGTGAATACGGTTCTTGTTTCAAGCTTTGGGCCATTAAGTCCACCTAGACAGTTAGCTTTCGGGTTGTCGGTGCATTTCGATGTCAAAAGCATGTGTCAAATACCACGGGACCACGCGCATACTGTCCAGTCACGCAGCGAACGTTGACTGTCTTTTCAAGGGCTGGAAACTAGAGACCAGACTTACCACATCGGAGATGGAACTTTGGTCTCTCGTGCCCTATATCCCGGGCTTCAATCGCAGATCCTCCAACTCTGCACCTGTCATTGACCGACTGTGGAATTGAATGAGCAGTGTTCCATTGCCTTGTTGTCCAGGCAGTGATAGGACAAACAAACTGAACGAATTGTTTACCCGTCGATTTCTCAATCAAACCCAGCCGTGCTCCGCGGCCAGTATAGCCGCCTAGTCCAGCAGATCCCGTCGACTTGTCGATCAGATATAACGTGGCTCTTTGGTCCTGAAGTTGGCGTTCCGCTCGGGTATAATACTCAATACGCTCATCGTGCGACACTTCGACCCCATAGTCCGAGCTATCCTCCACCCGGCGCTCAGGCGTGAGACGATGATGGGGCAAATGGTGCTCCACGACATATACGCCCATCACTTCCTCGTTATTTCCGCTGACTTCCAGCGTCTGAAGGTGTGGACATTGAAACCGTCCATATGGTATTGCCTGTTCGACCTTCAAGACTTGCAGTCTTGGTACTCCTTCGATATTCAAGGAGAGCCACCCATTTTCCAATACATCCATGGTAGCTCCCGGAAATAGCTCGTCGCCTTCAATTCGCGAAGGGATCCATGAATGTTCAGGATTCATCTCAGTGAAGCTCACATCCCTGTAGATGGACAGTTTCGAGTTAAAGAGCAAGGACAGTGGAAGCTTCCCACATCTTCTGAGAATTGCAGGCAATCCGTGCACTTCCACGTTGGCTCTGGAGAAGCCACTTGCATAGAAGTTGAGCATATTTGCGGTGATATGCAGAGGATCCTCACGGCGCGTGGCACTCCTGTGGATGAGAACGTTGTGGACGTGGATCAAAATGTCCGACTTCGAAGACCCGTATTCAGTCTTGTCGCTGTTTCGTCTCCCTGCGAGTGTCGCTATCTTTCGAATGTCGTTCAACGTGGATGCGTGAATGGTTTTGAGGGGTACCCAAAACGCGCTCTTTGGCGAAATCGGCAGCTTTTCTCCCATGAGTATACGATTGGCACAGGATGCTAGCTCCAAAAAGATCCCTAGCTGACCTTGCGCCGTCAATTTTGTTAGTTGCCGGTCAAGAGCGCGTCCGAAAAACCAGATTGGTTTTTGTGCTGACGTCAATTCTTGTAGGACTGCAGGGTTTTGTCCATTTATCTTGAAACGGACATTCCTAACTGAGGCACCCTCTTGGAACGTCCAAGCGCGTTGAGCCCACTTTGAAGATAGTATACTCGCCGACAGTAGATCTTCGGTGAGCTTGGTCTGCTGTTCGATTCCACGATCAATGACAAGGACTTGGTCAGCAGCTTGAAATATCGGGGTAATATGCCTGATTGCATATTCGCGCAGGTCGTCGTTCTTATTGTCGTGCCTGCGAGCTTTTCTGGGGATGCAGAGAGTATCGAGCCAGAAATAGAGTTTTCGGGGGCCGTAATGGGATTTGAAAACTCCCAGAGAGTATATCTTCTCTACTGGAGGTAACGCCTTTTGCTTCTCGTCCTCCAGTTTCTGAAGCTCCTCTTTAATGCGTCTTAGCTGACATCTTCGTATTTGATTTTTGTTTTGGTTACCCATTCCATCACTCCAAACATGTGAGATTGCAGTGAAGTTTTGTCGGCCAGTGTACGGTTCAATACCGATATTGAAATCCTTGCCTTCGGCTGAGGGATCAATGTAACAAATCGGTATTTTGCTCTCCGCGACCATGTCGCAGAGTTTTTTATGAAATTCTTGATACTGGACTGGAACTAAATCGTCCGTTTGATTCGGGCATTCTGGTGCATGCGCTGGCTCATACAAGATTTGTTCCTCGGTACCGAGATCATATGCCTCACACCTTAAGGCATACATGCATCTTGCGTGGTCAATTCCGGGCTGTCGAGTTCGAATGCGGCAAAGGTAATACGCGGTCGAGTAATCGTATTTCCGCAGAATTTGCTTTACGATAACAGGACACCATCCGGTGTGATTGAACCATGCCTGAAGAAGCTCTCCGGTCAAGCTACACGGCATTGAGCTTCCCGGAGAAAGCACATGAAAAAGTTTCACCTGTCTCTCGTCATCCCCATTTGGCCATGCGTGGCGGGCGTTGTCTGCAAGTCTGAGGCTCTTGGAGAACCAAGGTTCGTAGCGACGGCTGAGGAGACCGGCTTTGGGGGGCGTGATCTGATGAGCCGCTACAACCGAAGCGATATATTCCATCACCAGCTTAACACACAGGAAAAGCGCTGCCAATGTCTGGTCTTCCATGGTTCCGTTTTCCGTTGTTGATGCTCGCGAATCCAGTTCGTTAATTCGCACTGCGGCGAATTTGAGCCTGTTTTCAATAACCTTCACTTCTTGTAGCTTGCTGTACCAAAGCTGGAGCTTTCTTCGGAATCCGCATCCCCCAAGGTTATTGTAGCAGTCTATAATGTCTTCTCTTTTGGTGATACCGACTGTTGAGGAGAGGAGGCCGTATAATAGCCATTGTTGAGCAAGCCGTCGTTTCTGGCTTAGAGTAGCATTACCGAGTCGCTCGAATCCATTCTCTGTCAGATATTGGTATTCTTTGAACACCAAGGACGGATCTTCGAATTGGTCTGCTGTCCAGAGAGGATGCTCAATGTCCTCAAAAGTAACCTCGAATGGAAAATCACTTCGATTCTCATCCTTTTCTGGCGCGGGCAGCAGATTATCCAGCAAGGCTGGTGGGTTCTGATATGGATGTTGGACGCGCTCTCCGTGGTCTACCTGTCTTGGCATTGTCCTAGGATTGCTTTCACGGCGGGAAAAGAGGGCAGGTATTCCTCGAGATCTTCTGATATACGCTGTCAATTGATCGGTAGAGTAGCTAGTTTAACAAACCTTTTGCAAGCTGCTCAAAGCCTAGGTGTCGTGAATTTGGCAGTTGAGCCGGAATCAGTATCGCGGATCGACCAAACCGAATTCGCCCATGGTGGTACGCATCTATAATATGAGGTATTTGAAAATGATAGCGAATAGAAAAGGGGGTTCCAGGATGCAGACACGCCATAATTATTGCCTGTGCTGTGCTTCCAGCGCCGTAGGCCATACTGGAGAGATCGGGATGTACAGTGTATTTGCAGAATCAAAATTGAGTGGTACTACGCAACAGTGAGTAATTATACTGCCATTGGACGTCTGTTTGAACAATGGTCTGATATGGCACGAGAGTCGGCCAATGTCGAGGTCTGATGAGAGACGACATTCGACACCAAGTTTACGGACAGAAAACTTGCCCATGGAGTGTTGATGAGTGCATAAACCGCAAAGAGAAAGGCATCCAAGGAGCAGCCTTTATGAATTTGGGAAGCCAGAGTTGTTGCCTACCTCTCAGTGTGAACATGAACAACCCCACGGACCAAGGATTTCAGACTCCGTGTTGGATTTGGCGAGTTTGTCTGGACCGGCAGGCTACAGCCTTGGATCCAATAAAACTCTTCAAATTTCCTAGAAGCTGCATTGGAGATGGATATGTGACTGCGTCTAGATAGTACTGTTGACCACTGGCCGAAGTGTTGGTTCATGCGATCCGGAGGACAGAAGAGAGAACCAATACGCTAGGTTTGACGCACAGGTTGGGTGGAACGGCGTCGTTCGATTCGCTGGAGTCGTTGGCCTGCTGGGCGACCTGCAGCCATAGCCACAGTTGAAATCGAGCAAGCTGATCGCCGCTGGTCATTGTCTGTGTAGAAGCACTGGTTGGAAGTCGCAGTCTGTTGGAGCAAGGCGATACACAGCCACAATCGATTGAAGCATGTGATCTCGTGCTGTATTTCCTACGGCTCAAAGTGCTGAGGACATGTTCGAAACAAGTCTTTATCCAGGTGGGAAAAAGAGGTTAGGCAAAGCCGGTAACTTTGTTTGACGCTTTTGCAATATGTGTCTTCCCAGCAAGTTTGGACGCCTCAATGTCGTTTGCTTTGTCCTTGTTATTTCTATTATCGACCCTGAAATGGAAACTGGCGCTCAAAGCATTGGGAGCTCCTAGCCGGCGAGACGATAAGCGGAATCGCTGTGGCATATTCAATTTTACAGACGTCACTTTTGTATCGTAGTCGTGTGCTCTTACTTTTCGGGGACTGTAAATGGACATAAGTTCAGGCGCAGTGCCTCTTGAGAGTCATCACCATGGCCCGGAGCCATTTACTAACCTTTCTTTTCATCTCTAATGTTGAGGTGCGTTGTCAGCACAAGTCAACATTTTGCGACTGATTCCTGGCTGTGGTCTACGGATGGAAATTTGGACAAGTTCAGATTGCAGTAGCGAGTTTATGGTTGTCACATAAACAGCGCAAACAGCACAAATAGTACAAACATCGAAGAGGTCCTTCGTGGCGTACGTTAATCCACTTTTGGACACGACGCTTGGCAACGAGATTCGAGCGACTTCGACTGCAACTGCTGCTGCCTTCACATCTGCTTGTCCTTCTTTGACTCATCCGGCAAACACTGCGATGATTCAGAAGATTGCGAATCATACTTTAAGAGCAGGCTCTTAACGTAGAACAGTACATTCTTTCGGTCTCCCGATCAGAGCATCTCAACCCGAATGACCTTCGCCGCGCGACTACCATCCATTATCGCCCTTGGTCAGTCTGCCCGCACCCCCAATCGCCACAGCTCTCATTTCAACATTTCACAAAACTTTCGCACTGCAAAGAGTAAGAGGGGGCGGCAAACTTGGGACGCCTTCAAAGTTCTGTGGCACCTCCGCTACCCGTCGCCATGGCTGCGATCCCTTCGTTCGCCTTTCCAGACGTGGACGCGTCGCAGCTTGATGACAAAATGGACGTAGCCTCCTCGCCGTTTCGACAGCCCGACGATCTCGACATCGACCTCGATTCCATCCGCGATCCTTCCGTTGTTGGTTCTCCTCTCGACGACATGGTTGATGACCCTGCGGGACTTCCCAATACGGGACCAGATACTATGGAAGACCAACCTGACGAGACATTACTGGATGATGATATGAATGATGAACAGAACGCATCGATGCTAACTGAACAACCCGATCCGGACTACAATATGGATGCCTCTGTCGAAGAAGTTCAAGGTGATGAAGATGAAGATATCCTGTATGAAGACGAGGAGGATATCGGTATGGCTGTGCCAGACACTGAAGGGACTGCTAAGTACAACACAAATGAGGGTCAGCCGCAGGCCTATGAAGAGGTGGGAGCCGACGTGATTTTAGAAGAACTTGGGGATCAGCCGGAAAAACAGGACCACACCGATATAGGTACTAATCAATTTGAAACTCTCTCCGCTGGGGCACCCGTCCCTGTCGCAGAAGATGCAGCCCAAGATCAAGGAGAGACTCAGGCTTCAAGAGTTGAGACACCGGAAACATCTCAAGAATATCCAACAAACCAAGCCGATCCTGAACGAGAGCAAGGTGAGCAGCGTGATGATGCTGCGGAACTGCCAGAACAACATCAACAAGCTGAGGGTGATGATCATGTTCCCCCCTCCGAGGAAGGTAGTCGTCGTGGGGCTGACTCTCAGGCAACCATCGAAACAAATGAACCCGGGCCCAAAGACCAACATGATAACACGGCGAAGATCGAAGATAAAAGAGCAGCTCAGACCGTGCATCCTGTGACCCTTGTTTATCTCGAAGAGGAAATGTCGCTCTTCCCGCCCATGATCGGCGACGCTTCGAGTGTATACTTCCTGCCTGACGCTTCGTTGGCCTTTGAGCCTCTGGACAGACTGCTTGCAGCATGCCGTGAGATCTTGACTGGAACCCTGGATCACCATGATGAGCTTGTGCTTGACGTGCCTGGGCTAGGTCTGCACATCTGCGAGGACTCAAAATATGCTGCTCAGATTACACTGTCTCAGATCCTCGACGTCTATTTGCACCTATGCAGTAATGACGCAGGCCAAGTGTCTCAACCTCTATACTGTCACCTCAGCAGCCGAGTGAGCCTGGCGTCGCAATATGCCTACCTCTGTTCCGCGGGAGCCGAAGGGAAGACCTATGCTGAAATTGCTGCCGATCACTTAGATTCTCCAGAGCTGGAGGGCGACGGTGCAGGAGAAGATAATGACCATCACGAACATCAGAACGAAGGCGATCAGTCGCCTGCCAACGATGAAACAGAGGACATTGCGGAGAGTACGGACAATCCACCGACCACGGCCCGTGTTGGTAATGATCATCATCGTCTAGATACCTTCGACGAGGAAGAGCAGGCGGAGGATGATATCTTCTCCGACCATGCCACCAGGGGTACTACGCCTACAATTTCAAGTGCCGTGCTTGTCGCTACCGATACAGATCATCCCGAGGTTGTCGCAATCACAGAAGCGTCTGAGACTGCTGAACAGGTAGACCTGCTTGATAGAGCTGATCCACAAGATCATGAGTCAGAGTACGCGTACGACGAGACTCGAGAGCCCGAGAATAGTGGAACTGAGCAAGAGGGGCATCCCGAAGCTGAAGATAAGCTGCATGAGGGTCATGAGCATGAAACAAACAGTTCACATACTGTGGAAGCCGATTCGGCCGGCACGGACCTCCAGGATATCGATGCTACTGATGTCGAGGCAAAAGGGCTTGTACAATTCACCGAAGAAGCGGAAGATCTTTTCCACCATGGAGAGGATGGACTCGAGCCGGAAACCAGCTACGAGCCTTTTGAAGATGAAGAGCTCTTCGTCGCTCAGGATGAATATGGCGAAGGTCCGGCTGAAGACGTCTCCGCAACCATACAACAAGACCTAGCGGCGACTTTGCCAAATGCAGGCGAGCCGGAGGCGCCTGAGACTCGAACTTTGCTTCCCGCCAATGCCGAATCCTCGGGCCAGGACACGCTGCACCCAGCTTCGGCCGATGGAGTGGAATTGCCGGCCAATCTTAGTCCTCCCCAGACTCCTGTCAAAGGCACGCAAGCCAAAAGGAAGGCCGAAGACGATGATGAGCTCCTTCTTGATCTTGACACGCCAGACACAAAGCGTCGACGACCTTCATAGTCACTCATGTCGACCATGCTTTTTTCGTCTACACTTACTCGACCGACGCGGGCAATAGCATACGGCCCAACAAATTCGACACGTCGCAATACGACCCCCAACCCCGGCCAACTTTTGTCCACCTTACTAACTATGGCAGAATCTAACCGTCTAGGTTTCCCGGTAGGATCTATCCTCTTCCCTCACCACACCACGGCACCTTGTTTATGCATTTGTCGACACTCATACATTACTATGCTGCATTAAACTCCCTTCTATTCCCCTGTACTACTAACTATAGTTTTTCGCTTTCACGCTGGGCATTTTATTTGGGGATCCATCGAGGTTTACTTTGATGTTCAACCCTGTCTTGCTACGCCAGGCGTTTTATGAACCTGAAAATGGAAGATCGATCGGGAAGAACGTGTACAATGAGACGGTTGGAACTTACCGTGACTGCAACGGCTGGGTGGGAGGGTTTGCAGTTCACCGTAAGTCACAAGAGATGGGGAGGAGGACCGGGGTTGAATTTGTTGATGGGGAAGAAAGTCATGTTTCCATTTTGCTGCTGTATCATCCTTGGAGGGCTTTGCTGGGGTGTCGGCAAGGATGACTTTTGCTTTGAGCCAAGTGCAGAAGAGGATATCTGGAGGGCAGATCGAGAGAGCGAAAAGGGAAAGCACTATCTTGCACAGGGCGAAGGGGGGCAATTTTTGAACTCGGTGATTTGCCTGATTTTTGCAAATATGGACCGCAAGTTCCAGATCCAGGAATCAAGGCACCTATCTCTACTGAACAATTACTCGAAGCAAGAGCCCTTATTGTCACCTGTGACTTGTCCTTTGTGCCACGTGCCAAGCTTGTTATATTAGTAGATTCGTACTATTCGACACGAGAGAAGAATCGGGGACTCGGGACTCGAGAGTCGACTGTTTGAAAGAAAAAAAAAGGAGCATGTGAGAAGAGTGTTGCGCAACATGCAGCCAATCATCGATTAGCTATTTCGCAGCACGAATACGTGATGTACATACAAAACCCGCAACAGGCGCCCTCGACGAAACTTGTATTCCTGGCCACTTGGACCTTTTCCTAAGGGTATCCCCCCCCAAAAAACCCTGTGGTTCTGCTCAAACAAGTCCACGCAGGCGGTTCCCTCCCACGGTCCCCTTATTTATGCAACCCCTCTCATGCATGGCTATCGAGCACTTTGGGTTTGGCATCGATTCCCAAGACGACCTTGTGCTCAACAGGACCCATGCCGCTCGAGTCGCTCGACTCGTCGTCACTGGTTCTCTCTTCGGTGCATGCAACATCAGCGGCAGCAGCCTTGGATTTCATCAAGGGGTAATGCCCCTTGGTCTCCTTGAACCTCAACAGGACGAGGCCGGCCATGACGACGATCCAGAAGACGTTGTATCCGATGACACTGCCGTAGGTGGCGCTGTTCTGCCAACCCAGGATGGCATTGAAGATGCCCCAGCCGCCGCCACCGTTCAGCAGCGGGTTGCAGCAGTTCACGTGCCAGACGCTTGATCGGATGTCATAGGAGCCTGGCCCGGAGCCGTTCTCGGCGGCATCGCCACCGGTGGCCCGGTTAAACGCGTGGTTTTCGAAAAACCAGATGCTTCGCGAAAAGAGGCCGGCGGCGACGAGATAGAGGAAGCAGGTGCTGGCAATGAGAAAAAACTGCAGGGGTGCCATGTTGCCGCCCTTGTATATAATGAACCCCACCGCACAACCGGCAGCGAGGCCGCAGAATGTCGGCAAGGGAATGGAACTGGCCTGGACGCCGAGACTCACGCCCCCGATGAAGACTATGGCTTCGATCCCTTCGCGCAGAATGGTGATGAAGGGGAGCAGGAACATGGCATACTTCTCGGCCCAGGCCTTGAGGCGACTGCCGAGTCTGCCATGTCTGTTATCCTTGGCTTCCAGGGCCTTTGCAAGCTTGACCCTCCATTTGGCCTGCATCTTGGAGACGCGCAAGAGTGCAGCACCCATGACTGCAATGATGATGGAGGCAATCAGAGCGAAGATGCCCTCCCAGAGGTCCTCGGTGGTCCCCCAGGTGTTGGTCCCAATGCCATAAAATGCCCCGATCATTCCGCAGCCCACGATCAGACATATGACGAAGCCTACCAGGGTGCCGTACCAGATCTGCAAGACACCAAAAAGGTAAGGAAAACAGCGGCCGGACAGGGGCGATTGGGAGCTGCCACGTACCTGGTTGCGCAGTTTCTTGTACACAGTCTTGTCTCGATCTGGGCCCAGCTGCTGCCTGAGGAAGGACAGCAGGACCGAGACCACAATGGTGGTTTCCAGGGTCTCTCTGAAGACGATGAAGAAGACGGGCACGGCGAACACGTCGGGCATGGCGGGCTGGTGCGTGTGGATTGTGTTTTTCAACTCAGGTAAGCTATCAAGTCCAGGCCTGTCTTTTTTTTTGTTTCTGGCACCCTTTGTTCATCCAAGCTCCCCTCCCAGCAAAAGGTAGCAGAGGATATAGAGAGAGGATTGGGCGGGTTGGTGTGACGGGAGGATTGCATCTGATAAGATCAATTCTTTTCCCCCCCTCGAGTTCAGGTGATGGATGCATGAAGAGCAGGGAGGGTACTGGGTAACTCGGGAGTGGTCGAGGAGCCGAGTTGGGGCGAGTGGCCGAGAGGGCGAGTCGGCGAGTGGGGGGGGGGGGAACCGGGGGGGACCTGGGACCTGGGACCTGGGACCTGGGACTTGGGACCTGCACTGCGTTGCGCAATGCCATTTCTTGGCCACGAAAACTGTTCAATGCGATGGATGAAAAATTCCCAGACTGCACCCACCACAAGCACCACGAGCACTACTGGTTACAAGCACCACAGAATACCAACCCTCGTCGCCCAGTCACTCAGTCACTCAGTCGCTCAGTCAGTCCACTCGGCCGATGTCGCTCTCGTCTGTTCTACGACTCGACAACCCGCTCCTCTGGTCCGCCGTGAGGTTCCACCATCTTTTGTCTACAGCAAAGGCCATTGGAGAAGTCCGCTCGCCTGCTCACCTGCGCACCCACTCCCCCCCTGGCACAAACTTCACCATCGCCGCTTGTTGCCGCCCCAGCAAAAATAGTCGGTCGATTGGTCAACCTGCATCACACAGCTCATGAAAATGCTGTCGTCGGCTGATACCCGGGTTGGGTGGGAGCGAAATTGATTTCATGACCAGCCAGGGAAATTCTCTGCTTTGCACACATGCACGTCAATGGCGCATCGCTCCGCACTGTCCGGCTTGAGCTCGACTGCGAACGAACCCTCCGGCCTTTTTCCTCTCTAATCCTTGTGTTCACGCCTCCCGGTGGACATCGCCCACTAGGATCAATTCAATCCAGTGCAACTAAGGCTGCAGGCGCTCGGCAGAAGACGGTGGGTTGCAATCAAAGTGGTAAAACCAGACAGGTTCGTGGCACCATTGGCAGTTTTGATCAGATAAAGAAAACTAACCAGCGCTCAGCTCGCCAGACAATTGGACATGGATCCACCAGATTAGATTCACAGCTCTTGAATACATACTACAGTACTATTCAATTTTTTATCTGATCCCTTCTCGCACCTCCCTTGTCCTCGACGTCCTTCCTGTCGCTTTCAATTCGAACAACCAGCCGAGACGGTCCCTCTCTTTCTCTCTCTCAGTCTCTCTCAGTCTCTCTCAGTCTCAGGTTCTGGCGAGCTCGCGGCGGCTCCTTTCCATCGATTCCCACGAGCAGCCAGAAACCAAGCCTCGACCAGCTAGCTTGGCGACGACGAAACATCAACTTGCCCGGATTGTCTGGACCACTTCCGCCAAGGGACCCGACCGCGTCATGCCCTCCCCTGCAGGTTGAATGGTTTTCGTCTTGGCTGTTGACTTTACGACTTGCATTGCCCGCCACCGTCCAAGCCCGACGAGCCACGCCACTCAGTACAATTTCCTCAGGCCACGAAAGAGTTGAGGAGTCTTTCCTTCGCTGCTAATCTGACGAGTTGAGTGGTAATCTAATCTGATCGACCGTCTGATTTTTCCAACTTTCTCCCGCGTCGGAGTAGTATCGGAGCAACGGCGAGGGTCGAAATAATTGCCAGACGCTTTGCAGCTTTCCGGCTCCGCTGGCAAAGGGCAATCGCGCCCTCATCCTTCCAAAAATCTTATCTGATCTTGATGGTCGATATTTTTCCTTGCATCTATTGAGCTCGTCTCAAGGACAGAGATCATGGCTCTGTCTCTGTCCAACTTCCTCTTCATATGTACGGCCTTCCTGCTGTCATTTGTCTCTGCGGCCACACGGGTGTATAACTTCACTGCTGGCTGGGTGATCACAAACCCGGATGGCCTGTTCAACAGGCCTACCATTGGCATTAATGGCCAGTGGCCCTTGCCCCGAATCGAGGCCGACGTGGGTGACAGGGTCATTGTCCATCTGAAGAATGATCTGGGAAACCAGTCTACCTCGATCCACTTCCATGGCCTTTTCATGAACGGCTCAAATCACATGGATGGTGTTGCGAGTACAACGCAATGCCCGGTGCCGCCTGGTGCCATCTTTACGTACGATTTCAATGTGTGCCCAACTGCTTCCTTGAGAAGCTCGCCCTGGACTAACGCCGACATCAGGTCACTCAGCCAGGCACATATTGGTATCATTCCCATGTCGACGGACAGTATCCGGATGGATTCAGAGGGCCGCTTGTCATCCACGATCCAGACAATCCATACGCAGACCTCTACGACGAGGAGCTGGTGCTGACGCTCTCGGACTGGTATCATGAACAAATGCCCACCCTCATCAAGAAGTTTTTGAGCGTTACCAATCCTACAGGTGCCGAGCCAGGTAAGTCGGAATCAACCTTGCGTCCTCTCTTGCGCTAAGTGCGCGGCAAAGTACCACAATCTGCTCTTATGAACGACACCCAAAACCTCCAAATCCCCGTGCAGCCTGGTAAAACCTACTTCTTGCGCATAATCAACATGGCCGCCTTCGCAGCCCAATACTTCTGGATAGAAGGACACACCTTCCGCATCATCGAAGTGGACGGCGTGTACCATGAACCCGCCGAAGCAAGCATGATTTACCTGACCGCGGCACAACGGTACGGTGTTCTGCTCACCACGAAAAATGACACGGGTGCGAATTTTGCCATCATGGGCTCTATGGACGAAGACTTGTTCGATAAGGTGCCCGGTGGCTTGAACCCGAACGTGACGAGTTTCTTGGTATATGACACAGATAAACCGATGCCCACGCCTAAGCTTATTGACTCCTTTGAGCCGTTTGATGATATGGAGCTTAGACCGACCGATGGAGAGGAGCTGCTTGAGGCCCCCGATTTGGTCGTCCAGCTTGACCTGATGATGAACAATCTGGGTGATGGGGTCGTGAGTCCCGTCCTACCCTCCGAGGGACCTTGATTAACATCTCTTGCGTGCCGCGTTTAGAACTATGCATTCTTCAACGGCATCACCTACGTCCGGCCCAAAGTGCCGTCCCTGTACACGGCGCTGACGACCGGCGCTCTCGCGGCGAATGCCGCCGTCTACGGCGTCAACACGCACGCCTACGTCCTGGGCCACAACGAAGTCGTCGAGATCGTCCTGAACAACCAAGACCCGGGCAAACATCCGTTCCACCTGCACGGCCACGCTTTCCAGGCGGTCGTGCGCGGCGCTGAAGACTCGGGCGACTACGACCCCAACGCGGTCAAGAATGGCAGCCTGGTCCTGCCCAGGAGGCCGATGAGGAGGGATACGATCTTGGTGAGGCCGAACGGACACATCATGATGAGGTTCAGGAGCGACAACCCCGGCGTGTGGTTGTTCCATTGCCACATCGAATGGCACGTTGATTCGGGGCTGGTTATGACTTTTGTCGAGGTACGTTTCAGGATCTATCTGTCTTCCGCTACTCCTCGAACTTCTCTCTTCCATTCCCCCCCTCCCCCCCTCTCTCTTGTTGGCCGGTCCATTTTAATCCTAACACCTCCTTCCTCACACCCTCTAGTCCCCTCTAATCCTCCAACAAACCCTCCCCTCCCGCATTCCAGACGACCATTTCGCTGCCTGCGCCGCCCTGCCCATGCCAACGGCCGGCAACGCCGCAGCCAACACACACGACCTCCTCGACCTGAGCGGCGCCAACGTCTCTCCGCCACCGTTGCCCGACGGCTTCACCACGCGCGGCATCGTCGCGCTGACATTCAGCATCGTCGCGGGCATCCTCGGCGTCGCGACCGTCGTGTGGTACGGGCTCGGCGAGATGGGATCCATCGAGACTGAGCGTGAGAAGGCGAAGATCCGGAAGATCGCCGCGGAGCGAGGCGTCGGCATCGGCGACCTCGACGTGTCCAGCGAGCACGCCGACACTTCTGCTTCATCCGCTCGGACTGCCAGTGGCGGTGACGGTGTTTTGGCCGGAGCCGGGACGGGACCTCACGCTGGTGTGGACGCAGAGGAGATCACGAGGGCGGGCAAGTAGAGTAGACCGGAATCGATCAGATTATAATATGCGACAACGTGCTCGCTCCTTCTTGTGCGGCGTTCAAAGAATCGTAAGGAACGGGGGTTCAAAGCAGGTCAACTTATATTCTCCTGCCATGGACATATCTACTGCAGACGCTTCCTCTGTCGGGCATCTTTCTCTCAATGCCGCTCGCACTCTCCCCATCCAAGGGTTGCTTATACACGTGACGGGGTCGAAGCTTAATCTTGGCCCACGAGACATACCACCGTCGTTCACTAAGAGCTCTTCTGACTCAGCGTAACCTGATCTGTGACCAACATGCCAGCAATACTCGCACTAGTTAACGTAGAGAGCACCCCTGAAAACAACGCCGAGAGAGCGACACGAGAAACATCGCCGGAGCGAGAAGGTGCGATCTGGCTGAGCACGCCGATTTGGGTGCCTAGGGAGCCAAAGTTGCCGAATCCTACAATGAACAGTTAGCATCCATTGATGGCATACACGAGTGCCGATTAAGCTTGGGGCTTCAAAGTACAAGGAGACTTACCGCACAACGCATATGTCGCAATCAGCTTTGACCGCGGACTCATGTTGATATACTTTGGCTCGCTGGTGAGAGAGTTGTACGCGACGAACTCATTCGCGACGACTTTGATACCAATGAGTTGACCCACATTCAGCAGGTCGTCGCGAGGCACACCCAACAGGAAGGCCACCGGGTAGCAAACATAGCCCAGGAGAAGTTGGAGGGTCAGATAGGGCTCGCCGTCCTGGGTGATGTTGATATACCTATTCGAAAGATCGAGACAAATTAGTGGATCGAGCTTCCCGAATGGGACAGACTCTGAGTGGATGGACAAAATCGTTGACTTACCTTCCCCACCACCCTAGAAGAGCATTGAGCAATCCAATCAGTGCGATAATGCAGAGCAAAGTAGCCACAATCATGCCCGCGATCTTGATACCCAGCCAAGCACCATTGGCAAAAGCGTGCAGAGCATTTGTTGCGCGATGTTCATCGTCGTCAGGAATGACCACTCGACCAGAAGTTATGGTCTCCTCGGTTTCTGGGTATCGCATCTTTGACACCGCCAACGACGCTGGAATCGACATGATACAAGAAGACACCAGAGCTTGCGGGTTCAGTCCCAAACCGATATAAGCTACTAGCACCGACCCGGCAATAGTCGCGAAGCCAGAGCACATGACTTGGTGAATTTCGGCCAGGGTCAAGTGAGGCACGAACGGCCGTACCAACATGGCAGATTCGCCTTGCCCAATGAAGGGAGAAGCTGCTGCCACGACAGCTTCAGCACCGGAGACACGTAAGCTCCAGAAGAAAAACACGGCGAATTTTCCAATGAACCATTGCAAGACACCCAGATAATACAGGACCTGCACGAATGCGACGAAGAAGATGATCGGAGGGACCACTCCGGTCAAGAACCAGTGCAGGTCGATGACACTCTCTGCCGTCAAGAACGAGGTACCCTGGTCTGCAAAGCCCAGCAACTGGCGAGCCAGGAAGGAGATGAAGTTGAAAATGTCGTAACCTGCCTTTGTTCGGAGCACGAATACCGCAATGACGAATTGCGTCAACATGCCGCCGATGACTGTATGCCAGCGAATCTTCCGACGGTCGCGCGAAGTAATCCACAGAACAGCTATCATCACGGCAAGCCCCAGAAGGGAAATAGCACGATTTCCACGAGTGTTGTCAGCAGATTCCTCCGAGACAAACGATCCAACCAGGATCACGGCGAGAGCTACCAGCGCAGCGAGCCAAATGCGGAGTTTCTCTGGAATAACCTGGTAAACCCTCACGCCCGTGTTGTTCCAGACGAAATGCATTGGTCGAGTGACGATAGTGATGGGTGCCCAGAAGAAGATGAGGCGTAGGGTGATAGCGAGGTAGAGGAGAAAAGGAATCAGCCAGCCCAGGTCATAGCGGTGCAGAACCAAACCAGCGATCCACCATCTGCAGCAATAAATGAGGAGGTTTCTCATGACGAAAGAATCGGCGAAACTCACCCGGTGAACAGCAACCAAATGAAAAGGTGAACAAATATCTTGTATTTTCCGTATGCTCTCGAGAAGCGATGTTTCTTGCCGTCGTCCTCTGATCCGTCTGTCATTACCCGCGTGGGACCCACGTCTCCTTTCTCGGCGTCACCCATGGTGATGAAGTCCTTCTCATTGACCTGCTCTGAGGGTCGTCGAAGCTGGTGTTTCACATAGTCTTGAGGGTTCTTGGTACCAAGATGCTGATCGGCGGTGGTGCCCTCCGCGTACAGGACCTCGTCATGGCGACCGGTCAGCGAAGGGCGGCCGTGGTGCAAGTGCTTGTGCTGGTGCTCGTGGGAGTAGTGCAGAGTCAAGTCTGGGTTCTCGTCGACGTCCTTCTGCATTGAAGGGTTGTGGCCATGATCGGGAATGTCGTGGTGTGTCCGTCTGCGCTCCCCAGCCTCGGCAGGCGCATCGGTCGGGTGCGTGTGGACGGCGTGGTCGTCCACCATCTTAGGCTCCTTTGGCTCAACGGGGTCTTGATTTGAGCTCATCCTGCTGGCCGTCTCCGCTCGTGCTTGTCGTCAAGGTACTTGGAGAGAACAGTGGATCGCAGAAAGGAAAGAGCGACCAGAAGGACGGGGACGAAGGCGACAAAGGTGATCAACCACGGAGACATGGTGGAGTTGGGTAATGGTTATGTACTTTTTCTTTCTCCAAGCAGTGAGCCGAGTGGGTGGTGAGCACCAATGCGGCAGGGTTCTGTTTGGTCTTCGCGAAAGCCGAAAGAGGATGGGAGCTCCGGCGAGCTTGCAGGGGCAGACGAGGTCGAATTGTGCGCATCTCAATGCAAAGTGGATCGCGTGGACAGTGATGATCTGCTTGCCGACCGCAAAGTGTATGGTTGTAGCAGTGTCGAAGGGAAAATGAGTGGTGGGATGCAGGCAAAGGGATGCTGGGGATGTTCGCTCAACGCCACTGATGGTCCAACCGTTGCAACGCTACACCGTCACGTTTCTTGGCATTTTGTCGGTGTCGAGATGCGCCTCGTCTCCTTGGTCTCCCTGGTCTCCCTCGTCTTGCGCCCGGCCTGTCCAGCCTGTCGCCTTCTGCATAATTTCAACCAACCTCCCCATCTCAGCCCTAATCGACCTGCTCAGGCAAGCAGTCCAAGTTCGACTATCAGGCCAAGACGGACCGTGAGAGCTCGCCAAGTGATAAGAGAACGATCCCAAGGTCCAGTTTGGCTTCTTACAAGACTGATCGCTTCGCTGTCGCAGTTCCAATGCAACCTGGCTGTCTGGTGCTGACCGTCCTTCTCGCCGTTCCGTCGAATCAAAGACCTGCCTCCTGCTATGTCCCCTTGTCTGCGCCTGTGTCCCAGCCCACACGTCGGTCGCCTCCGCTTTCTGGGCAAGTCCAAGGATTGTCGGCGCCCCATTTGGCGCAGTCTGGTGGGCAATGAGGGCACCAACAAGAGATAGACGAGCACTCGATACAACGTGTGCAGCTCGACAATTGCCACAATCAACGGAGTTCCTTGCTCGCAGCCTCGGCCCCTCCCAGATTGCCTTGCCGCCCGCTACGGCGGAACTTCCAGAAGCACAATTTCCTAGCCGAGACGGCGCATATACTGACGGTTATGGACGGATCTTCCTCATTGTACCCAGTACCCGGTACAAGGAGAAGTGAATTACACACAAGAACAAAGTTGCTTTTCTCGCCATGCGGCCCCTTCACCTGCCAACTCCTCGCTTTCACCAAATCCAGGACATGGAAGTAAACTGTATACGATATACCGGGTACGTCAACGGTGAATTATTCCGGACAGGGGTTTTTGGCCCTCAGAGCTCGCTGCTTAACAATGACCCCTGCAATGCCTGGGGCCTCTTGTCTCCACCCCGCGTGCTCAAAATCCCAAACCGTAGGAACACTTCCGAGCATGTGACCAGGATGGAGATCACGATCAGGACTATGATAATCCAATTGATCCGGGACATCTTGTCATCGGAAATGTAGTCTGACAAGACCTCGGTCAAGTCAAGGAACACCCGACAACGTTCATTGAGGATCTGAATCCGAGGTTTGATTTCAAGGTACTCGCGTACCGCGTTGTACAGCGGATGCAGGGTCGGCTCGCTATCCCAAATCAGGTTGGGTACGTCGAGGACATTCGATGCTAGATGGTTGTAAGAGTCAGCACACATGCTCCTGACAAATAGGCCGCAAGGTGACCTACACAAATTGACCTCCACTCGGCTCTTGTATAGGCCTCCGAGCAGCTTGATGACTTCTTCTCGTTTCAGTCCCAGCTCTCCTGTTTTGGCCAACTTTCCGGGCACATCCTTGGCCGCCTCCATCTGGGCAGCCATGGTTTCCTCAAAGAAGCTTAGCTTGGTGCTCTGAGCAATGGCATGGCTGATGGCCAGCTTGATCATATGGTCGCCGCTGCGGAGTGTAATCATGTCGTTGTATACTCGTGGCCGCAAAATCTCGTTGTTGTACTCGAAGTGGAAGTCCTCCGTCTCGAAATCTTCCTCATCCAAGGCATTTGTTGTAAGGGTGATGGGCGATACGATGTTGGTCTTTGGGTCAACAATCGTCGCAAAAGCAAAGTCAGCCAGAACGTCTTTCTCCTGCCTCTCGCTGAAATTCCAAAACACAACCACTCCATAGCTAAAGACAAACATTTCCGCAAATCGGTACGTATCGACAGGAAGACTTGCACCTGGACTGTTTGATCTCTGCGAATTGCCGCTGTCTCTCCGCTGCCCGTTGAGTCGTGGTCGTTCCAGGTGACTCGGGTCACCGTGATTTGGCTCGACAGGCTGCTCATCCGGCGTGTAGTGACCTCTCACTGAATGCTGTTCCTCTTCCTCTGCATAATATGGTTCCCGGTAGTCTCTTTGTTCGCTCCGTGCAATCTCTTCATCCAGGACCGTTCCACCCTTGGCGCTCTTGACTGGCGGACTGCTTCGGATTCGATAGCCTTCATTGCCTGGTAACAAAGGCAGATGATACGCACAGTACAGGCAGTCATCGTAGAGCTTAGCTCTGGCTCCATGGCGCTGCCTGACAAACGTCGCGGTGGACTGCAGCTTGTATGCTTGAGCTGTGCAGTAGGCCGTCACTCTGGGAAGTTCCTGTTCCGTCCGTCTTGCCTTGGGTAGCCTTTCTGCATAGCTTTTGACACCCTCTTTCCCAGGTCTGCGGTAATCCTCGTCGTCCTTGGGTGGGCCCTTGTCAGCGTCAGGCCCAAAATCGCCTTTCTCTTCTTCCTCTTCGACAGCCTCGGGCAACAGGACTAGCTTTTCGGACGTCTTGGTGGACCGAGATGGCATATGCGGACCGATATAGCGACCAGTAAGTCTCGGATCAACAGGCCTGCCTGAGTTAGTTCGAAAGGGTCGGGGCCGTTGGGGATGCCTATTATGGGCGGAAGGGACGTCGGAGGCATATTGGAGGACACTGTCGACGGTAATAAAGCGAGCAGGTTGTTGCCTGCGGGTCTGCGGGAAAGGTCTGGTTTCACGCGGATCAGAGACCTGTTCCAGCTCAATGTTAGTTATCGCATCAGACAACATGCTTCATGGGAGACGGAATCATTTCGGAGACCAACCAGAACACTGGGCCCTCTTCTAGCGGTTGAGCTCGGAGGAGCCATATCGCTGCTGGTCGCAACTGCCCACAAGATAGCAGTGAGAGGTTTCGACGAAGGAAGCTGCGCTCGACGTGGTGCAGGAGTGGTGGCGTCGAAGGACCGAACCCCAACTTGATGCACGAAGATCTCAGTGGTTCGTCATGTCCGAGCGTCCCTCGTAGGAACACAACCGAACCACGCCAAGAATTTGGCTTCCGGCCAGTAACCTTTATTGGGTTAGTTGCACTCCGTGAAGAGCATCTTGTTCGGAGAAGCAGAGAGTCCAATTCTGAAAGAACGACAACAAGGGGAGAAACGCGCTGTGCAGCTTAGGAAAAATTAACAGTAATCACAAGGAGACAAATATTAAGCCAAAATCAGTATTCCTGCCTACGGAATATCGCAACACGATATCTTTCCAGTTTTGCTGTGTATATGAAGTTATGCGCCAAGTGCGGCAACAGGCCCCTGTCAGTCGCTGCTTTAATAATACTATCGCCGGAACAACCTGGCTTTCTCGGTTGTTCGACACCGTAAATCCTGCCGCCTCAACAAGTCTGGCGGCCCCTTCCGTGTGCGCCGCCGTAGTGGATATGGATCTATGACGGTGCCTTCGTCGACCCTGTACAGTAGACGGACAGAGGAAGGCGGCAATGTGGCAAGCGAAAGCGATTGATTCTTATGATGATGATGTCTGGGAACTGCTACAGAGCTATTAAGCTATTTGCCACTGCTAAGCCCCGCGTGCCTGCGCCTTCCGTGACAACACCCCCCCTTTAAGAAAGCGGATGTCCTCATTCGCTTAGTCGTGGCTCTATGTCTCGATGTTAAGTCATTAATACCTATTTCATTATTATCTAGAATATTAATTCGTCAGCGCGATATCTTTACGTAGAAATCTGGTCCACTAATCCGCCTCGCGCCGACATCAGCAAAATTTCCCGCGCGACCCTGAGAGCCCTGGGCCGCCCTGGGCTGTCAAGGTAAGTCTGCGTCTTATGCAACCCATGAGACCGCTGGGCTACTCCAGCGCGCCGCGTACCAACCCATGAGCTCCTAGGGTTATTGCTGATTAGCTTAGCTGTCTCTAGCGTCTCTTTGTTCTTTCCATTCCACACCTTCCACTAATTATGACGTTCATTCTATAGCTTCTATATACTCTAGATATCTATATTCTATTTGTTCAAAGGACTTAGAGAACTATCTAATGTATAGATAGTAAGGCTCATATAGATCGTAAACCTTATAGGTAGGTAAGTGACTATTAAAGAACTTAAACTTCGTATTTAATCACGTGACTAAAGGTTTAATATAAACCTTTAGAGGGCGATATTCCACAC